ATTTAAAAAAATTTATAAAATAAAGTTTAATATTGATACATATTTAATATTATAGCGTCTAGAGGCCATTTTGCAATACCTACGTCTAACTAATAGAATTTTATACTATTCAATCTAATAAATTACAAAATATTATGGATGGTATATATTATCCATTTAATAACTATAATAACTCAATCTAATTTATCTAATGATTTTTATTTTTATAATTAAATTAATTAATTAAAATTATACGTGTATAAAATAAAATAATCAATAAATAAATAAATTGAATTATCAAAAAAATGTTTTAAAATAAGAAGAAATTAAAGTTAGAAGCGCCCTGATGTATTGTTTGATGGGCCCAGCGGCCCACACAAGAGAGTAGACCAACTCATAAGTGGACCGCGGTTCAGCGCAAAGGCAGAGAGAGATCTATGTCGTAAGGATAACATCATTACTTTATGCCCTCATAAATTCCGTCAACGCCACAACTCCAACGTCCAAATTAAAAATTAAACAAAAATTATATAATTTTAAGGATTAATATGTAATACTCAATTTTAGAATATCTTAAATCGTTATTATGATTTTTTAATATTTTCATTATATCTTAAAATTAGTTATCATATTTATTATTTTATAATATTTGTTCAATTAAGTAATAGCGTGGTTAATATAAATAAATATTAGTGTGTTAAATTGTAAGAAGATATCAATACATAGTAAGATATCTAAGTTAATAATATTAATATCAATTTAGTAGTTTATTTGTTTATATCTCATTATGTAACTATATTGAGAATATATAATTGTAACATTGCATGAGAACAAGTAACGGCTTTTCCGGCGACCAGAACTAGTGAAACACCAATTCCCAAAGTTTCACGATCACGAAAGTTGTGACATGCACTCAAATTTGTGCTCACTTTCTTCTTTCGCCCTAGTCTCAAATTTTAAAGTCCTTGACTCCAACTTCAACTTGCATAAGAAGTTAATTAAGATCCCTATTCGTTACTAAATGCAGTTTTTATTATAATTGGTAAGACTAAATTAACATCAATAGGCTCAGCTCGTGAAACACAGAGTATCATGTCTTCGCCAAGTTATTATACAACCAAGCATAGTATGATTTTCTATATTAAATCAACTTGCTATTTTTCTATAAATTAAAATATATTTAACATTCAAAAGTTAATACAATTTGTCTATATATCTTAACAGTATACATAAATAGTTCATAAAAATCATAATAAAGATTTCATATATTTGAAATTAATATATCCGCCTTAAGTTTATGAAACGAATTAAAAAAAATTTCTATTATTAGGAACAAAGAAAGGAGAACAAAAAAAGATGATGGTGTTTAGGTACTGATGGGACTGGTTTTTAGCAGAGGGAGGTCACAATTAATTAAACTATTTTGTAGATTCTAATCGACAGATTACTTGAAATCGCAAGGGGCATAATCGATGTGTCATTGAATACAAGTGAGTGACAGGTGCCACCATTTGCCTCATTTCACTTTCTTTAATCCGTCCATTCCCAAAGGATGACAACCAATTGACAAGAAATATCAACCATCACCTTGGGATAATGGCATTAGACATTGTGCTAATGATTGAAAGAGTTTGAATTTCATTCATTTTATTTTAATTGTTTATCTTGTCATTGAATAATATGTTGTTATATCATTAAAAGAGTTAATTGTAAACAAGTATTATAATATATAATTTCTGTAAAAAGCCATAATCAATTATATGTTATTTTTACATCGCCTAGGATGCCCCATGGGCTCTAGTCTCTGCTATAGATTCCTTGATGTTAACATCCAAAAGATCGACATATCTAAAGTCCCACATTTTATTTCCGGAAGCAGCCCATGTTCTTCTGAGTACTAATAAATTATGCCACTTAGAAGTGTCAATTCGAGAAGACCCCTAATGTAACCCACTTAATGAAGGCCCTTTAACGTTAAAAGCAACATTAGCACATGCACATGTCACTGATATGCGATATGCAATCTGCTTATATCACTAGACATAATTGCCAATTAATAAAATAACATAGAATTCCAGGTCTTATTCATTGCATCAAATCTCAATCTAATTGATTATCAATCACATAAACTCAATTGACACCATAATTAGTGAAATTCTGCCAATTACTTTTTGATTTAATTCTGATTGATTATCCATCAAAATTACTCAATTGACACCATAATTCTTTCCTTTTCTTATTTTTGTGATTGGTGATTTTATGCCATAAAATTATAAACCCATTTTTACATTTATGTTACTTTACATTTACATTTATATAATTTTTATTTTCTAATTACAATTAATTTTATTTAATTTGTTTACACTTATACTTTGCTAAATGAAAAATTAATAATACGCTTTCGTGTGTAAAGCCGAATAAGATGTAACTAAAAAGAAAGAATGGCAAAACATTAATCCTGTATAACTACATATCTAGTCATGTTTGATGAAAAAATATAACATAAAAAAATATGAAGAAAAGGAAAAGAGATAGACCATCAAACAGACATTGTTACCAATTGACTTTAACTCTAAGAAAGAAAGTTCTACCTTCTTTTCACTATAAGAAGACATAACCAGATAATTTTTAATGAAATTTAAAAGATTAATTATGTATTTTTAAGATACATTAAATAATAATAAATAATATCTTAATTAAAAATTACATTAAAATATATTATAAATGGAGAATGAAAGTCTTTTCATATCTTTTTTATGTTTTAATCAACAACTTTAATATTTTTTTATCATAAGAGACAAAAAATTATAAATAAGTTCTCTAAATGATGTAATCAAAGAACAAAATTTAATTACAATTTTTAAAAATATTTTTATGCTATTTTTCAGTCAAATTAATTTTCACTTCAATAAAAAATTGGATTTTAAATTATTATAAACTATTGAAATAAAATGTAATTTTAATAAAAAATAATGCAAAAATATTTAAAAGTTACACTTAAAGTTTATATTTGACTAAAATCCACCTTCTTTGTTTTAAGAAATATATACACGAGAGTCAACTTTGTTGTCATCCATTACATCACTAATATCAATATAATTGGACCTTTAATGAGTTGCAGCTTATTTTCACGTCACGTTCTTTAGAGGTTAATTATGTTTTGTTTGAAAGAGAGTTAAAAAAAAAAACAAAAACAAATAAGTATTTTAAAAAAATCATATTTTTATTTAGTAATTTTTTTTTTAATTGTTTTGAGGGTTAGTCGAAATAGCTAATCATTAATGTGTTTCGCCATCTTATTGGTGTATCAAGGTTGACTTTGTTACTAATGAGAGTTTAGGGAGTTTTGTAGATTAGATTAATTCTCAGCATTGGGATGTAAACTTAAATTGGCAACACTGCTATTATTAAATTAGCCGAACGTTTTATAGTTTTTGTGTCTGAAAATGAGCTGACAATTGTTTCATCACGTTGACAAAGTAAAAATAATAATAAGAAGAATAATGGATTCATGCTCTATCACTCAACTAAGAAAACAAATGCATAATTCTCCATCAATCAATTGTGGGTCATTAATCAAAGTAAATTGGCAATCAATAAAATTTTAATTCTTCTCAAATCTCAGGTTTATATATATATCTCTTTCTCGACCATTTATGTTTATGAATATATAGCAATTGTTTTGAATGAAACACCACTTTTCTCACCAACATTTTTAAGACTAATTTCATTCAAAGCATAAAAATTATTAGAATAGACTTTATTTTGATGATAAATTAAAATATTTTTTTGTTGATCGGTTTGGACAATTAATATTGCTTTGACAGTTTCAGTGGGGGTGGAAAGTGGCATATAAACTGAAATAACCCCAAAACTATTTTTGTTTAATGATCAGATATAAGTAAATAGTAGGGTTTGTTCAAATTATACCACAGAAATATATTTCTATCTTAAGTATATTGACCAAGTTAAGATAATATATTAAAAATTGTATTTTTAATAAATAAAATGTATTAAATTTTTAAAATAGATTATTTATATATAAGATAATTAATTTAGAAAAATCCAAAATAATAAGCATGACACTTTTTTTTTTTTTGGGTCTAAATGCTATACAGATTTTTAAAGCTGCTCCGTCCGTTAATTTTTGCTTGCGGCTACACAGGTGTTCCTCTGGACTTTCAATACAAAGCCCAAAACCAAAAATGCAGAGGTACCAGCTTTAATATATTTTGGGCCGAAAGCCTGAACCGCATTGCCCCAAGCGAATAATGCCAAGATATATATGCTAAGAAATGACAAAAATAAAATGATGATAACAATATTGTCTTTCGACCCCAAAAAGAAAATATTTTCTGAAGTTTTCGAAGGATCAGATTTATTATAAAATAATATTAAATAACAATAGTTTAACTATGGTTATTTATTTATAAAAACTATTAATCAAAACAATTTTAAAAATTATATCAATATCTATCTGTCGAAAACATTAACATTAACAAAGTATTAATGGCATTAACTATTATGTTTACTATAACATTTGATTATGTTAGTTAGTGCATATTAAAATGGAATAGAATTATGTTTATTTTATTAAATTGTAATTTTATCAAATATTTTGCTCGATTTAAAATATTAAATAAGTTTTATCTTTAAATTTATATTTGGTCTAACATGATAGTTATAGTTTTTCTACAAAATTATTTTAAAAGAAAAAATTTAAACACAATACATTAAACTCATTTTTAAGCAATACATTCCAGACAATTTTATTAAAATTCAAATTTACAAACAATTATCTAAACAGGCTTAAAAAATATCTATCACCAAATCTATTGCGAAACGCACATTTACAGGAGAAAGTACAAATGATCTTGCTATGAAAAAGTACTGCTTCTTTACAGGGGAGGTTGAGGTTGAGGTTGAGGTTGAGGTTGCGGACAGGGGGAATATTGAAGAAAAAAACAAAAATAGTTGTCTGCCTGTATTAAGTATTGAAAACACTATGCAAGTTTTTATTTTCCATTACATGAGGAGAAAAGGTTGCTATTATAAACAGATAGCATTTATTACAACAATTATATATTCCTTTTTACCTCTCTACACACTACACCCCAAAAGTGAGTGTGAAGATATAATTGTACAGCTATTAACAAATCTAGAAAGTAGGAACAAATAGCCTTGAAATGAACAAGAAACCTTAGAGAAAGAAGCTAAGAATTACAAATTTAAAGGTTCTACAATGATGGGAAGGCCATATTGTGGCTGCAAGGTGAGGTGGTTTGCAGGTGCATGTTTGTAGTGAGGGGAAAGGGACAAAGAAAATCTCTGAAGAATCAAAGCAATTACAGTCTTCGCTTCCAGCATAGCAAAATTCTGACCAATGCAACTTCTTGGACCCAGCCCAAAGGCAAGTAAAGCATTTGGGTGCTTTGCAGCCTTAGAAACTCCGTTTATGAATCTCAGTGGATTGAATTCATTTGCATCTTCACCCCAGTATTCTTTGCTCCTGTGCATCATTATAATTGGCATTGCAAGACATGTTCCTTTTGGGACCAACAAGTTTCCCAATTTTATGTCTTCAGAAGCCACTCTTTGTAGTTCTAACGCTGGAGTATACAATCTTAACGCTTCAATCAATACCATATTCACCTTAGAAAAAAGTCCTATCAAGTTAGTACCTTTCCGATATTATTAAATCAGGGTTCTAGCTAGAATCTTACCATTTTTAACTTTGCTAGCATATCTGCATCAGGAATTTCCGTGCCACAGTTGTGCAAGACCTCTTCTCTAAGTTTCTCTTGCCATTCCTTGTGTAAACCCAACAAGAACACTGTCCAAGTAAGCAAGTTTGAAGTGGTTTCATGACCAGCAAAGAAAAAGGTCTTGCATTCTTCCACGATTTCATTCATCTTCAATCTAAGGCCATTATTTGTTTTTGATGCATCTATCATTGCACCAAGAAGATCATCTCCATAAGAGCAATCTGATTCATCATGCAATCTACTTTCTATAATGCATTGTAGTGATTTCTTCATTTCCCTATCTAGCTTCCATATCTGAAGATTTGACCGAGTAGGGAGGTATCTGCATAGGAAACAAGAAATTAACCCAAAGTTTATGTACCAAAGTCATTAATTCCAATTCTATAACAGAAAAATAGAAGAAAAGAAGATATAATACTGGGTGCCAGGAATGAAAATGTCTACACTTGAAGCTATGCAATGATTTTGAAGTTCTCTTTGTGCATTAAAGGCTTCCCTTCCTTGGACAAAGCTAACACCGAAGGCAGTGTGGGCGATTATATCTGCTGTTAGCTCATGAAATTCTTCATTCATTTCTATTGTCTTGAATTTGCCCTTGGCTTCAATGGCTTGATTTTTCCACTCGTCGAGCATAGAAATGGTACATGCTGCCATCCTACTTATCATAACCTGTCATAGCCACAAAGCCACGGATATGGATGTCACAGATGATTCAAAATCATAGAGAAATTTGGACATCTGTGCATCACATGCAATACCAATCAAAGACATCAATTTTTCACTATATAGTTTGGTGTGGTGTAGGGGTGAAATCTCAGCGTTTGATTTTTGGAAATACCAAATGGACTTTATAGTGAATTTGATATCTACTTAAATTATGGGTCAAAATTTCAATGGTAAAATTTCCATATGAAATAATCTTTAAAATTTTCATTGTGACATTGACGGGACAGCACACTTATCCTAGTTGTTAATTTGGCATTACCTTTAAATTGGAAATGAGAAAAAAATGAGTTTTTCGTAGAAGATTTTTTTTATTATTATAAAACTACAACTTTAATTGACATGCTTTATGAATTATTTATTAGGATAAAGTTTATGTGTAGCATTTTAAGTCTTTTATGTCATTTTTTTAATTAATTTCATTATTTTAATGTTAATTTTCATTTTAATTTTTATTAAGTAAATTACTGAAATAAATCTTAATTTTAATGATAAAATAGCACTAAAAATAAGTAAAATATTATTATACCTAAATTGTATCCTATTTATTATTTATATTTTAGTTAATACGAAAATAAATTAATAGCAAATAAAAATGTGTAAGAATATGTTTGGATGCTCGTGCAAAACTCTTACACTAAAAGTACATAAAATTAGACTGTAAAGTTAATCTTGAAAATTTCATGTGTATTTCCAAGATGATAATTACAAGTATTCTTTTTTGCCACCCTTTATGGGAAAATTTTAGGGATGAATTTTTTATGAATTTCAAGAATTAGTTTTTTTAAAACAAAAAATATAATAAAACTTGAAGATTAACTATCCTGTCAAAAATTTCTAAAAGTAAGTTTTTAATGATTTTTTAGTATAAAAAAATTCCTAAATTTATTTTTTGTGGATGAGTTTTGTATGAAAAATCCAGTTCAATTTTAAAGGATTAACAAATCTAGTGTGAAATTAAATTTCTTCTTTAATTTGACATTGTGCAGGAAGGTAGAAAACTAGATGTGGGGATTTAGACCTTAAGTTTATCCATAGAGAAAGCAGGATTGAGTATCCTTCTGCGCTTTACCCATTCCAGTCCATCGACCAGAACTAACCCATCTCCTATCATAGTTACTATAGAAGGCCTTGGCTCGGGTTTTGTATAGAAACCATACTTGTTTGACAACATCTCTTTGGCCAGCTCAGGATCAGCAATGCAAATCGTAGGTTTTGTTCCAAACCAGTATAGAAATGTCTTCCCTGCATCATCAAAAATTAACTAGGAATGATACATACTTTTGCTGAACCACAAATTCTCCAATTATAAACACTTGTTTCTATTCTTGAAAAGTGCTACTTGCCAGGCACCTCTATTTTCCGACTATCATGATGTTGTCACCCCTCTAATGAAAATATGCCATTATAACTTGGATTTATAACATTAAGATGGAATCATGATTCATGGCCATGGGGCCATGGGATTAAATCTACGTTTGATAACACTAATTTTAAGTTAATCATAGTAACTTTTTAAAACCTTCTAAGCAAGCTGATAAAAAGATAGTTATCTTATCAAAATAATCATTAAATCTTATGATAAAGCTAAATTGTGTGAGTACAAGTGAATTCTGTCATTCATTTAAGTTGAAGCAAGCTAGATAGAACAAGAGGGCATGGAAGAGAAATCACCATATAAGGAGGACCACTTTTGGTAGTGTGGAAGAACCCTGTGAGTAATTTCATGTGAGTGAGTATCTATGATCCGTTCTCTTGCATCCTTGATCATTGCTTTGATTTCATGGAGAGAACCGGAGAGAATGGAGTAGGGTGGCCCCGTGACTCCTTGCTTTTGAAAGTGCCTAGTAATGGAATATGGCCTCCAAAAGAGAATCACAAAGATTTTCCAAATCTTTGATATAATCAAAACAGCACTAGTCACCATGGCAACACCAATTAGATAACCCATTTTTGGGTGTGTTTCTCTGAGTGTGAGAGTGAGAATGAGAGAGAGGAAGAGTCAAAGACAAAGAGATTGCTTTAAGATTTCTAGGTTGAGGATGGTCAAATAAATACTGGAAAGTGGTTAAGTGTGTTCTAGTCTTCTAGATGTTAACGCATTTAATCTTCATTGGAGAATTGTGTCATGGCTGATGTAAAAAGATTAATTGATGTTACACCATCTTACTAACGACAATGATATGTATCATGTAAGTTCATATGGAAAGATAATAATCATGCGGCCCTTATAGCTTTATCATTTTGAAAATCTATTTATTTTATATTTCTTCGTGGAAGGAGAGTTCAAATAGATAGAAATTTTAATTTCTTAGTTCTTATCAAAATAAAATAAAATAGAAAATTGGAGCCGCCAATTATATCACAGTATAAATAGATAAATAACACTGCGTAGTCTACAAGATGTATGAAAGAGAAAAAAAACAAATAAAATTATACAAAAATTTCATTTTAACTATAAAAATCATCGCCATTCCTTGATTGTTATTTGTTGTTAGCGGCCGTATTATGACATTGTCCATTAATGGTTGATGATGAAGCCAAGGTAGCTAGCTCAAGCCATCTAGAAAGTAGAAACTCTAATGCCTTATTAGAACTTAAAAGTGGTAGTGTTAGGTCTTTGTTACAATGATGTGGCAATATTTAGTTAAATGATAATGGATAACAATTTCACTTGTAAAAAAAGGTACTAAATCTCATATAATTATTACATAATTTCCGTTAGTTTTACTCTTAGTTACCTTGAAATGTTACAGTAACATTGGCAAGATTTGATGTCAATATCAATTGATTTAGTAGCATTCTAATGATTATTAAGTTATCATAAAGTCATTAAGATTTAACTGTAGATAAAGGTGGATATGTGGAGTCAATTTAACCTATATAAGTTTAATTTGTGACTAATTATCATCAAATGTGTTGGTTTAGCTTGGCCTGTAAAATAAATAGATTCATTAAATTGCTGGTTTGCGTTTGGCTTTTAGGGTTAGTAGGCTAGCTTGTTTACCTAATACATATATTAAAATATTTAAAAAATATATAAATGATAGATGATGAAAAATAATTAAAATATATATATATATATATATATATATATATATATTTTATTTTTTTTTTCTGAAAATTGATCCGCTGATTGACTAGTTAACCTGTGAGATCAATCTATTTAACTCACAGTTTAAACCCAGTAATTTTACATTTAAACGGTCCATACTTTTATTGATCCTAATCCATTTAACTTGCAGATTATACAAACTGGTCCGCCAACTGAAGCCCATGTACCCAACTATAAGTGTTATGCATATGATATGGCATCAGAGGGACCCAAGTTCACGAAATATAAATTTAGACATTCTTAAATGTGCAGCTTTTCCGAAAAAAAGAAATTTTTACAAATATTGGTGAGCATGCATATGTGTTACCAAATGTAACCCAAAAAAGAACATAGGAGGCTGGGGTGATAAAGATTGTGATTGCATATTCGCTTTAGAGTAATGTTGTTTGGGACCAAAGCGAATGCTATGCTTATCACACTCACACGTCAACAACACTCACTTCCCAGTAGCACCGTTAACTCCTTCTTCCATCACCGCAAGTCTCCACTTAATCTTCTTCAAGCCAAAAGATTGCACGCTCTTCTTCTTGTCCTTGGTTTCTTTCACCCCACTTCTCCTCATAAGTCCTTCGCTTCCAACCTTGTCAATGTATATGTTAACTTTGGTTGCCTCCAACATGCGTTTCTCACTTTCCGTCAACTACCCCACAAGCCCAACATTGCTTGGAATGCCATTCTCCGAGGTTTGGTTGGTGCTGGCCACTTCCCCAAAGCCATTCACTTTTATCACTCCATGCTCCAAAAAGGAGTAACCCCTGACAATTACACTTACCCACTTGTCCTCAAGGCTTGTTCTTGCTTGCGTGCACTTGACCTAGGTAGATGGATTCATGATACCATCTTGTACAATGAGTTGCATTGTAAAATAAAGCGTAATCTTTATGTTCAGTGTGCTGTGATTGACATGTTTGTGAAGTGTGGCAGCTTGGAAGATGCACGTAGATTATTTGAAGAAATGCCGGATAGAGACTTGGCTCTGTGGACTGCCATGATATGTGGAACTGCGTGGAATGGTGAGTGGTTTGAAGCGCTTTCCCTGTTCACAAAGATGAGATCACAAGGGCTGAAGCCTGATTCAGTGATTGTGTCATCTATGTTACCAGTATGTGGCAGATTGGAGAATGTGAATCTGGGGATGGCATTGCATGGCTGTGCTGTGAGGAGTGGCTTTGACAGTGATTTGTATGTGTGCAATGCTGTCATAGACATGTACTGCAAATGTGGTGATCTACTTGAGGCCCATCGTGTGTTTAATCATATGGTTTATAGGGATGGAGTTTCTTGGACTACCTTGATCGCTGGATACTCACAAAATGGGCTATACCAAGAGAGTTATGAACTGTATATTAGAATGGTAAATATGGGTTTAACAACAAGTGCAATTGTTGCCTCGAGTGTTCTTCCTGCTTTGGGAAAGCTCAAGTTGTTGAAACGGGGGAAGGAGATGCACAGCTTTGTTCTTAAAGAAGGACTTCTATCAGATGTAGTCGTAGGAAGTGCATTGATTGATATGTATGCTAATTGTGGGTCAATCAAGGAAGCGGAGTCAATATTTGAGTGCATGTCAGATAAGGATACCACGGTGTGGAATTCAATGATTGTGGGGTATAATTTAGTTGGTGATTTTGAGTCAGCATTTTTAACCTTTAGAAGAATCTGGGGAGCTGAACTTAGGCCAAATTCCATTACTTTAGTAAGTGTTCTTCCTATATGCACCCAATTGGGAGCTCTCAGACAAGGAAAGGAAATCCATGGTTATGTGACCAAAAGTGGTCTAGGATTGAATGTTTCCATTGGAAATTCTCTAATAGATATGTACAGCAAATGCGGATTTCTAGAACTTGGAGTGAAGGTCTTTAACCAGATGATGGTAAAGAATGTCATTACATATAACACTGTGATCACAGCTTATGGAGCTCATGGTCTGGGAGAAAAGGGTTTGACATTTTATGAGCAAATGAAGGTGGCAGGAATAAAACCAAATAAAATCACTTTTATTTCGCTATTATCTGCATGTAGTCATGCAGGTCTACTTGACAGAGGTTGGCTGTTGTATAATTCTATGATTATTGATTATGGAATTGAGCCTGATACGGAGCATTACTCGTGCATGGTGGATCTCATTGGTAGAGCTGGAGATCTTGATGGTGCATACAAGTTCATCACTAGCATGCCTATGATACCAGATGCCAATGTTTTGGGAAGCTTTGTAGGTGCTTGTGGACTTCACAACAAAGTGGAATTGGCTGAGCTTCTTGCAGAGCGTATTTTCCAATTAAATCTTGATGATTCAGGCCACTATGTTCTTTTATCAAATTTATACGCCTCTAGGAAACGATGGGAAGATATGTCAAAGGTGAGAAGCATGATAAAAGTTAAAGGGTTGGAGAAAAAACCAGGAAGTAGCTGGATTCAGGTAGGTCACCACATTTACGTTTTCCATGCTAACAGTACCTTTCATCCGGCATTTGCAAAGATTAAAGAGACTCTGGATAGCCTATTGTTAGTAATGAAGAGAGAAGATTATACGTTAACCAATGTTAATGATCAACATTTTACGTAAAATAGAAATATGAAATCCTCGAATATTGCCATTGGAAATTATTTAAGTGATAGAATCTTAGGTGATTCAAGTTGTTATACAACAATACGATGAAGTGCTGCCTTGAACTTTATTTTCTCATTAAAGTTCCATTTAGCACCGAACAGGGATCTGATAGCTAATTAATGCGTTAATTGCAATCCTGAATATAGATCTCACGCTTAATATATTGTATTGGTTCAGCAAATAAAAAGTTCAATAAAAGGAAAATAAAAAATAAAAATGAGACCATCTCATGTTCAATAAAAGTTCGTTCCAGGTAAAAACACGATCCACCAAACTCGATGTTTGAAAAAAGAAATTAATTTGTTCCCTGCAAAACTGTACATAACCGTATAAATAGAATAAGCCACGAAAAACACGAGGGTCATATTGCATTATCCATTAATCAGCGATAAGAAATCATGGAAGCGACAAAAGTAGGTTAACTGTTTGTCCTTAACGAGTTTTTTTAATCATCGCGCTTCAGCATCTTATAAAAATAAGGCTTTTTATTTTGAAAATTTATACCTGTACAATTAATTTGTACAATTTTTGTTTTTACAAATTAGGAGATAGAAAAAGAAAAGAGAAAAATGGGTGACAAGATAGATGATGGAAAGTAATGGGAAAAAACTATATTATAAAAAATTTCGGAATTTATTGTGAAAATATTATGCTGGTTATTTTGCCTTTCACTTGTTGGCCTATCATTAAAACATAGAATGCTGTTTGTACTTCAACAATCATTCATATTTTACAAAGTGATGTCATGTCACCTTTATCATTCACATCACAGTGGCATGTTAGTCAATGAAGCACTTGGCAGTTAGTTTTGAATTTTGCGTTAGTATTAGAAACTTTCATCGCCTAATAAGACACCTTAATTTGAATAATTCTTCCAATGAAATAATGGATTTTGGATGATAACTAATAACGATACTTCAATGCTTCTCCAATTGCTATTTTCATAAGTGCTTCAAAGCAGTAAAGCATCAACTATGAACTGTCTGCTTCTAGCTGCTGGAAGTTTATAATCAGATCCCACTATCTTTCTGTAAATCTACTTTCCTAAGCCATTTGCCTTTGACATATTTAACTGTTCCTGTCAATTATCTTGTTTTTTTCTCTTATGTGGGATAGCTAGTGGGGAAAGAAAATTTGATTCGGTGCTTGCTTTGTTGCATTTTCAGCCTGTCCACTGAGATATGAGTTCATGGGGATTGAGACCTTAGGAGTTAACTGGGAAGAAGCTGGGTTTTTTGCCACGTTGGTAGGTGTGTTAGTTGGCAGAAAGGGTTGTGAAGAAGGATTTCCAATCATAGGAATGAAAGGTGCATGAGAAATGGGCATGGGTGGCACTTGGTTAGGGAAACCAAACATTCTAGCTCTATTGTCAGTGATACCAGGCAAAGGTGTAATAGGGAACTGAGGTAGGCTACAAGGGATGGTTGTGCCTGGCCTGAAGCCCATTCCTGCTCCCATTAACTGATGTAAATGTGGTGTGCTCATCATATGATGAGTGGCAGTAGGTAACATCATAAGAGGCATGCAAAACCCAGCACCCATTGACATAATCTGCATCATAACAGTAAGCTAAAGATGTCCATATGACTGTTTTACACAATTCCTTAAAAAGAAATTGATGAAGTAAAAGACTGAAGTTACCTGTAACTGAAGCTTTAGGGTCTTAAGATATTCAATGGCATCGTCAAGCATTGAAGCTTTGTCCGTCTAAGAGACATACAAGATAAAAGTACAGAATAGAACTAAGTGCATCGTAGAATTTACGTGGACGAAGCAATAATTGAAGGAAAAGAAATTACGTAAATCCACACCTTATTGCAATTTGGTATGAGCTCTTTCAATGCACGCATTCTCTTGTTGATCTTATCTCTTCGCTTCTGCAAACATAACAACAACGAGTAAGAATTTATTAATCGTTCTCCAAATTATCATGTCCTACATGTTCCCTCACCTTTTCGCATAAATTATGAGTCTCTGCATTCCTGTTTCTCTTGACTCTGGTGCCATCCCGAGCAGGCTTTTCCTTCACTACATCTTCTGGTTCTTCATCATTCTGCATTACGTTAATGAGGTTCCTGAGAGTCATGCTAAGTAGAAGAAGGTGAAAAATACAGTGTAGGGATCCACTTACATCGCTTAAATACATTGAGTCGTCGGTGTCATCATGTTTCCTGCCACAAAGATTTGCATTGTTTGAGGCTTCAAGGGAGCATAGGGAAGAAGAATCTAACAAGGCTTGATCACAATAGTTAGTATCAGCTTTTCCCTTTGCTCTAAGTCCTGTTGAGCTTGAGGTTCGATTATAATAGTGAGCATGAGATCTGTGAATAGTAATACAAGGAGCACTGTTACGACCCACGGCTTCAGATTCCTCGTCAGGAGGTGTTTCTTGATTTCTTGGAACAAAGGAGACTGGGTTTGACGCATCAGAAGTCAAACGTTTTTGTCCGTAAAGTCGTGTGAGAGCATACGATCCTTTAGGTGAGTCAATCACCGGAGCCAAGTCTTGTTTCTGTGAACTTCTTGTTTGATGAGGTCCTATTGCTCTAGAGTTTGCGCAACCATCTTTATGTTCATCGAAACTCTTGCTTTTGGAGAATTTCAAATGAAGTTGAGGGGAATTTCGATAATTGCTTTGATGAGAATTTCGTTGTGAATGGTCCAACTCAGAGTTCCTTTGAACTGGCAAGTCCATAAGGGAGTATAATGTGCTTAACCTTGCACTTTTGCCAATGCAGCCACCTTCTTCAATTGCTTTTATTGAATACCCATCGCACAAGGGAGTCTTTCGTGTGACACTTGAGGATGAGCCTCCTTGCACGTGAATTTGACCATTCTCCCATACCAACTCAAGGGAACCGTTGCCATAACTGGATTAAAATCATTCGCTTTATCTCTAAACCAAAAGAAGGAAAAAGGAGGGTGGAAAAAGACAGAAACGTGCTTGAATATAAAAAGGGAACCCAATTTATAATCAACAATGACTTACATGGAATCTAGGTAGGAGGAACTTCTTGTCATCCCTGGTCGGGTGGAATCATGCATCTTCTCAGCCATTAAATAACTATATTATCTTCCAAAAGAAATTCAGGTGCTCACAGATACTAAACTGTGTGGAATACTTTAGCTTGTGACGTATACTGTACTCGGTTTCACTTGTGAGGACTAATATCACAGTGGAAGCTATTAACTGTTAGTACAAGAACAGATACTGAATTCTGCTCATGATTTGCCAGCGAGCACGCACAAAATAGAGAAGCAGAAATCACGTGTCTCAGATTGTTAAATCTTAATAAATGTACTAGTAGTATTCAAATGGTGAGAGGATGGAAGGGTTCATTTCTACGTAAGCAAAATATTACGTGATAAGGGAAGGGATGATCAATAAGATGAATTCTGAAACTAATAATAACCCATGTGGTCCTTCTACTGTTCGAATGGTACACTCAACAATGTAAAATTCAGGCACCACAGCATAGTGTCCACAAAATTCTGGTCATCCTATCTGTCATATATTATGGGAGTTAGGTACCAGTAGATGAGACCGCGAAGATACCCATCATGGGAGTGAGGTGGACCAGGGGAGCTAAAAATACAGTATTAGTCTACTCAGCTTGCTCTTTCTCATTCATGGATGTACAAATATTTCAAAATTGGCGACGTATTCATGTCATATGGAAATCTAAAAACTTAAGGAAAAAACAATAATTTTAAAATTGTGACATACCAAAATCATATCCAATTCCTGAATCGTGCAACATAGTTTTAGTGTAATTTGAGGCTTATTGAACACTTGACAATCCCAACATAAATAAAAGAGAAGATTGGAATCCACACGCGATGGTTTTGAGAGTTGGTCATTTTGAAGTAATTTTACTTTTATTACATGGGAACATACTACATGTCAAGTATTTAGTATCCTTTCCATCTACGTTTATTTATTAACAGATATATGGATAAGATCATTTATATCAATTCTGGATTTTTTGCTAATCAAGGGGGAAACTGAGACGGTTGCAGGACGGCAAGGAGGGTTCACAAAAGAGACTGTTGATGGGAACACATCCAAAGAAACCCGAATCTAAGGTTTGGACGGACTGGGAGCCCCATACCGGGCTTTGTTAGCTTTCTTTGAGGACCTCCTCCCTAGTCTTCAGTGAAAGTGTACAGGTTATTTTGAGTGGGGAACATCGTAGAAAGCCACGCACCCTCTCCCTTGCGTAGGAGGAGAAATGTGGGAGCGTCACCGGTTTTCACGTGGTGTTCACATTGGGTTCACGTGCCCGGGCGTCGTCTTGTCTGTACTTTTGTATTCACGACCGTCAGTTCTTTGAATTTAGAGACGAGGGTGATCCAGCTGGCCTTAACAAAGTGGGAGGATGCAACACCACAGGGAAAACGATAGATTTAAGCCCCAGTATGGTATACTTGTCAAAATGATCGATGTTGACATTCTCATTCTAATTTAATGTAATCAAAACTCTGCTCCTGAATTCCTGCGGTGTGAGGATATATCATAATCTGTCTACAGTTTCAACATCCTCTTTCAAAATAATTTCAAAGTGACCCATCATCAACCACCGCTCCCCATCGTGCGAAAGAAACACTCTTGCTTCTTTTCTTTTTTTTCCCCCTATTAAGTTATTTCTAAACCAGTGAGTTCGGCGTTTCAAATATGAATTCCGCTTTGCTATTTTTATCTTCATTTCCTTACTAAATAATGATGACTGAATTCTCAGACAAACCTCAAACGCTTTTTTAAAAACTCAAACAGCATGCATTTGAAATATGTCCAGGCCAGGTGAAAATACAGGATGGTGGGCCCGCCAATTTGAGAGTTGGAAAATCAGATGATTAAGAAGAAAGAACAATCCCAGCAACACTTGGGGGGTGTTCTTTTTACCTCACTAATCACGCACAATAGACCTAGTAGTCGAATTTGATAAAAGAAATTAAGTGATGTTGCTTGAACTCGGCCAATTTATCTATATCTATTCTATGCACTAAAAAGTGGGGGAGGGGGACCGGGCATAATATTAAGTACATAGAAATCTTTAATGATACCAGTCCCACGGATCTAGCGAAATCTCAAGAAGCGCTTAATGCTGTACAAGTTCTAACTTGCAGGGAATCGGAAGAAATCACATCAATTTAGTATGCCCTCTTTCAAGCACATTGCTACAACCTGCTTTAATTGTAGCAGTTTTCCCCTCGCCTTCTGCAATCAATTAGGAGGATAAAATCAGTTCCGCAAGGTAAAAAATGCTGTGTGTCTCCATTTACAATGATAGTTAACATTGTTGTTAAGAAATGACTCATAACTATCAATAGGGAAAAGGAAAATCTAAACAAGCAGAATGACTAACGCCGGCTGGACCAGGAAGACATCACGTTCACACCCTAATCCTATATTCGATGAACAATGCAAGGGAATCAAAAAGAGCCCGGTGCCAAGAAAACTTGACGTGCGAATTTTATTGTCTACACAACGACCAACAAGCACAATCCAAATGGTTGGCTACCCTGGATTTTGCTGGCTTCAGTGACTAGTCTACCGGTCAGTGATTCAAGTATAACCTAACGCAACAGTATGGTGCAGTCTATGAGTACACTAGTAAATCCGAGAATCAAGCGATCGATTGATGACTAATCACCAACTCATTATTATAATATCATAAAAAGGCAGCGAAAACCTAGCGCTAGAGCATATGGCTACTGCACGTAACAAATACTTGCCTCCTGGGTGACTCGGAGTTTCCTTTCAGCGTCATTGAGTTGGATCTCCGCTGCCTCTTCAACTTGCGATAGAAGCTTCTTATGTGCGACTCCTATAATAGAAGAATATTCAAAATGTGGCCGCAACCTACATAATTCTTACCAATAATGCAAATGGTGATATATTTTTCTTAACTTGAGAATGAACCTAAGAACACCGAACACTAATCCCTTATGGAGCCAAAGACGAAATGGTTGCTAATCAAAATATTAAGAAAAACAGCTTGAATTTTCTTTCCAAAACATCATAGGTGCATTTGTCCACGATATTTGTTGCATAGGACATTGCGATGCATATACAACGACACTCTTCTAATAATTAACAGAAATGATATAGAAGATGGCATAAATGTGTGCAAATTGTGTCATGGCCCTAGTGATTTGAAAGGATATACTTTTTTCTCTCAAAATAGAGGGGCAAAAATTGCACTATTCCCTTGATGACCCCGTCTCTAATAAACACCGTTTAATAGCTTAATGAGAAGCTAGTGAATTAGTTACTCTCTTTCAAAGACTAAATTGAACAATACACCTGAGTTGATATTTGTAGATATATTGAACCTAAAAACAAAGGGGGTATCCATATCCAAAGACGTGTTTTGCATATTTGGATTAAAAGTAATTTGTTGGAAAAAACTGCGTTTGCAAAATAACACAATACAAATTAAATTTTAAGTTATTTTACACACAAAATAAGCTAATCCAAAAAGTGAGTTTTCATACTTTGCTTTTCCAGGGCTCCTTTGATCTCTATCTGATCTGCTTCAAGATCTTCGACAGTGCCTTTGCAATCCTGTAGATGCAGATTGATTTCTTCCTTGAATCTGTTGTATATCAATCTCAACTGTTTCTGTTGCTCTACATTTTAGGTACGAAATAGAGGAAGGAGAAAACATCCGTGACATAATTATATGAATAGAAAGTGCCATTAAGAAAATAAAATATGAGGAAAATATTGAATATGAAATTCAGAGGCGATATATAGTAAATGGTAGAAATACTACGTGGAAGATCCCGTGCGAGGACTTTTTCAATAGAATCATGCCATTCTTTTTTTCTCGCCCTTTTGTAATTTCTCATGATAAATAATTTTATGACTTTCATCAACAGAACCAAAACGGGGAAAAGAAAAAATAATGCCAAATCCTCCAAAAAAACATCAGCCAATCAACTTCCTCATTAATCCTAATTACTTAGAAGTATTAAACGAAAATGAAAAGGCATTTAATACTTTCTTTTAATAATTGCTAACTCAGTTATGCTAACGACTGTGATAATGGTTAAGGAATTATTATTATTTTGAATATAATACTTAAATATGTGATTTAAAACTGTTACTAATCAGAAGGATTATACAGAGTCGTTAAGAGTTTTTCACTTCATGAAGTCACAAACAATAATATTGCTGGAAATGGACGATGCTTACATTGTTAATTTCTCTGCCTAGATAGTACTCTAAGGTTTTGGAAGTTGAATTTAAAAGGCAAATATGAAAAGGAGAAAGGAGAAGGAATTTTCTCATGTATATTCATGAGCAAATTTTATGTCTAATCTCTTTTCATTAATATTAATAAGGCTCAATTGTGAAAAATGAACACAACTTACACATAATATTTTCATGTGAAATTTAAACATCCACATCCATTCCTAGGAGAACCATTTTATAAAATAACTATATCAGTTAAATGAAAACAAAAATATATTTAAATTTAAGTGAACATTGACCTAGAAATTTTGCTACCTTCAAATCTTGTTTCTAGCCGTTTCCTTTTTGATTTACTGAGATTTGTAAACCTTCCCCTGAAACATTTTTTCAGAAAGACAAACGCGCAAGATATCGTGAGCTTAAGAATTTGTCAATCTAATATACCTACATGTCTGTTTGAATCTGAGAATGAACATTCTGAAGCTGCAGGTGAATTTCTTCAGCAACAGACTTCAAAATTTCTGAGGATTTTTTGCTTGTCATCGAATTAAGTTTGCTCTTAACTTTGCCCAATTCCAAGGCTAACAGCTCAACAGCCCTATCAAATACTCAAGAAACATGCAATTAAAAGACTTTGTAAATATGAATAGTATATTGTATTTTTCTGGACTCGTCAACCATTTCATTGTGGAAAAAGAGAGAACACCTTACAAACCCATCTTGATTCTGCTCAGAAGCTTCGTCGATCCAATCACTGTCTCCTGTACCTATTCATTTATGTAAATTATGGTATAAAGATTGCATATAATAGCATATTTAGATAATAATATAAAGTACAAAGTGAATTTTTGCCTTTCGAGGTCACCGAAGCCGGACTGCTATCGTTAAATTTAATGCCTTCATGCTTGCACAGTCTTTTGATAGGATGAAGCGCAAAACTTTTCCTCTGGGGAGTATGTCTTACTCTTGAACCTACACTTCACAATTTAGATACAAATTAGAAAATGGCTTTACCTTGAAAGGACACAATGGTATCTAAGGGTGGAAAACACAATATCTAATAGCACATTTTGTTCAACTCCAGTAAAATCGGCAGATGCATCAAATAACTGACACGTCGGACTTTAGAAGAGCGTGTTATGCCACATTGTATTGATAGATATATGATTCATTTTAATTATTCCTGGCCTATCAACTAGAGGTGGCACACAGTTACTCTGTACCAGTGGTTTTTTTTTTTCTTTTCCTCTTTTTAATTTCAGTTTGGAGGATAATCCTTTCACAAATAAGAACTGATGAAGCGTAAGAACCTTGAAAGACCAGTGGACGCAGAAGGTCACACTAACGCTGTATAAGCATGGTAACTAGTCATGATAGAACGCATCACAGTCTTAGATCAGAGATAATGAAGGACTAGGAACATGCTAAATACGGTAAAGACCGCTGCAGCAGTTACCAAAAATAAATATATAATTGAAGAATGAGTAATTTGAAGTCTTGAAGAATATATAAGATTGACTTGGAAAAAGAAGAAAAGGAGACAAATTATTCTTATGAAAGGGACATGTTCATCACTTTCTGTAGCTTCAAATGAGTATACACAATACTAGGATTATTTTAGTTTATGTGGATGTGCTTAAACCAATTTGTCTTTGTTTCAAAATGCAATATATACTAAAATTAGCCTGTTGAAAAGAAGTACAACAGACCCCGTGGGATACATCTCCTGCAAATTAATTGATGCAAGAAAATGTATATATCCTTATTTACTGAAAGGCAAACCTTCACGAGATCCTTGGAAATTTCGCTCCTCAGATGATGAATCAGATGAGCCATCCTGCTCTTTATTCTGTGTCTCAGAAGATTTGTCTTCTCTGGGAATAGAAGATATGAGCTCTTCCATCTCCTGAAATCTAATAAGGAATAGCAAAAGACAGAAGCACAACATCTCCAGTTCAGGGACAAAACACACAAAATCATAACGAGTGATAAGGATACAGATAACCTTTGTTCTCCAAGTCTGTTGAAATCTGGCTCCAAAGTCTGAAAAGAGCTTAAACTACGAATGGTTCCCAGAGAAAATCTTCTTTCAGTTGATGTCGGACTGCTAACATCATTTGCCTTTCGGTCTGTTTTGGGTGTTGAGTTAGGAGAAGAACTTAAAATAGGTGTCTTAAGTTGAAATGTAGGACTTTGAAAATAATCTTGTGACTTAGAAACATTCTCTATAACTGGATCACTTCTATATTCTTGCTCATTTCCAGTTTCTGAGACCTCAAGTTCTCCATGATGATCTGAACTGTTTACTGTCGGTGGCTGGTAAAATTCTTTTTCTTGGTTCTTCTCTGTCTGAGGGCATTTTGTCTGATAATCAGGTAGGCTACCAATAAATCCTCCCATTTTTTCCCCAAGTGAAAACATTGTCCCGTCATGCAGCGGTAGAACAGTCTTCGAAGTGTCTTGATGAAGTTTATCTGTGGTATCATTTTCAGTGAAGCAGATCTTATGTTGTCCAATTCTGGATTTCTTTCCCTTACTCTTTCTCTTCAAAGACGTTGAGGAATCATCATTTGGAAAATTATCTTGTTTCCCAATCCATTTTTCTTCAAAAGAAAATATACTTTTTTGTCGATGATTCTCCATGAAATTTGAAGATGGACCACTTTTACATTTTCCCGGTTGTTTTTTGGAAGATGCTTTCTTTCGGCTCCAGGAACGAGTTACTGGCCTCTTACGAGTATGATCAGTATTTTCCGAATCATTTTCTATAGTATCTGAATTTTGTCTTGTCTTAACGGATTGATTTTCTTTCGGGTTCAAACATTGCTCAAGCGGCAAATTTTCCTCATCTTTGTTACTGGTGTGGGAACCTGAATGCTGACTCTTTGGGGAAGTAGTCCCCAATATTTGCCATAGTTTCATCCTCAAATTCTCAGTTCTATTTTCTGTTCTATTTATTTTGTCCTCCGGGTCAGTTTTATCGGACTTCAAGATTTCTTGTGCAGTGGTAAATGTAAATTCCTTTACCCTTTCAGTGGTCCCGTCCTTTCTTCCCTTCCTTCTGCTTGTGTCCCCATCAAACTTCTTGTAATTATTAGAAGGAGATATTGAAGTCTGATACGAGAAAAGCTGAACCGAATGTTTTCCAGCTTCACACACTGTTCCATCAGGCCCATCCTGCCCGCCAGGAGAGACTAAAACAGATGCTTGGTTGGCTTGAAGAATGGCCTCAGAAGTAGGTGTTCTTTGGTAAAGGGATTTAGAGATCCAAGAACACTTAACAGCTTCTGGACCTTCAGTTTGCTTTATATTAAAGGAAGCGGTCACTCCTTCAACAATGTTTTTTTCTCCGCTGAAATTTCCCACAATTGGCACGACAGCCCCGTACCCTTTCATGGCTCCATTTCTTGTGCTAGCTTTTGAATCTGCCATAACTCCTATAGAAATTTTTCCTGTCTGGCTAGATGGACGAATATTGCTGCCAAAACTCCGACAATCACTCGTTCGCTCCTGAATACATAGTCAAATCGATTAATATCTTCACTTTTCTTCCGTCAATAATAGAAAAACTGCAACTAAAATCATTATCGATTGTGGCTGGTAACATCAGAGAGAAGGGCACCGGAAAAAATACAGTTCAATTTTTTTACACTTTGCTTCAATTATTATGAATGATTAAGTTGCATTTGCATCAGAACAAATGTCAAACACAAACTAAACATCAGCCAAACAAGATTTACAGGAACAATTCACACTTCACAGCGATCAATAAACCAAACCTATCGAATCAACTACCAATGTTCAGATGATTATAATTTAAACATTGAAGAGAGCACACTCATAGTAACCAAACAAAGAACAGAATAGTCGCCAAATCATGGTTGCTACTCCTTACATCATGCAAAATTTGACGCGCTTCAGTGTCCATTGAGTTGCAATTTCAGGCTAAGCAGCGGCGTCATTAACTAACCTGAAAACGTAACAACCAAAACCAACATTTATAAAGTGAATAAAACAAATCCATACATAACCCGGTTTAATTTCTCAGAAAATTATGGAAGGAACTCATCGTTCATGAAGCCTCCGTTCAAGTGAGCATAACACGATTATTTCTCTCAGCAGAGTGTGCACATAAAAATAACAACCTCGCAAGTCGCAACTCGAGAGAGAAACAAGTACGCATATCGTTCGAAGGGCGAACACGAAAATGAAAAAGGAAATTCCAAAATTAACCTGAAGCGCAACAGAATGAAACTAAGAATTGGAACTCGCGGATCGATCACCTGAGAAGAAACGCTCGAGAATGAGGAATTGAAGAATTCGGAGACGATACATAGACACGACCTCAACAATCAAAAAGAGTCGCAAGCTACAATCGAAATTTAATCTCAATGAAAATCATGTCGGAGCAGGAATGTTGATGAGAGATTTGCAAGAAGTTGAAAAAAACACTTACGGCGTAACTCTACCCTGTTGGTCGTAACAAAGCTCCGTTTCCGAAATTGCGAGGGGAGAGAGAGACGGAGCGAGGAATGTGAAATTGATTTTGTGGAGAGTTTAGTTATGCGAAGCTATTTGCTTTGCTAATTGCTGCAATGCGAAGTGGAAACAAAACAAAAAAGAAGGCGGGAAAAGGAGGTAAGGAGCCAAACGTCCTCACAGTTTATATTGTCAACATGATGCGCATTGCGCATGACTTGTATTTTTGAATTTCAATTGCAGATACAACTATGTTAGAAAATGTTTTATTAATTTAAGAGTGTTGATTCATAAATAAATAACTACAAATTTTAGTTATATAAATTTTTCTTATTCTTTTTAATAAATTTTAATTAATTACTTAAATATATTTAAAAATGTGAGTTAAAAAATATTTTTTTAACATTTTTCGTTCACCAACTCAGTTTAAGGATTTGCGTGTTTTATGTCATAAATTAAGTTTCTACATCGTACGTGTATTTTAATATAAAATTCGTGATTAAAAATAATTTGAACGCATTTTTTTATTACATTCAATTGTTTGAAATTAATTTTACCCTCATAATTAAAATAAACATGCACTCAATTTACAAAATAATAATAAGATTGTGGAGTGACAATTAGTGTAGTTTGGATATCGCAATCTATAACCAATAACCCATCTCATCTTAATCCTTTACTCATAGTTGTGTATTTTATTTGAGTATTAAGCTTATTCTTATAAATTGTCTTCCCTTGTTTGGTAAGAAGAATGTTGCTAAGCTAACGTTGGGTTCATTGACACAGTAGAACTGTTGAAATTTTGACTCACTAATTTATTGATTGAGATCATTTACATAATATGCAAATACGTATGAGAAATATTAAATGAGATAGTTAAATTACATGAGAAAAAATATTTATTAAAATATTATCATAAAGGATAAATAATAAAGGATGTGTATTTTTTTTAATAATTATATGATTTTAAATAAAATTGATCAATTATTTTTACTTAAAAATTACCTCTCTTGTTCTCTTATATAAAAATATTTCTCACATTAACATATTCGTTTTTTCAAATTAACGAATATGGAATCACAAGAGAAACAAAAATGAAAAACATGTATAAATTATTAAATAATTTATCAACACCCATCACCGTTATATCAAGCCAACATTTTTCAATCATCTTATTTGATGAAACTATAAAGGACTTAAAAGTTGTTATCTGAAGTTCTTTATTGTAAATATGATCATTAATATATTAAAAAAGAATTTATTTCAATCAAATACTTTTTTTTGTTTTTTAAGAGACCCTAACTTTAAATATTGTTGTTTATATACCAGAAATATCTCATCCTTTTCGTTTGATCATTTTCATATACATCATATCTCATTTAAAATTTTTTTACCAACTTAACATCAATCCATTTTACATGTATCAAATTTATCATTTATATTTACGTGACTCTACATATTTATATCAACTTTAATGTTCATACATGTTAAAGTTTGAAATTTTACTGATCAACATTGTCGGGGTATTGATTAAAGAAAAAAAATATTTTTTAATCAAAATAATATTAAATTGCATTAAAAAAGTGTATTTGTTATTTTTTTTAATAAAATTCTATATGTAAATTCTGTAACCACTGTTGTATACTGACACTAATTAACATTTTTTTTTTGTTATAAACATTTCTTTTAAACTTTACAAACATTTGCTACGACATGCATATACCATAGCAGTCTTTACATGCAATATTTGTATGCAGTTTTTAGGTTATGAAAACTAATTATCAAATCATCCTATGTGCATTACTTTTAAACCATGCATTAATCTCATTTAACTACAAGGACTAAACCCCTTAGTTATTTCAATATATTTTGAAGGAAAAAAAAAATCACATTCCCTAATAAAACTAAACATTAACTTTCTTATTTTTAACAACCATCTCAACATTATAACACGAGTTATTTCGGTGAATTTCAGTGGCTTAAAATTTTATATATATATATATATATAATATTTAATTTGATTCTCTATTTTTATTTTCATATAAAACTTAATAAATATGATTATATAATACGAGATATAGTATCAATTTATAGTAATTTAATTAATAAAATATAGTTTTGATTTCTTTAAAAATATATAATTTTTCATTAGATATATATATTTTTATTAATTTTACAAATAAGTCTCTAATTATTTAATGTTTTTTAGTATTTTATTTTTTATGTAATACTCAACTTAATTCATATAATATAACATTGTGTTATATAATATCTACACTTATATATATATATATATATTTATAAATTTTAATTTAAAAAATATTAACTTTATAGCCTAAAATTGTGTTTAAAAATACAAAAGATGTAATGAACAAAAATCAAAACAAGATAATAAATTAATAATATAAAAAATTAGAAGAAAATAAAAAATAAATTTGAAATGAGTAAATTAATTATTGAAAAGATTAAATAAAGAAATTATAAATGTATAAAAGATGAAGATGTTATTTAAGCCTAATAAAATTATCCTTTCCATAAACAGTGAACATTTAATCTGTTGATGACCATTTTGGTGCACAGTACCAGACCAAGGAGGGGTAAAAAAGTGAAATATTTGGTTCGGTTGTGTATCGTGTTGGAGACTTGGAGATTTGAGCTGCACACAGCACAACTGTTGAAGATAACGAAGTGGGCTGTTACTTGCTCCTTCACTTCATAGCCATGGTTGCAGTTTTGAACGACATTCTATTCTCCTCCACCCAAACCCTTCTCCGCCCCTCCCTTCACACTTTCTTATCCTCACCCGCTCCTAAATTTCCTCGCAGTCGCCATAACCGTATTCCCCGTTGCTCCGTCGCCGAGGGCCCCACCGCATCTCCGCCCAAAACCCGAGACTCCGCCCCCCTCGACTGCGTCATCGTCGGCGGCGGCATCAGCGGCCTCTGCATCGCCCAGGCTCTCTCCACTAAACCCGCCAATGCCGCCCCAAACGTCGTCGTCACAGAGGCCCGAGACCGTGTCGGCGGCAACATCACCACTCTCGAAAGGGATGGCTACCTTTGGGAAGAAGGCCCTAACAGCTTTCAGCCCTCTGATCCGATGCTCACCATGGTGGTATGTGGTGTTCTCCCTTCTCTTTAGGGCTAACCCTCCCGCAATTTGGTAACGTTTGTTGTGGCATTTTGGTGCAATTCGATGTTCCTGATTGAATCGTTGGTGATGGAATTTCGCTTGTTGCGTTTTGCAGGTGGACAGTGGTTTGAAGGACGAGCTTGTTCTGGGTGACCCCGACGCGCCTCGATTTGTACTGTGGAATGGAAAGTTGAGGCCCGTGCCGGCGAAGCCAACGGATTTGCCTTTCTTTGACTTAATGAGTCTCGGTGGTAAGCTCAGGGCTGGTTTTGGTGCACTTGGAATTCGGCCTCCTCCTCCAGTGTGTGCTCTTTCTTTTCTTCAATTATGTTTGTGTCAAATGCAGTGTCCGGAAGGATGAAGCACACGCGTTCTTGATTTGATTTTCTCATGTAGTATAATGTTGACGAAGGTGACAGGGTCATGAGGAATCGGTTGAGGATTTCGTGCGGCGGAATCTCGGTGATGAGGTTTTTGAACGATTGATAGAGCCTTTTTGTTCAGGTGAGAGACTGATTGCGTTTAATCATTATCATGGACTTGTTTTTCTCTCTCTCTTATTTGTTAATTTTGTTAACATTTTAAGTTTTAACCAGCATTATATTATTATGTACTGATATAGTTTTCTGTATTCTTTTGGACCCAGTGATACTCAGTTCTTGGCCAATAAAATGTAATCCATCATGATAACTGACTAATAGCATAATAGAATAGAATGAGAAGTTTATAGACACCCGAAAGAATGCTTCAAATTCATTGTCTAACCTGTCTATTGAAAAATCTAGGATAGAAAAATTGGGAAAAAATTTTCCTAATTTTTGGCCATATTTCAATATTCTTATGGCACTTGAAATATTATTGGCCACTTTTTGGTGCTGTTCAGTATCTTTCTGATTATTATGTAATATGTAGTGATCCTTTAATCCACCATATGAAACTGAATTGATTGAATACTTGCTTTTCTTATTTTGGGGTTCGTTGGGGTCGGGAATAACTTGTCAAGAAGCAAGTCCAATATGTTCTAATTGGTTCATAATGATTCTTACCCTGTGGGGGTCTCGACATATTAGAACACTTGATTTACCACATTTTCAACAAAAGCCCTGCTTTTCTTTCTTCCCTATTATAAATGTTATTGAAGTATATGTACAAATAAACAAATCGATAAGAACTTACTGCAAATCATATATAAGTCAGCTACGATGTCCCATACAAGAACCGAGTGTGTCTTATTCTTTCTTCTTTACCTAATTAGCGATGAGCTTACTTCATCTAGCTTTTCTCTCTCATTATGAATTTTCTGTTGTTTTTTTAAGCAGTCTTTTGTTGAAATTCCTGTTACTTACCTGAATTTTGTTATATACAGGTGTCTATGCAGGCGATCCTTCAAAATTAAGCATGAAAGCAGCATTTGGGAAAGTTTGGAGGCTGGAACAAAATGGTGGCAGCATTATTGGTGGCACTTTCAAAGCATTACAAGAGAGAAATGGAGCTTCAAAACCGCCTCGAGACCCGTAATAATATATTTGCTTTGGAGTTTCTAGATTTCCCCCCCAATAATTTATGGATTGCTTCACTAACTCAATCTATTTAAATAATAACTTAGGCGTCTTCCAAAACCAAAGGGTCAAACTGTTGGATCTTTCCGAAAGGGACTTACCATGTTGCCAGATGCAATTTCTGCAAGGTACTAAATGTTGCCTTATACCAACCTCTACTTATTTACCACTATTCTCTGGATTGATGATCCTGGCAAATTGTGATCCTATTGACAGATTAGGCAACAAAGTAAAGTTATCTTGGAAGCTTTTAAGTATTAGTAAACAAGATAGTGGAGAGTACAGTCTGACATATGAAACACCAGAAGGAGTGGTTTCTTTGCAGTGCAAAACTGCTGTCCTGACCATTCCCTCATATGTTGCTAGTACATTGCTGCGTCCTCTGTCTGTAAGTTTCTTCCTCAAAAGAGGATTATATCATTTATTTATGTGAATTCATTGCTGTTTTATCTGTGGAATCTTTGTTCTTGGCCCATATGACTTGTTGGAATTGTGTGTGTGTGTGAAAGTGTGCGTATTTTGGTACTTAATTGTTGGTCTTTAGTTTTCTTTGCTTGCATGTTTGAGTGTGTGTTGTGTGAGTTCATTCATATGTGTATATTCGTTTTAGGGTATGTTATACTGGTTTCTAAAACAGGGGTTTCAGGTCATCACAACCCTCGTGACCGGCTTTTGCCAGAGTCTAATAACAAAAATGCATGCAACAAATAAATTGTTTGACGAATGGCCAAATTTGGCATGATAGCCCCCAATGTAAGCATTAAGTGCAGTTATTCCTGATAAGATTTTAATATATCTTGCAGGCAACCGCTGCAGATTCACTTTCAAAGTTTTATTACCCTCCTGTTGCTGCAGTTTCCATATCCTATCCAAAAGAAGCTATTAGATCAGAATGCTTGATAGATGGCGAGTTGAAAGGGTTTGGACAATTGCATCCACGCACCCAAGGAGTGGAAACATTAGGTCAGTATTGATTTTATAGAGCAAAAGTGGAGGCTTTCAGCACTTTAAGTTACCGTGTGTTTAATTACTTCCATCCAAGTTTTAACCAGGTAGTGGGGACTTTGGAGGGCATTCTAGTGTTTTGACAGGTTTGATAATGAGAACTATTTGTGGGTTTGTTAGGAACTATATACAGCTCTTCACTTTTCCCCAACCGAGCACCACCTGGAAGGGTTTTACTCTTGAATTACATTGGAGGGGCTACTAATCCTGGAATTGTATCAAAGGTACGAAATTTATATGAAATTTGATCTGTTAACATAGATGCAATTATGTGCGACATTCTGCTTCTATGGGGTCAAATAGGGTGAGCATGGCCTAGTTCTTCTGGGAAACAAAAAGATGGGTGTCAAAAACTATTGATCATTTTCACTAGTGGCTTGTTTGGCTGTTTGAAACGACTCTGCTCCAATGGCCTTGTTTCAAATGTTTTAGAATTTTCTATATAAATAATAAAATGTTGAGATTTTTTTTTTCTACGGAGAGCATTTGATATACTAGTCAGAGAAGTAGTTCACTCTAGAGAAGTATTATAGGTTTATTGTTCTAGTCAGAGGAGTACTTTGGCTTAGAGTACTTTAGGCCTCTTAATCTACATCATGTCTTGATGATTGGTGGTGCTGGGTTTCAGGCATCATCTCTGTTATTTTATTTTTTTTGCTTTACATGCTTGGATCTGTTCCTGTTATATATTTTACATATCTGAATTAATTTTTTTGTTATATATGGAAACAAGTGTCATATCTCTTTCTGTATAATCAGATTTGTTTCCTTCATTTTTTATTTACTCCTAATTGTCTTGTTGAATGGCAGACGGATGGTGAACTTGTTGAAGCAGTTGATCGAGATTTGAGGAAAATCCTTATAAAACCAAATGCCCTGGATCCATATGTATTGGGGGTGAGACTGTGGCCTCAAGCTATTCCACAGTTCTTAATTGGGCATCTTGATCTACTAGATGTTGCTAAAGCTTCTCTCAAAAATACTGGGTTTGAGGGGTTGTTCCTTGGGGGTAACTACGTGGCTGGTGTTGCCCTGGGACGATGTGTTGAAGGAGCCTATGAGGTAGCTGCTGAAGTAAATGATTTTCTCGCAAAGAGAATGTACAAATAGTGGCAATTTCTATCTTCGGGAATGGATGGGACTCTCGTGTTTCATTGAATTGTAATAACAGTTTCTCAATTTTCGTTTGTCAGGCTTTTGGTGGCTTCTATTGCAGATAATGTAAAATCCCCTCTATGTTTAATTCATTATCTACTTCACATTTATTTAGCAAGGTAGCTATCACTTTGCCACTCCATTCTTCTTTAATATAATAGGGTTGGTAGATTTTGAGCTGTTACTATATATGTAAATCCAGGCAATGTTCTGTAACAATTGCATGAGTTATATAATAACAAGGCTTGTGTATTTTGAAGGTGTATATTTTGTTTGGGAAGTAGTTTTCTGGTTCATTTTGCAGTTAAACACCATGGTTTCCCACTATGGGTTACAATACTGAAATTAATTAAAATTGAGATGCCAAGTTGCTTCTATTCTGGCCCCAAGGGTAATGAGTGGTAATTTACTGATATTGTGGAGGAGAGGGGAGTTAAACAGGATGTATGGCTGAATTTGGAGTGATGTAGTTATACAAGTGATAATTGTTAGGTGACGTACATTTATAGCTAAGCCGCATTGCTTATGTTTTGGAGAGCAAAATGTTTGAGCTCCGTATCTGTAGATACTCGATGAAGAATTTCAACACGGCAACTTATGGTTGGATCCTTAAGCCAAACAATAATATTAATAAGCAATGATAGAGAATTAGAATCTACTAAAAGAGGGTAAATAAAGCCCTGCTGTCAGTGTTGGACTATTGGACCTACCGTGGGGACATCCTTACATGGGAGATTTCAAAAGTTATGGTATAAAGTTTGACCAATGAATGAAACTCATTATTTCTAAAGGACGGACAATGATGACGGAGAAGCGAAGCAATGAAAAACAAACAAAGTGATAGGAGAACAGGAACGACAAAGAAAATGGAGGATTTGGTCTTGACATAGCAAGACACATCTACTATGGCTATTTAAGAAAAAGCGGACGTGGGTTACACCCTGCCTTTCTAATTCAACACAAAAACTCTATTGGAGACCAAATGACAGATTTATGGCTAATCGAAGCAACCTTATGGTTGGGATGGTGGGGAACATTTTACCTTTTTTCTTTTCCCCTCCTTTGAATTTTTTGTCAAATATTCCTCTTTAGCTAGCATTCGCCATATCTTTAGATCCAAGTAATTATGTTCTTGTTCCCTCTTCAGCTTGCTAATCAGCCTTAAAGATAATTCAACATGTGACGCCGGTGAGGAAATTTGCGTTGGACACGTGAGGGAGTGAGAATACCAGATGTTGAATCTTACGTGAGACTCATGAAGAAGCCAATAATGTGTTATGTATCTGTACTGTCATCTCTGTTTAGTCCTTTTGCTTCGAGAGACATGGTTAGATACCCACAGTTTAGTACTCCATTCCATTATTCTTTTTCTCATTTCAAAATTATCCATAATTTATAGCTGTACACAATAATTAAGAAAGTGGTTAATATTATCAATTGAAGAAAAATACAAGTTCATTTAATTATACTATCTCCTCATTCTATTCATCTTATTTTATTTTATTGACTTGTGGATTCTTTTTTTAAAAGTCTTATTTAAGTTGAAATATATAACTTGATTTTAATTTTTGAGATATGTTTATTTTATTTTATTTTTATATTGTTTATAAGCATCTGTTAAAAATTGTATCTAAATTAGGTGATCTCTATTTTTTCTATATTTTGATATATTAATTTTAAATTATAAATCTAACATGGATATGAGCCCCCAATTAATGTCAATTACAAATTTACATTTATCGCGGTGTATAAAATTAATTTTACCTTAACCTAAATGGACTCTACCAAAAGGGGTAAAAACAAGATGAAAAGGGAGAATTAATATTAATTTTTGAAATAACACGATTTAAAATAAACTAAAAGTTGAAGGAATAACTAATATATATATATATTCCAACATGTGTTTGACATTGAACAGAACCTAACCTTTTTCTTTTTTTAATTTATTTCTTTATTTTGTTTATGGCATCAAATCGAGTTGATTGCCTGTCCCCCGGACCCGATCTCGTGTACTATCATTTTACCATTAAAAAAACCATTAATAGAATCAAACTTGTCACGTAGTTCACGTTGCATTATATATAACCTTTTGTTCTTAGTTTATTTATTATCATTAAATTCCTTTAGACATTCATTACCCTAAAAACTAGTCATGCACAACACTAACAAAAAGCAAAATGAAACCAAATCAAGAAAGAAATAAATGCACGCAACAACTCTTCACAAATGGTGGTGAACTTTGTCTAGTGCAGTTAATTCTTGAAAAGGAATGAGAGAACACTTGTAAAAATTCTGTTCTCATATTTTAAAGGTTTTTCTGCTCTTCACACATCAATATGCTTTCTTAGGTACGTAGCAGTATTTGTAGCCTCACTTGCAGCACCAGTACCATTTGGTCTTAGCAACCAAGATGTCCCTCACAAGCGACACCTTCATTATATCCATTGAACATTGATTACATGGATATTACATGTTTTTATATAATATTTCAGATATCAATGTCCTTGTCCACCCTAATTTTTTTCGTACATAATATTTTTTAAACAAAACTCTCATTTTAGTCTTTAAGAAAGTTTGAGTCTAGCATTTTAGTCCCTAAGACATTTAAAATATCACGTTAGTTTACAATTTCTTTCTCCATCATGCATTTTAGTCCCTGACACCAGACTCTGTTAAGAAACTGTTACATAAGGCTGAGCTGGCACGTTAAGTGCTACGTCAGAATCCCACTTAGCAGCAACAACGTCATTTTTGGAATCAAACGTGGCACAAATACTTGCGAAACGTTGGCATTGTCATTGAAACTTCTTTTGCCCAAATTGAATCACATATTTTTCCATTGTTGTTGAAGAACCCTACCCTAAGTCCACGCAAAATCTCGCCCAAATTCTTGTTCGTAGTTGTATTTGGAGGTGAAATATTTAAAGATTGAAGTTTGTTGTAGTGGAAGAAGGGCCAACAGATGAAAAATTCGGTAAATTTTTTTTTTCTTAATTCATTGAGTCATTTTTTTGGTTTGGGGACGAAGAACCCTAACTGTTCAATGTTTTGAGGACGACGAACCCTAAGTATTTAATGTTTTAGGAACGACAAATCCTAACTGTTGAAAAATACTTTTTCTTTCTCCTTAATCAGTGTGAATGTGATTATTGAAAAATACTTTTTGTTTGTTATCGAGAAAACAAGGGATGGTAGGAAGTGGTCCCATTATGTTTCCTACGAATTTTTAGTTTTTAAAATTAAAGAAGATAATGTTAATGAAAGTGGTCTTTTTCTGCATGGTTTAACCTATTTTTTCATGTGCGTGCATGACTTTCATTGTTTATTCAGTAAATTAGTTTAAAATTACAAAAGATTGCTGACTTTTTTATAGTTATTTTTCTATAAATACAGACAATTAAGTTTTACATTCACCACAGAGAAATTTTTTTTGAAGAAAATAGAATTAAGGAGTACAAGTGGGATAGAATTGAGATTTGGACTGATGTTGATGAAGATATGGTAGATATATTTAGCTTCCTAAACTTTGCCAAGGCAATGAGGTATTTCAGTAACATAAAAAATATATTCTAATCTGACCCTAATAAAAAGTTTGATGAAGGTTTGAAATTATTAAAATATAATGCTCATGTGTTGAAAATGATGGTTGTTGCTAAGAGGAATAGAAGGAAGATGCATGTCTATTATAAGCATGAGATTGGTATCCACAATTACTTGAAGACAATGAAATTCTAATGTTGGAAGGCTATGAAATTGATATTGCAGCAATGGAATAAGAAATTCAAGTTGAACAACCAGCAATAGAAAAAGATATTGAAGTTGAACAACTAGCAATGGAAGAAGTACAAGTTGAAGATGTAACAGCTAAAGAATTAGAAGTTGAAGATATAACAGCAGTCCACAAAGTACAAATTGAAGTTGATAAGAAACAGCAAAAAAAAAGGCAAAGGGAAAGCATACAAGAAAGGGAAAAGGAAAAGGTGACTCTAGTAAATCAGCTAAAAAAATAAGAAGAAGAAGTCTGTGAATTGAAACCATGAAAGACAACCTTCAATCTGCTACATCAGAGAAAAAATAGGAAAAAAAAGCATGGGAAAAGAGAAAGGAAAAGGGAAAGAGGCAAAAAAAAAATGAAGGAAAAGGTAAAGAAAAAATGACCTATATTAATGAAGAAGATTATTTACATAAGGAACTTTCTGAAAATGGTATAAAAGATGTAGAAGAGGTGGGTCATAGGAAATCATACTACTGTGAAGAAAAAGAAAAGTATTCTGAAAATTCATGGAGGTCTAAAGAATTAAGAACTCCAGCAAACTCAGATGATGAAGATAGTAACAAACAAGTTTTTTTCAAATTTAATGAATCTGCAAAATTTGGAAATGTTAACTTAGAGCTGGGAATATAGTTTGAAAGTTTACAATCTTTCAACAAAGGTGTTAAGGATTATACAATTCAGATGGGAAGAGAAATAAGGTGGGTAAAAAATGATAAAGTGAGAGCAAGAGCTAAGTGTAAGCATGAAAACTACAAGTGAAAAATATATTGTGTAAAAGACAATGTCACACATACCTTCCAGATCAAGACTTTTCTCAATGAGCACAGCTATGGTAGGATTTTTAAAAATAAACAAACAACACAAGATTGAGTTGTATGTAATCTTTGGAATGTATTCACTGCAGAGAGCACTACCAACCAACATTAGTTTGAAATGCTTTTAACTTTCTTGGTATATCACACATTTGGTTTGTTTGCAGTACTTTTTGGTATGCTTTCATTCTTCTTTTTATTAATTTTTTCACTAAAATATAAGTAAAATGTAGGTCAACAATGATTACAAAAACATCCTTTATTAACATTAAAACAAAATTTTATCATTATCTTACAACAAAGTACATGACAATAAACATCAAAATACAAACAATCTGTACAAATAACTTTAATTTCTTAATTTCAGCTTCTAGATATATTATTTTGGTAGCCAAATTCTTCATTCATTCTTCATTCACAACTGCACCACTTGTAAGAGGAGATATTACTTGAGAGGTTGGATAATTAGCAACATTATAACTATCCTTCATGCTATTTTTGTTATCAGCCCATGCAAAATAATTGCAATGTTTACCAACCTATATCATGTGTAAGAAGTAATTTAATTTATTAGAAACGTCAATTGAACACAACACTAAATTAACTTTGTTTACTATATATTTGGAACATTCAAAGAACAATCTTCCAAGATTAGCTTCTGTTTGTAAAATTCTATTAGCTGCTTTCAACCCACAATGACAAATCTTGTCATTTCGTCTCTTATTTTGTTTTGATGATGACCTTGAAGCAGAACTCATCAGAAAGCTTCTATTACTATTACTAACCATATAAAGTGTTGGAAACTCAAATTGTGCAAAGAAGGAAGGAACCTAATAATAGAAGCAAGATACCCCAATAATAGAAGAATGGAAGAAACTCAAGTAACCCAATTGCAACCATGAACCATAACCCTAATAGTGGAAGAAGAAGACCAGAGATGCAACATATATGCTGATATGTTTGATTAAATTTGGGCCAAAGAGGTTCAATGAAAACGACATCATTTTGCAATTATTTGTGTCATGTTTGATTCCAAAAACGACGTCGTTGCTGCCAAGTGGGACTAAAATACATGACGGAAAAAGAAATTGCAAGCTAATATGATATTTTAAATGTCTCAGGAACTAAAATGTTAGACTCAAACTCTCTCAGGGACTAAAATAAAGGTTTAGTCTATTTTTTAACGTGTTTAAAGCACATAATAAAAATTTATATGTAGTAAATTTTTATAAGATTTTTAAAAATATCATGAATATTAATAATATAAAACACTACAAATTTAAATAAAATTTATTATTTATTGGATTTTTTTATTGTAAGACATAGAAAAACCGATTTTCTAATATCTAGGTTCATTCCATCTTCCTCATTCCTCGAAACAGACACTGTATATTACTGGCCACACGCTTTGTCTAACTACTGTCTCCAGTGTAATTGCCAACACCATCTTCAAATTCCACTAATTGAAGTGTTTAACCATAAAAATCTTGAACTCAAGTTCCATGCACCATAAACGTGTGATTTCATTTAAATAATCTCAACTAATCTAAATCTATGAAGCCTGAATTGAATCTTCCAAAAAAAAAAACAGGTTGACATAATATAAATACTAGGTTGATTTTTACTTATTGACACGTGTAGTTGTCGGCTACCATGACAACATTTTAGGTCTACCAATTGCATGGGAGGAAGAAAAAGAGGAAAGGTGGCCAATGGCGGGTGGCGCAGCTGCTGAAAAAGTCTTCTTCATAGCACTGTTCATGTTCTCTCTTTCATTCTTTCCTTATTTAAGGCCTTTAAGGTGGCGGCTTGGTCTGTGATCTAGCTAGTTCCCTCCACAATGGGCAAAGCATCTAGTTCTTCCTCCTCTTCTATCACCAGCAACAGAAACCCTTCTAATTCTACTGCATCCTCTCTCACACAGCAAAATTCTGAAGAACTTCGCACAGATCTTAGGCTTGGACTAGGCATTTCCACCACTCAACATGTTGGTTCTTCTATTTCAAGGTTTGTGTATATGAAAAACATGACTAGCATTACAAAATCATGATCATTAAACTACTTCTGTTTATGCCATAATAATGGGTTGATTTGTAGCGAACTAAATAATTGTTCATACAAATATTTGTGTCATTTTCATATATTAGGAGGCACTGGCAACCAATACAGCCACATGTGAGTAGTTTACAAAGTGGTGAAGTAAATGATTGCAGCGATCATACCAGCTTCTTTGTGAAGGTGTACATGGAAGGAATTCCGATTGGTAGAAAACTCAACTTGTTAGCTCATGATGGGTACCACGAGTTAGTGAAGACGCTTGAACAAATGTTTGACACTACCGTCCTCTGTAAAGTCTATTGCTATGCCCTCATGGTTATATATTCTTTGTATAGTTTTTGTTTGTTTCCTAGTTGGTAAAATAACAAGGGAATGTGGGTGTTTCCAACAGGGGGGAGTGAGATGGATGGTGTGCAATCAGAGAGGTGCCATGTTCTAACTTATGAAGATGGAGAAGGAGATTTGATTATGGTTGGGGATGTTCCTTGGGAGTAAGTTAACTTTGGCTTTTTCTCACAAACGCTTCCATTTTAATTTTAGCATTAATGTACTTGCTTTTTTTTTTTTTTGGTCATGTAGGATATTCTTATCATCTGTAAAGAGGTTGAAGATCACAAGGGTTGATGCATTAGGGGGTTAAATGCATATACGATCAACTTTCGTGCTATAGAGTGAGACTCAAATATAAGTGATCACTGATCCCTCATGTGATGCTATTAGAGTAGGTCTGGAGATATTGGCAAGGGATGGAGATCATAAGGACCAGCAAAATCAAAGGAAAGAAAATGAGGGGTTAAGTAATGATTTTTTGCCCCTTTATTTTTGCATATTTAAAACTTCCAATCTAGGAGAGCTTTGAAATAAGAGTGCATAAAGAAGTGTTTTGAAGGTTCGCATAAGAATTGCAATTTTTTTTTCATCCTTTTGTAAAATAACTGAAAATGAAGAAAACGAAAAAAAAAAAAAACTTTTTTGTCGACACCTCTACTGGCTTTACATTCTTTCAAGTTTCTAGAAGTCAACTTTTAGCTTCTCTCATTGCCGACATAATTTCCCCGTTTGTTAAGACCCAGTTCCTCCGCATTCTCACAAAGAAAAGCAACAAGCCGAAGGAAAATTACACAAAAATATATGAAGACATGAAGAAGGTTGAAACCGATGGTGTGGGAGGAATAAGGAACAACGAAGGGACAGACATCATAGAATGTCGAGTACAATTGAATTATGTTATTTATATACACTTGCTGTTTAGTTTCAAATTTCAATCACATAATGCTTGATTTTGATTTTGATTAGTATATTTACTGTGTCCCAGCTGAAAACAAATCAGGTCTAAAAGTTTGTACAATTCAAATTTCAGAATGAATTTGATTTGAATGAATATCCAATCATTTAATAAATTCTGCAAAGACTGTTAATGTGTGCAAAATTCTCTTTGTTCGGATAAAGACCCATGTAGATGTCTTTTTTTTTATGTCAAGGACCCATGTAGATTGATAATAGAAAGGCTCCACCCTATGCCCACTATGGTTTAAGTTGACCCAAATTATTCTAAAATTTAAATATTAATGGCCCACATCAAGGTAGAACACAACCAATAAAAAGGTGAACTCTTGTGCAAAATAAAAATTTAAGAAAAGAAAAATATATTTAGTGGAATGGTTGTGACATCATCCCTGTCGTTTCTCATTGTTATCTTTCTTATTTTTTGTCATCTTGTGGTTTACCGTTTTAGTCTTTCGGCAATACCAACAGTAACGCTATCACATGTCAACAGCATCATATCATAAAACTTCGTATTCATCACCCTTTAAAAATAACCCACAAACGGAAAATGTCATGAACTAGGAATATACTTTTCAGTACATTGTTGAATCTTTGCTAATAAAATAAAATAGAAAAAAATACGCTAAAATAAAAAATACGAGAGTTTAAAAGGATTTTTGATGAGCACAATCCAAATTAGATCCTGTATCTACGTTAAACAGAGTTGCATATCTTTGAAAGTACCCAATCCGATCATTAACCCTTGCATCATTAGGAATGCCACATTCGAGTCCACCATTGATAATGTTAGTGACAAGACCATACCCCGCTGTTCGATTAGCTGCCACGTCAGCTTTTGTTGGCACATATTTTCCAATCATAACACTGTGGCAAGAAGGTTTTGGCTTTTGCTCTGTCATCCAAAACCAGAGAGATGTTTTAAAGGCAATCACTGAATTGTTTGACACAATCTCTGGGTTTCTCAATCCATCAAATCCTAAGGCCTTCCCTGCTGGCCCATAGTTGTAGTTCCTGCACAAAAATTCCATTTCAATAATAAAAAACACCCAGTTAACATTGCCCATCAAAATCTTGACCAAATATAAACTTACAGCTCAAAAAGTCAAACAAATTAGCAAAAATTAATAATAAGGAAAGACTCTTGTTAATTACTATCCTTAAGATATTAATTAAAAAATTAACAATTTTATTAATTTCTACCTTCAAGATTGAGTTTAAACATCTAATAGTAAGTTTTTTTGTTAAAAAAGGTATTTATCTTTAATGTAATAAATATTTTGCTTTTTAATAAAATTTTATTGTTTTAAAAGTTTAAATTCAATCTAAAAAGTTGAGGTCCATAAAACTAAAAAAAGTAATACTAAATAACATATTTTTATTAAAACCCACGTTGAAGAGTATTAAAAATCTTGATAATTATTAATTGTGGTATCTTAAAAAATACAATAGTTAAATATTAATAAAAAAAGATATGATGTTGATTAGCATATGACATGAGTTAATGACAATAATGATATGTGTATACCAAGAAAGTTGAATTGGTCCTCTGCCTTGGTAGGTTTTTCCTGGATAACAGGGATATTGTTTGTTGGTGGAATCACAATAGTCACTTTGAGGACTAACTTCTTCCTTGAAGCACAATCCCCAAGCATAAGGTCCATCAGGTGCAGTAGCCCACCCACCTGTGGTTTCATGTGAAATCTGAGCAAGAAATGCGGCAATCTCACGCTTCCGCGTCGTTACACTTCCGCTGCTACCAAATCCAGGGAAGCATTTTGATGCGATTATGAATGAGTCATAGGTGTAGAAGTTTTTGGCAGGGCATGCAGTGTCATCTTTGTGTAGGAAAATGGAATCAAAAAGCTGTTTGCTAATCAGAGATGAGACGGGTATGATGGATGAGCTACGAGCTTTAGCTCCCAAAGATGTGGAAGAAAGCAGAATAGTACAACAAAATAAGAAGCTAGAGAGAAAGACACCAATAGAAGGGAAAGAGAATGCCATTTGCCACACACAAAGGGCCAAATTCAATTAAATGTTTTGGATTTAAGAATGGTTCGAAAGGCTTTTATAGACACGAGTTAAGGTGGAAGACCTCAAAATCCCACATTTGAATTTGTCATATGAAAGGTTAGGGACGGTGGAGGGTCAAAGGTCAAGCTTTTTTAATGTCAACTCATTCTACACACCAATTCATTTTGGGATTATTGACTTTTTCAGGGCAATTGATGAAGCATTTGTTGAAGTGGAATGTTGACATAAGCCATAGAGCAACTTGGGTTGGATAGTGCCACCCTGCATTCTCGGATTTTACCTCAAGTGATGTTCATTGTTAATTATAATGGTTTTTTCTTTTTTTAACTTTAGCTTTAAATACTTGAAAGTAATTAAAGATTAAATTCAATTCTAAGAACGAGACTAATATTCTGCAAGTCATCGTGTTTGTTCAACAATTTTGTCACTAGGAGCAACTTTAATTTCTAGAAGTCAACTTTATTAATTGTTAAATATATTATTATGAAAAGTATATCAGTAAATTTATGTTTTTCTAAACTTTATACTAAAAAGTTTCTGAGGTTTTAAATGGCAGTTTACAACTTAATTAGAGTTTTTGAAGTTTATACAACCACATTATGACTATAATTATGGTTGCATTATGTGCATTTATTTGTAATTTCCAAAACATTTATGTGAAGTTTATCGGGTAAATTTATTTTAAAAGTGAATATAAATTTTTAATAGCAAAAGTTTGCAATAATACTTTTCCAATCTTGTAAGGACGAAAATTACTAAAAGCACCAAGGCCCTTGACTAGTGCATTTTGCGTTGACATTACCGCGTCCACCCAGAGTGGGGATTTTGAAATGGGTTGACTTGACTTGAGTAGTGCACCACACAATGTACAGTGCAGACCAACAACGTTCATATGTCCAACTTTTTGCTCCGTGTAATTTTGAAAAAGTTGGAGTGCAGTATTATTTTATTTATTTATTTATTTATGTTTTTAATGTCCGGATGAAGATATAAAATTCAATTAATAATAAATAAGAATTTTTTATTATTAAAGTTTGTAATATTTAATATCGTTAATATGATAAATTTTATGTAATTTTATAATTTTTTTAAAATTTTCCATATAAAAATTCTTATTACACATTAAAAATTAATTTTATTTATAGAGAGAGAAAAATATATTTTATTATTATTATTAATTATTGGATAAATTTTTAGATGACAAATTTAATTTAAATACTTATAAAATTAAAAAAAGGTAAATGCTGGTGATTAATATTTGAAAAAATAAAAAATTCACATAAATTAATATTTTAAAAAATATATTATTAAGTAAAATAGGAAATAGAATAGATAGACTTAAAAAATATCATACAAAAAAGGGTTGAGGTTGTCTTTATTTTGAGAGGTAATCTTCTAAAATTAAGTTAGTGGGCCTGTTTATGGGTAATCTCCGTTGAACGGGCTTGGAGGGTAAACTGGATAGGATCCAATAATAGCTTTTTACTGAAAGGGTATCTCAAGTTTCCGAACATAGTTGAAGCTGTTTATTTTGTAGGCCCAGTCCAGTTTATTCATGCATTCCTAAACAAGTGGAGGCTATCAATAAAGTTTCTTCGCTTCTTGTAAATTTGGAAGTTGTGTATTCTTCAAATCAAGTTTTGTTGTACATAGTACTAAATTCAACATATCCTTCATTTTTTTTTCATTTCCACTCGAACTAAGCTTGATTAGAACTTGAGCACGTCCCATATTTGTTGATATGAAGTTATCAACCAACAATATATAATTCCAAATCTTCTTATATTTTATTTTTACAAATTATCTTAATTAATACATAAAAGCTATAATTTTCTTATGTTTTCAAGATATAAACTTATATTTTTATTTAATATTTTTTAAAATAAAAAATTTATTAGAAATTAAGTTCAGAAAATATGGCAAACTCATCAATCAATTGTTCAACACATGTAGCAAGGCGAGACAAATTCAGTCATTAAGATTTCGTATGATTCCCCCAACTCTATCGGTTGAACAAACAGGCATGAGATGATATTTGATTTGGTTAGTTGTGATTTTGACTACTATCAATGTGTTTCTCCTGTAAACTTGTATGAGGTTGAGTAGGAAGGACATCTTCACCCACTGGTTCTTGAACAGGATTAAGTAAAACTAAAATCCGTCATTTTTATTCTTATTAGTAAAGAATTGTGTTGTGAACATATCCTCTCTCTCTCTCTCTCTCTGTGTATATATATATAATTAATTTGTGTAAAGATAAAAATGTAAGTTAAAAATAACTATAAAAATGTGAAATCATTTGAAAATGAAGGAGAGCTTCGAGCAATAGAGAAAAAAAGGACTTAAAACTATGTCACTATCAAAATAAATGTGTGTAAAATGCTTTAAGTCAAAATATAGGATTAAAACAACTGAAAATTGAGATTTGAAAGAAAAAAAAAATCTTAATATAAGAAATAATTTGATGGTATAAACTATTGATTTATTCGAAAAAAATTAAATAAAAATTGGAAATTAAACCAATTAAGATTTATAAAAATGATTAATGTAGAAAATTGCAAGTAATTAATATTTAAAATTCTTTTAAAACATAAAAATTTGCTAAACGTTAGCCAATTTATTCACTGAAGAGCTAAATTATCATTAAACATTAAACGTATTATGTTACTATATAAATAGATGTTTAATGTATTGATAATAGATATTAACTTTTTATATTAATAAAATTCATTATTAATTTTTGTTAAATGAATATATATATTTTTGGTTTAGAGTATATGTCTTATTTAAGTAAAAAAACATTTATAATACTGTAAAATTAATTCTTTCAGCAACTTTTTTTTATTATTAAAAATGCAAAAAATAATTCAACTCCAAATCATTACTGTATAACATTGATTTTAGGATAAAGAGGTCACTTCTAGACCCATATTTTGTTTACATTCTGGTAGATTTAGCTGGCAAAAAATTTGGGGAAATTAGGGCCTCTTCTTTGAGTTCTTCTAGATCTGATTGCCACAAAATTGTCTCAACGTTCCCTTTGTAGATAATTACCGAAATATTTCTTGCGGCCTTCTTTGTTTATGTCTTTGTATCGAAATTAGAAGTTACAAAAGTGAACCACTTTTGACTTTCCACAACCAAGTATCAGATTCTGGTCCCATTTGTTTCTTGCAGCTTTTAGGTCCATTTTGCTGAATGTGGAGTTTTGTCTTAGCACTATACTTCTAAGTTTTAACTTGTTAATAATGTACAGAAGAAAATTATTATTATCTCATAAGCTAATACAAAAAAAGCACGTAAAATCAGTTCATTAATTAACATATTTTTTCTCAACGTACTGTAGATTAATTGATTCCATAGTTATTTATCTCAGCATACTCTATTTAATTCTGGTTAAATCAGTCTATCACTTGTCTCTTAATTTTATCCAACTCCATGTAGTCATGCTCTTCAACGACTTAATGTTATCATTTATAGAGACCGCAGAGGAAGTGGGAAAGCAAATCGAAATGTAGAGATACGGTGTTGTAGTCATAAACTTGCTTTTATTGGAGTAATCGTATTCACTAAAGCAAGCGGACAAAGGTGCATTCAAAACAAAAGACGAAGACACCACTCTCGATTTGAAGAAAGAAAAAGTCGTATCTATGGTTGAAAAGAGACTCTACCCTCTGAGATTTCTCTTTCTTACTATGTGATCCAGTAAGGTCTCTCTTCCTTCTCCAATTCTTTAAGATCAGGTTCCCCCAATTGATGGGCGATACCCACAGCTAAGTCCACTCCAAACCGTGACTTTTAGGCTTAAGTTCGCCGCCCTATTGGTTAAGCAGTGAAATATAAAAGGAAATAGGCCGAAAATGATGAAAACGGTTTAATTAAACTTATATTAAAATAACAATTATCGTATTCCCTTGTCGTTTGTTTTTTTCTGAACATGAGAATGGATATTTAACACGAAATCAGACGATCTTGCGTGTGAGCTGATTTTTGTTAATTTTTGCTATCGTGTTAGTTAAATTTCTTTATCTCAGTTCACTAAAGATATTATATTAATCACGAAGGGGATAGATTATTCAACTTTCCTTTTAATTTTAATTACTTTCTCTTGATGCAAGCATACGTATAGGGCGGAATCTAATTAATGGTTAATAATAGGAGTCTATAATATTATCTATAGAGGAGGTGTAGTAGGGACTAGGAAGAAAGTAGAAGCTACTACAGATATAGTACTGATCCACACGTGAAGCTTTGGTTGTGAATTTGTGATTTAGTGCTTTTTGAACCGAACGTGCGGGCAAAAGTCGAAGTTATATTATATATATAAGTGGGGTCTCCCTGAGACCTTTATTCCATAACACTGCCATACTCAGCTCCTATTACTTGGCTTGTTCTTTGCTTCGGCCTCTACTGCGTGCATGCGTGGGAGGGGTGCAGCTGCATGGCTTATTTATGGGGAGAATCTTTCTAATTTAATGATTATACTAAAAATATCGTCTTTACACAATTATTAACTGATTGTTTTAATAAATTTTATTTATTTATCCAAAAGAGTTCTCATTAACCATACTCGTTGATTGGCTTTTATTTGTGCAATAATGTCGTAAGCTGTTGCTGTCCAAATAAATATTAGAAGGAAAAGGCTGGCGTGCGTTATTCAGCTTTACATTAAAAATTATAATTTCAAAGTTACTAGAAAAAAAAATTAAGTATTGTGGTGATCACGACTTAATGATCAGCTGAACACTTGTAGTCTATGGAGTGCCCTCTTTGTCAAAGTTATCGACATAGAAAGATGAATTTAAAAGAAACCTACATAACCTGGCGTTGACTTGACGATATGCATAATGTGTTTATATATTCACATGGAAATTGTGATCTGGCTTTAATTTCTTGGTCGAATAGTAATGGGGCATGCCATAGTTGTCCCTTTAAAACTTCTTCTATTTTCTTGACAACCGTCTCATTGCTAGATTGACCTCACTCAGTCCACTTTCTCAGTGTTTCCATATTTTTCAAAATTTCTCTTAATTAGTTTTATAATTTTTAGCAAACACTAAATACTATTATTAGAAAATTGAAATTTTTTTTACTAAAATATTATTAATATTTTTATTATATTTAACATTATTTTTAGAATATTAAGTTATTTTATTTTTTAATTAGCACCTTAATACTATTGTTAATAATCAAGATCTTTAATTTTTAATGTTTTTTCCTTTTCTAAATAATGATAACAAATGTCTTTAAAATATTAGTGAAAATATCAAATAAATTTTTATACAAATTTTTATTTGTATTTTATCATAAATGATTTTTAATGTAATTCTATTCATAACAAAAATATTTTCATTTATTAGTTTTTAATCAAAATTCTTAGAATTCTGATTAGTAATTTTTTTTTTCACATTTTCTCTCTCGTTGTATCTTTATCTTTCTTATTTTTCTTTTATGCATCAAAACTGTAATAACTAGTAAAAGGACATATCATAATTGGAGCATTAAATAGGTGAAAGATAGAATAAAAAATCAAAAGATGTGATAAAAAGAGAGATGAAAATAAAAGGATGTTATAAGTTACAATAATACAAAGAAAGTGAATGTGAAAAAGTTAAAATCGATTAATTTTTATTTAGTGCACCGAATTGACTGTAAAATTGTGGCTTGAAATTATAATTACAATATTTGAAAGTTTGTTTAGAACTAGAATTATAATTTTTAAATATGAATTTATATAACTTTTGTACAACTAAAACTAATATTTTTCTTATTTTGTACTTCTAATTTGATAATGTGAAACAATTGAGTAATACCTAAAATTTTACTTCGGGATACCCTGATTTAGAGGGCAATTGATCTGATCCCATGTGAAACAATTGAAAAAATCCTTTAATTTTACTTGGGTAGTGTTACTTAACAACTACACAAAGTTAAGGGACAATTGATCCAACACTATGCAAATGATCACGATTAAACAATTAAAAAGCACATTTAAATTACTATTCTGACATCGCATATGACTTCAACCATATACGCAGATTTCATCTCATATTATACTCTACAAGCGAAGCGTAATGTGAGATCAAGTCCAAGTAATATGATCATAAACACATGCGATATTTGGTATAGTAATTTTAAATAAATTTTTTAATTGCTTAACTGTATTCATTTACACACTTCCAAATCACTATTTTAATTAAAAAATTTAATCTTATTCTCATATTTTGTAACAATTGCTGTTTCTACTATCATTATATAATTATCCTTTATTCTAACTTTATCTTATACCGCTATTAATATTTTTATCCTTATCACATTTATGACTACTACTCACCTTTAATTATTATTGTCATCATTGTTATAATATTTTGAATTGATTTTGATATCATTATTTTATATTATAATTCTAATTTTGTATGTTAAACAGAAATAATAAATCTCACTATGTATGTAAATAAAACAAAACATTAATAATCACATAATTACCACCTGAATATCAATGAACAAGTTCGTTGTTGTCATTGTATCTTCACGTTTATTTTGTAAAATTAATTAAAAATTTATATCTACTGAACTAGTTAAAACTTTATAATTTATAGTAAATAATTGAGATAAAACATTTAAAATAGAAGATATATATACATATATATCCTTATAAGTGGAGGGGGGGAAAAAAAAAACTCTATAAAAATGGTGGTTCAATTCTATATTATTTAACAGAGTTAAAGTACAGTTGTAAATTAAGTAATTTGATGGGTAGTGTTAGTCATATTAAAAATATCAGTGTAAATGAAAATTTCTCATATTAAAAATATCAAGGAATATCCAGAATTTTCTACCGGTTAAACAATCTTTTAGTTTAGATAATAAGAGAAACAGTGATTCTATATATTTTTTATTTTGAAAATAAAATTTTTAAAAATATTGTCGAAGTGAATGAGAATACTTTTTAGTTATAGCAATTTTATCTCATCAAATTGATTATATTATATTAAATAATTTTTTTGCAATATTATATATAGATCCAATATAGAAGAGGCTGCACAACACAAGCACACATGTAAAACCTCCCCTTTGAAAGTCTTGTATATATATATCTTAGCAAACCCACCTTTTTCTTCTTCTTCTTCATCTACTTCTCTCTCCATATAATTTATCAGTAACAGTACATATGAAAGACCACCACAAAATGCAACACCGCCACCACCGTGAATTGACCTTGCTAAGCTCCACCGACTTCCCCCGCCAGAATCTCAGTCTAGATCCCATAATCGTCACCCCCAAAGACCATAGCGATCCTTCCATCAAAGAAATGGATTTCTTCTCAGATTCACCGCCCAGGTATAGTGATACTAAAAACAATATTAACCAGCACCAGCACCATCATCAACGTCACCCCAACATCTCTCAAGATGGATCACAAACTCTTCTCACCGATCACTTCGTAAACGTAAGTCTTCAAATTATACAAACGTAAGTCTTCAAATTATACAAATATATGGACTGGTTCAGAATTCATGTTCCGATTCCGCGTCTTCAATTCTGAATCCGCTACCACATCAATTCATTCTTTTAATTGCACTTTTGCTCGTTTATATATATTGTGTCATTTTTATTTTCTTTTTATTTTAATTACTCAGTCTTTTATTTTATTAACTAACTAAATTTAGTATCTATTGTTAATATCTTATTTAATAATTAGTAAAAATATTACAGAAACATAAATATTATTAATTTATATAAATTAATAAAATATATGAAATATTTAAATAAAATAATATAAATTGTTTTTTTTTATTCCTTATATATATATATATATATATATATACATATATATTAAAATTTATAAAAAGTAATACATCACGTATTTATTATATTTATAATAATTATAAAATAAATTTTTGAAATATGAGACTTAATTTAAAGAATTAAAAATTTATAAGAACTAGGTGTATATTATGGCTAATTCTTTTCTATTTGGTGCATATAATGTAATACAGACTGCGTTGAATTTAAAGTGTGCAAGTGCTGAAAGAACTGCAAATGATGAAAGTTCAAAAGCCGTGGTTCGTATGGTAAGATCTTTCCCTGATTTAAGTTTGAGAATCATGTATATAACAATTGCAGAAAAGGGAAAAAAAAGAAAAAGAAAAAGAGATATGATAAATTATTTGATGGACGAAAAAGAAAAAGAAAAGAATGTTATATATGTTATTGAATAATTTTATTGTATGAATTAATATAATATCTCTTTTAGGTTTTATACTTAAAACATTTGAAAATTAATGTTTCTCTCTCTCTCTCTCTCACAGCTGATCAATACACTTAAAAAGGAATTACTAAGAGAACAAGAAGAAAATTGCAAGTTGAAAACTATGTTGGATCAAGTCACCAGAAACTATAATCAGCTACAAATACTGCTCATCAATTCACAAAAACCTCATCAGGTAGGTTTATATATATGTTGAACACTACATTGTAATTGTGTCAAGATCTTTTCAGTATTGTAATAAAAATATGTGATTTATGCAACCACAATTATTGACAGTTGCAGAAATTACAAAAACATTTTGCAATTATATATAGTTTATAACATTTTTGTTAAATTATGTATCTCACAGATGGATGAGATTAATTATATCTTTTTTTTTATCCCATGAGTTATTTTTCTCAATCTAATTCTATGTATGTACTCAAATTTATTTATTTTCTTTGTTGTAACCTCTTTTTTATCGATCAAAGAAATGGGATAACAAGCATCACTTTAATTAAAAAGTGTGTACTCTATTTGTTAACTTTCGTGTTAATATTTTTTTATCTTTAGAAGTTAAAACTGGCGATAGAATATGAAACATCCACTTTCATTGAAAGATAATTAACATGTGTAAACATAGGCCACAAAAATTAATTGAATACATTCAGAGATGAAAGTGACTTGGTAAATATACTTAAACTAATAATGAAGTCTTATCACTTATGCGGTTTTAAGTTGACGTGCATGACTTAGGAGATAAGATTCTAAGTCAAAATTTAAGTTCACACACAAATAAAGTTAAATTCATGTACTGAACCTACATATATGGGTGAAATAGAAGGTAGAGACAAATTGGATGATGTTGAACTCAAATATTGTTGCATAGACTTGGGATAATAAGTTTGGTCAAGAGGTATTGGTTGTTTCGAAAACAATTCAAAGATAATTAATTACATTTACTAAAGTTAATACTGAAAAGCTGCAGGCTTGTCCTGATCCAACAGAAGATGTTGTTGACCAATCGTCCTCACAGAGTTGGGGATCATCCAAGAGTCCCAAGTTAGAAGAATCCAAAATCGAACTTCCTTTCAAAAAGGCCAAGGTTTCCGTGCGTGCAAGATCAGAAGCTCCGCTGGTAATAATTAAATTTCATTTTATGTGTTCCAACTTATACTGTCGCTTATTAATTTGAAATCATATGTGATTTTTCAGATTAACGATGGATGTCAGTGGAGAAAATATGGGCAGAAAATGGCCAAAGGTAACCCTTGTCCCCGTGCCTACTATCGTTGCACTATGGCTGTAGGATGCCCGGTTCGAAAACAGGTAAATACTTTATTTTTGTTTTCAACTTGCTATTGGATAAGTAGGACTAAAGAGAGGTAGAGGTCAGGTTTGTCTTGTAAAAAAGAAAAATTAATTTTAGCTTATTAATTTAAATGGGATAAATTCAAAGTTTGAATTTAGTTTTTTAAAAAGTTGTAAAATGTGGACTTTAATTTATTTATGATGTGATCATCTTTTTATTTATCATTTTTCTTTGAATGAATTTTTATTGATTTAATATTTAATAAATATCTTCTATTTAGAAAATGAAATGAAAATATTAAGATATAATTTTGTATTCGTAAAATTGTATTTAAATTTGGAAAAAATATGTTTTTAATAAAAAGGGTAGTTTTTTAAAATTATTTTATGATTATTTATTTAAAATTTACTCTCTACATATTAAATTAAGTACATCATTTATGATATAATATTAGATCAAAATATATTTTAAAAATAAATATATTAAATAATTATTTAACTACTAAGTAATTTTTGTATATATAAAGTATGAAAAAAAGGCAAATTACTTCGTGGTGTTTGCTTCATGAACAAATTAACCCCGTAAGTAAGATGAAAGTGGCTTGATTCTTAGGGATGTGTATCAAGAATGTGTTGAGAAGCAGAATCTATTCAATAATCTCAAATCTCAAATCTCAAATCTCAAATTGTCAGCTAAGAGATAAACTTAGTATAAAAAAAGTTATATAAATTATTAGGAAGTGATTAATATCAAATGTACAGAGATTCACTTTTATTAATTTCAAATATCTAAAAAAAGGAAGAGAGTGATAACAAGAAACAATGGTTCTATGAAAAAATGGGTAAAAAACTTGTATAAAATTTTGCAGGTGCAAAGATGTGCAGAGGACAAGACAGTGCTTATAACAACCTACGAAGGGAATCATAGCCACCCTCTCCCACCATCAGCCACAGCCATGGCCAATTCTACATCAGCTGCTGCGTCAATGCTTCTGTCAAGTTCAGGTTCAACAAGCAGCAATGAAACGTTAAATAACAGTGCAGGACTCTTCTCTTCAACACCCTACATCTCCATGGCAACCTTGTCAGCCTCTGCACCATTCCCCACTATCACTCTCGACATGACCCATATTCCCAATAATCCCATGCAACTACCTCTACCGTTGCATGTTGCTTCTTTTCCTCAATTACTGGGACACCCTGTGATCTTCCCCCAGAAGCTATCACATCCAGCTATGACTCTTGCTCAACTAGCCCAACAACGACTGCCTTCATCCATGACCCAGACAGTGAGCGCAGCCATTGCTTCAGATCCAAACTTCACTACTGCCCTAGCAACTGCCATCTCATCATTCATTGGATCACACCCAGGCAGTGATGCAAATAGTAACAACACTGGAAATGCTAATTCTCTTCATGGGCCATTTCTGTTCCCCAATTCCACAGTCACCAATTAAGTAGCAGTGAATGTTGGACTATTCTGTACCATAATACAAGTTATTCTCCGAGTTATATTATTTTTAAACACAGTTTCTACCCTATTTGTTTTACAATTACTTTTTTTTATTTCCTTCCGTCACATCATAGATCTCATCTCATATTAATTTCTCTTCTTTCTTATCTACTCTGGTCATAAAAGAATAATTAATGACTTGTAATTTCACCCCTTTATTAAAATATTGAGTTTATATTTAATTTAACTTATTTTGTAAAAGAATTATTTATTTGTATAACATTTTTTAACTTATGGCTAAAGACACACAATAAAAAAATATATACAGTAAGCTTTTAAGAAAATTATAAGATTGAAAATCATACAACAATATTAAATGCAAGAAATTTTAATAAATTTTTTTTATTAAGTGTTATTGGACACAGATTAACGAATAATTTTTGTATAATTTTAAAAATAAATAACTATTTAGTCATAATTGCTGATTGATTTTGTTTATGTTTTAAGTTTTGAAAAATGCTAACCAATATTTTAGTTAAAGAGTTAAAATAAAAAAAATATATTAAAAATACTATTGAATGAATATCTATTACAAGTTTTAATTAATTCCTAATTTAATTTTAAATAAAATTTTCATTTTTATTCTTTAATTAGTGTTCTTGGACCATTATTAGCAACTCCTTGATTTTACCATAGCATGGAAGATTTGGTTCATGGTGTGGGTACTTAGGAACTTGGAAGGAACAAAAAGCCCAAAAGATTTTACTGAATGGAGTGGAGCCCAAGACTGTGTTTTGGGAATGGAAACCTACGGTTTGTGGTATCCGTTGGATGAGTGAAAAGGGGGAATGGAGCGCGTTTCGATTCAATTTTGAAAACAGAGTGACCGTTGAGTTGAGGAAGTAAGTAAAGGAACGCAACTCTCTCATCAAACCCCACATTTCCTTCACACTATGAGACGCCATGGATGGCAACGCCCTCTCCATCCTTTGCAGTTTGTGGGAATCGCCGTTTACGTTTTTCTGGTTGTCTGTTTCTTCACATTCCTCGGACTTTTCCTCGGAAACCCAACTGCAGAGATCACTCTCACCCTCACATTTTCCTTAGTCGTATGTTTTCTTTATTATCTTCTCACTCTCAATCCATAACTCTCTTCGCAAACTCATTTTCTGATATTCCCCACAGGCTGTTTCCGTTATCTTTCTCTTCGTGAGGTGTACGGCCATTGATCCCACTGACAGAACCAGCTTTAGGAAGAAGAGAAGAGCCAAATCCAATTCGATTCCCAAGCTCAATTACGGGTTCATTCTTGGTCAAATTGTGATGAGGTTTTTCAGGAGGGTGGAAAGGAAGTTGCTTAGGACCTTCATTAAGAGGAAGTACTTGGATCCGTTTAAGACAAGTTCTCAAATGGACCCTTTACTTCCATTCCCCCTTGTCATGAAAGATGACGATGATGCCATTGCCCCTAATCTCAAAGACGACGATATCTCCTTTTGCGCGCTTTGTGATTTTGAGGTTCTTCAATTACTCAATTTTGTTACTTCATTTTATCTTGAGGCTGTGCTGCCGTCAAATATAAGCCTTCTCTGCTGTGAATTAGGTGAAAAAACACAGTAAGCACTGCAGGACTTGCAATCGCTGTGTTGAAGGGTTTGATCACCATTGCAGGGTTAGTGTTGTTCTGGCATTTCTATATTTCTTTTTCCATTTGGTTATTGAGATGTAATAATTGCGGTTGCTTGTTTCCAGTGGTTGAATAACTGTGTTGGGAAAAGGAACTACACAACATTCTTTCTTCTCATGATTTTCGTGCTTTTAATGGTCAGTGCTCACTCATTCGATTTTAGACCCAAAAATAAAGTGGTTCAATTAGGTTAGTTGAATCGTTTCCAACATTGTCCGTTACATGTATGTACAGCTTGTCATTGAAGGAGGGGCTGCAATTGCTATATTTATCCGGTGCTTTGCGGATAAAAGGGGAATAGAAAAGGAGCTTCTGAAGAAGCTTCATGTAGAGTTTCCAAGAGGAGTTCTTGCCACCATATGTGTAAGACTTGTCTGAACTGTTTTTTGGGCATTTCTGTTTTGGATTTAGCATCGCTTTTGATTTGCTTTGAACTTCCTGGAATGCTACATACAGGTGTTGCTTCTCTTATTGACAGCTTATAGCTCAGCAGCACTGGGGCAGCTTTTCTTCTTTCATGTGGTTCTGATACGAAAGGTAGCTTTCTTTCCTGCTTCTGAAACTATCAACTATCATATACTGCTATGCTTTAATAATCGGTTTGCCAAAGTGTTTAGCCTTCAATTTTTGCCTATATCCTTTTACTGGAATGTTCATTGTTATTGAATCGTGTTGTGTTTGTTATTAAATATTAATGCAGGGAATGAGGACCTATGACTATATCCTAGCGATGAGAGAAGAGAACCAAGCCATGGAATTGGAATCATTGGACGATTCTGATTTCTCTTCAGACGAGAGCTTTGATTTTGACTCACCTGAAAAGCCAACACTAATGTCAAGGTTTCTATGCAAAGGACAGAGGGTAAACCAGGTAAGCATCAGATAGTCATAGATTGCTTCATTTTATGCAGTGATTTAGACTCATAACTTACAGGGCAATTTGTTTTGAGTTTCAGAGCTCACCTAGGTTGTCTATCAGAATTGAAGGAGATACTGAACCTTCCCCCTTGATCAAGACAAAGAAGTTCCACGTAAGCATTAACCCATGGATACTCATAAAGTTGACCAGAGAGAAAGCCCTACTGGCAGCTGAGAAGGCCAGGGAAAGGCTTATGAAAGATAAGCCAATGGAGGAAAATACTTCATTAAAACCTCTTCCACTGGAGACAAAATGCGGACCATTGATGAATGCGGATAAAAATATGGACACAGAGGGATTTGGGTCAGCATCTTTTGTAGCAAAAGGGAGAGTTCCTGCATCACCAGGAAGATTTTCAAGCCCGAGAAGGAGATTTTCCGCTGGCTCACCGACGGTGTTCTCTAGCAGCATGATGCCATCCCCACAACACAAATATAGAAGCAGTTTCGACTTGAAATTAACAAGTGTGTCCAGGGAGCTTGATACACATATTTCAAGGCAGGTTCTATGTTCAGTCATCAGCAAAGAAGATAGCGAACCATCTCCAAAATAGGCGCTGTATTTTACTAGTTGAGATTCTCAACCTTTGAGAAAGATTTGTTGATATGTCCATTCTTCATGTCCATTTTCTATGTATCATTGATTCCTTATAATTTATACATGGGATGGTTCATCTATATTGAACATGGTTTCAATTTAATTTATACATGGGGTAGTTCCAGCCAGCTAATGAACTTGTAAGTATGGCTCATTCTGTGTGTCAATTTTTCATATAAAGGCAATGCAGTCATGTTTTCTCATCTATCCATTATTATTATTATTCTTGTAGTAGTGAAGGGAAAGTTATTTTAAACAAAGCTTTTGTAAGTAAGTATTTGCTTTACTTCTCAACAAGACGAGATTCTAACATTAGTAGGTCCCTCCAGTCCTTTTCCCAAATTGAAAACAAACTAACGATAATTATACTTACATGTTTTCAGAGTAAAAGAGATGTGACATTGATTGCATTCCTTATTGAATTCCTTAATTCAATCAAGGGATTTTAACTTCGGGGCAAAGTCAATAAGCTGCTGCTGCCTCACCCCAGAGCACCGCGCATTATCTCTAATATTGGTGACATTTGAAACAGACGGGAAAAAAGATCATAATAACCTCAACTCTGTCAACAATCAACGACATTCATTCCCTTATTTTATTTCGAATCAATGGAAACAAAAAAAAAATATTTTTCTTTCCAAATCCATATGTAGAAAACAAGACATGAAATCATTCAAATTCATATTTCTGATAAATCACTCAATTATTTGTTACTGCGCACGAGTTACAAGAAACAATCATCTCCTGGTATCATTCTGCTGACGGACAACCATCATAGGTCAGGAACATCATTCAACTTCTTCTGTCAGGCAAAATTTATCCTGTAGGGGAACTTTGGCAGCTTAAAAGTTTTGAACTCCATTTACTATGACAGTAACCATGAACCCGTGTTTTGACTACTCCAACTCTTTAAGTGGTTCGGTAAATAGTAACAGTCCGAAGTATGCTCAGGGAATATTCTCTCTTTGAGAGGCTCACAAACTTCTGGTGAAACCAAATCGGAGTATCCTTTAACATAAGAGCAGTTCCATGGAAATTTTGAGCTCACATTAAGGGTGATGTTTGATAAGCAGATATTGACAAAGTTGTCACCTCTAATACCCTGCATAAGTCCAGCCCGTTTGACTTTTTCCCCTGTCACATCCTTGATAGTAATCCTTTCTATTACTGGTAGTGCATCTGGGTCATAGGTGTCATCTGGATGTTCTCCATATAAACCAGTGAACCTAATAGCAATATCTACATTATCCAAGATCATGTTAGAGATATAGACATTTCTAACATAACCACCCCTGCCAGGAGAAGTTTTTATTCTGATTGCGCTATGTGAATAAAAAATTTTAATATCTTCTGCATGCACTTCTGATACACCTCCAGACATCTCACTTCCAATAGCAATCCCTGCACTTGTTGTTTTCCCAATGAGCCTGTGGATGTTAATATTTGTACTGGGTCTACCAAATGAAATGCCATATCCATCCCATCCACTTTTGATGGCAATCAGATCATCACCCGTGCTTATGTAACAGTCTTCAATACATACATTGTCTGAAGAATCTGGACACAATTAGTAGGTATATATTAGAATTTGATCAGTTTTTTGAAAGAAATTTGACAGACATTTGCACAGTTTTTTAAGTGTCAACGCAGAGCAGTTAACCTAGACAAGACAAAACAAATACTCTAGGAGATAAACAACGTTATTTCCATGAATGTATTGCACATTTCTAGAATTCAGTTTTTCTTTGGTCCAGATGAAAAATTCCCTTTAAAACAACTCATGACAAGAACTTTATATCGCACCAACACTGGATTAAAAAAAATATTTGATTTTAAAAATCAGTCTAGCGCATACTTGTGCATCGTCAATTAAATAGGGTGTGACTTTCCAGCCTAAGGGAGAATACTGACCTGGATCAATCCCATCTGTATTTGGTGAACTAAGAGGAGCAAGGATTGTGACATTCTGAATTGTAACATGGCTGTTCATCCAGAAAAACAGTCTCAAATCTCCCCCTTAATCATGAAAGCTTCACTATTGCATAGTTTTAAAATGGTAATTTAAGTGCATGATCGGCAAATATGTATGGAGATATAAACTCAATCCTTCTTAAGGGAACAAACCTGCAATATACAGGGTGAATAGTCCAAAATGGAGAATTCAAGAAAGTTACATTTGAAATGAGAACCCCAGTTGAATTCATCAACTCAACCAAATGAGGACGTGTATAATCCAATGTTTTGTTCCGAAACTTGTCCCACCAGATACTCCCTTGACCATCTATAGTTCCATTGTTACCTTCATTGGGACACCATGGCATTAATATATTGAAATACAAAAAATATATATTTTTTCACACCCCTGGGGGTATATACACCTTGGGTGGGAAGAGAGATGGGAAAGAAAGAGAAACAAAAAGATGGATGTGATGGGTGATGTGATGGGAAAGGAAGACATAGATAGAGAAAGGTGCAAGGGGGTGTAAAAATTGGGGTGTGAAAAATCATGATGGATTGAAATATCCTCATTGAAAATTACCAACCTATTATGACAACATCAGTCAAATTGCGCCCATAAATGAGGCTTCTATGCCTTCCACCTGGCAACTCCCTTCCACGACCATATGATGGTAGAGGATCCACAACTGGCCAATCGTCAGAGTTCTGTAACAAGCATGCCATGGCATTTATTTCATATGTTACATATCATAATTGAGACAGCAAGGTCTGAATAGATTAAACTATCAAAATTTTTGGGACTTGAATCAGTATATAAAATACATAGATAGATAGATTGCTTAAGCCCAAAAATAAATCCTAGCATTGTAAATCAACACACAAGTAATTATTAATTCCGTAAGTATCTATTATTAATTAACTACATTAAAACACTGCCAAATTGATTAATATGCATAAGAAACGTAGCTTAGGAACGTTATGTCTATGCTGAAAGAGACATTGCAGTATGTTATAATTACTTTGCAGACAAGCCAGAGTAAACACATTTTCCAGATATACTAATCTTCCTTTTTCTTGCATTTCACTATATTATTCACAATAAGCAGCTTACTGTTGATCCAAGAATTACTGCATCCTTGTCCAACCACAAAGTTAGATGGCTGATGAGATCAAAACTTCCAGTTAACCACCGGCCAGCAGGGACAAAAAGCTTGGCTCCACCTTTGTCAGCAAATGAATTTAGGTAAAAGATGGCATTCTGAAATGCTTTTGTATTGAGAGTGATCCCATCGCCAACTGCTCCAAATTCGGTAATGCTGACACTGTGAGGTCGAACTTCCTTCAAGTTTATATGTTTGTGGCATGAGCTGCTCCACACTGTCCATGGGCTACAACTGAACAATGCAAGAACCAGAAACACATTCACCAACTGCAAGAGAAACGTGTCAACACCAATTAGAAAAGCCATCATTGTGAAATTAAATCATTTTTTTATAAAACCGTGATCTTCATCATCTGCAACAAGAGCAGGATCTTAGCAAGCATCAATGTTATGAAATTACAGAGACATAAAAGACTGATTGAAGTATTTCAAATTGCTAAGTTGAAATTCTACTCAGATCAGCTACATTTTGTCAAACAGTTGAATAAGCAAGAGTAATAAGAAGTAAAATACAAAATAAGTTATACTAAGGTAGACAGTGTAGAATCCATCAATGCTGTTCTTGATCTCTGTAAAAAAAATTGTGCTTTTAGATCTTACTACTCCACCCACCCACAACTAAGCTTGACAGTGGAAACCAAAAACTAGCATTGTATTGAAACCTCTTAGGGGAGAAAGTAGAGGGAATAAAAAGCAAGAATCAAACACAAACTCACAGTTGAAAGTCTCTTCATAAGAGTGAGATCCAGTTGTCCCTTTTGACCCAATAACCTGACCAGAGGCAGAGCTTTTGAGGCAACCCCAACGACCAATTTGGAATCCTCCTTCTGATAAACAAAAGGTACAGAAACAGAAGAGAGAGAGAGAGAGAGAGAGTAAAAGGATCAAAGGAGGAAGAAGAGAAGGGTAGTTTTGGTTTATTGATCAAACTGTTGAGCTAGAAGGGAGTGTGATACAATACTGATTGGATGGGTCATTTGAGAGGAGTGAGAGAAGAAGCAGCACCACCCAACCCAAGTAAAAATCATTGACAGGAACTGTTGATGCCCCTCAAAAATTAAGCAGTAGGACCCCCCTCTCAGTATGTCTCTCTATCTTCCTCCAAACTCTTTATCTCTCTCTCTCTCTCTCTCTCTTCCTCTCTCTACCATTGTGGAACCAACCAATCCAGATAGCCACCAACACCAAGCAATGATTTTGAAGACAGGACTCGCTATGAAGAAACCAGACAGCATCAATAGAGGATCACGGTGTCTGGTTTGGGCTTTTCACCGGTTCCATTGCTCAAACAGTGACGCTGAGTTCCAAAAGACAATTTCAGAAGCTTGCATGAAGCTCCACTTCCCACTATCTTTCTTGTTCCTGTATTTCTCGGAGTAACCTATGATTTTTATCCTAAACCAATTCGTGTGGAGTATTTGACTAGTCTACCTTTTCAAACACTCCACTCCATGTTTATTTCATTAACCACCTTTTCTATTTTCTTTTGTTTGTTTTATTACTTTGATTCGTAAATATGTAATTTGTAACCCAAACAGGGGAAGAGAAGAAAGTCGCAAATGTGCAAAGCGTGAAAAGGAACAATGGGACACATTTGCTAAAATTACCAAAACCAGTTTGCGGTAACCACAAGTGACTCCTGAAAATAATTACTGTCTTTTTTCGAAAATAAAATAGTAAGTGTCATATTTTAAAGAACAACAAGTGCCATTTCTTGTCATTGTTTAATTATGTATCTTCTCAATGAGAAAACATGTTAGGGATTAAAAGTAGAAAATCTCGTGTTCTTTTTTTCTTTTCCAAACAAAGAATTATTATGTTAAGGGTGGATAAAATTGGGATTGGACCGAAATGAGGTTGGCCATTTATTGTGGAAACTGAAATAAAGAAAATGAGATTCGTCGTTTATTCAGTGTCCCCATTTGAAGATGATAATAATAAATGAAAATACAGTCCGTAGTTGATGAATGATGAAGACAGAGGACCCATCTCACCTTCGTGTTGCTGTTACACTTTTGTGCTTCATACAACATGTGGAAACAAAATTACCTGTTAATTTATACAAATTATTTCATTATTTATTTGCTATTGATTATTTTGGTTTCATTTTAATCAATTAGCTTCACTTCAATTTTAAAATACTTTATTTATACTTTAAAATAGATATAATTTAATTATAATTTTTATATTATTCTTTAATCGGATTCAGAATTATAGTTTCATCTTAATAGTTTATACTAATTATTCTTGAGCTTATGGATCTTCTTCAAATGATAGGTTGAAATTTCGACGCGAATGGAGTTTGACTTCTTCAATAAATGGTGGTTTGGTATGGGAAATGGATTTTTCGTTCTTCTTTTTCTTGGTTGAAAATAATTCTTGTTGGGTTTCCTTCAACATTTTGTATTGAGCTTTGAAATTTTAATTTTAAAAAGGGAACTTGAAAAGTATACTATATAATAAAATATTATATTATTGATTATTTTAAATATCTCATTATAAATTTATAATTAATGTTTTTTGAAATAAATTAGTATTAATGAAAATAATTACAAATTTTAAACTATCCATAATTAGATAACTAGTTAAAGAATAAAAGATAGCAAACCGATTTAATATAAAAATTTGTAAGCCATATTTGTTATAGAATAAGTAAGATACAAATTATATGAGAGTGAATATAAAGTTTGTCTTGTTTTAAATAATGGAAAATTAAATTTATAATATAAGAATAATTAATTTAGATAATTGAGAATAATATTTTACAAATGACTTTCCTTAATATTTTCTAATCTCGAAATAGGATAGCATAATCACTTGTCAAAAGAATACTATATCGTTTGAGTAAAAGTCAACTTAATTATTTTTATTGATTTGAATGAGTAAATTTTTAGAGAAATACTTATAAAAAATAAGTTAACGTAAATAATAAATAAAATTTATTTTATAAGTTAAAAATAATTTTTTTAAAATTTTATAAAACTAAATGAAAGAAATTCTTATGTCTTCTAAAAAATAAAAAAATATAAGTTATCTTTAATTTATAAAAAAATTATTATTTTTATATCTTTTACGAGATTTCTCTAAAAATTTATTTAAACAGACCGTAAAAAGTTGCGAAGAAGTTCGGTTCCACTTAAATTAAGAATCTTCTAGACTAGATTTTTTGAATATATAAATAAATTTTTCAAGTAATATATGAATATTATTAAATTAATTTATTTTTATTAAATAATTAAAATTGTATTATATAATTATATAAATAATTTAAAAAAATAAAAATTCATTAACATTAACTTTAAAATTTTGATATAAAAAAGGCAATTCTTTAAAAAATTGTTTAAAAATTCTTCTAAAAATAATTTAATTCAAGAATTAATATTCAAAAATTATATATGCGGTTAAGAATTTTTAAAAAATTATTAAAAATTAAGTTAAAATATATGTCTTCAAATTTTCTATAAAAATAAATGATAAATAAAAACAGTTAGATATTATAAATTTATATTATATTTAAAATATATTTAGATTACTAAATAAACTAAATAATAACTTATACATTAAATAAATGAACTTATTAATCAGCAGTTGGTTAACATAACAAAAAAATAAACAAATTTTTATAATTAATACATCTATAAATATATTTACATTTCCTTTAATTTTCTATCAAAAACAATAGAAAAACATATAAATAATATTTTGACAATTTTTCTTACATTTTACTTTTTGGAATTAAATAGAATAGATCCGTATGCGTAATAACGTTGGTAAAAGAGGGAAATAGCAAAATAGTAGTAGTTGGTAGAAAAGCCTACGAATATGATGAGAATCACAACAGGGAAAAAGGAAAATGTGGTCCCAATTAAAACTCTCCTTCAACCAATGAAAAACGCTTTAGGAAAACTACAAGGTTTCTTTTGTTGCAATTTACAGTGAAATATTTCATCATTAATTTGAATTGACACCAAAAAAATACCATACATTAATGGTTTCACATTAAAACAAATATACTAAAAGTTATTTTTTTAAAAATCTCTCATAAATTAAAATTAATACTAAGAGATATAATATATCCTACTTAATAAATAAAAATAACTCTTAAAAATATTTTATTTTAAAATGAAAAATGAAAAATGAAATTTACTATACAAGATTGATTAGCTTGACCTATAAGGGAAACTGATTCTGCTTCTAATACGTCACAATCCATTTGGTATTTGCTTATATGAACGAAATCTTGTCTTAATTTTGTTTTTCATTTTTGCTTTTACATATGAAAGGGTACATCATCCCACTTAGACCCTTTCCTGTCTGATACAATATTGGTAAAATTAGTCATGCCCTACTTTTAATAATCACCGCATGGCTAAATTTGGTTCAACTTGATATATTATTGATTAGTGTACACTTAATCTATTCATAATCTGCTATTTTGTCAAATTTTGCTCAACAGCTAGCTTGGACCCACAGCCACACCACATTGCATATTAAGAATTGTACAAGACGAAGGTAACAACCTGCTCATAGTACATTCATAATTGACAAAAATATTGAACAAATATCTTTATCCCTCTCCTTCCAAAGAGTGAGTTTTCTATAAAATATTGAAGTATTTTACACGCCTTTTTGTCTATATGTATATAAACAACAAACCAAAAGAAGATAAGTAACTACTGCCAACCATTCAAAAGGTTATATAATAGCAACAGCTACCTAGTTTATATGAATATAAATTCAACAGCTACCAAAAATACCAACTCTCATCAATCCATGTTTAACGCTGTGAATCACTCTGGCTCATGTTGACATATGCTTTGCAGGTAGATTTTAGGTATTCTTCTTGTTATAGTCATGTATGATATAAACTTATAAACAATGAAAACGAGAAAAACAAAACTGTAACTCACTGTTTGGTTGAGAGGAAACAAAACGAGGGAAGGGAGACAATTTGCAATTTAAATTAAAGAAAAATTAAAATTAAATGAAAAATCTCCACTACTATTATTCATTAAAGAGGTAAAAATTTGGAGATTAGGAGAAGTGGAGAACACCACTCACATTCTTAGTTAAGTACAGTCTTAGTTACATGCAGAATAAAAGGCACTAGCCACCTTTATCTTTCCATTGATAGCCATGGGATAAACCATTCTTTTGACTCTATGTGAGTGGTTTGCATTGCATTGAAATGGGTAATGGTACGTACATTTCACTTTTATTTTTTCTCCCACTTCTTTTTCTTGCACCAAGACTCACAAAGTCCACAAGAAGAAGGTACGTCCCACCATTTCGCTACTCGAAATAAACTACATTAGCAATGGTTCACAACCCTTTTCTGAGTATATCAATGGCGTTCATTATCATAAGGCTTCCATTTACTAATAAACGTAATAAATTCCAAGTTTTAAAATTACTTTCCATTGTATAATTTTATCTGAAAAATTAAATTATTAATACAGATATGAAGGGCATATTAAAAATATCATAATATATTATAAATATTTAATGTACTGATAATATGTATCAATTTTTTACACTGAAGAAATTATTTTGTAGTATGATATATTATACTATTACTATAGACTTGTATATACTAATAATTTAGTATTTTTACATATAAATTATATTAATAAAGAGTAATCCCACTGTAATTTTTTATTTATTAATATTTTTTCATTAGATTAGTTTCTGTCAGTATAATAATTTAACAAAAAATTAAACTAATAATATAAATATTATAATTTTTCTGAATAATATGATATATTATACTAACAAGATGATTGTATTATTACAAATATTAATATATCTTAATATATTAAATGTTAGCCAGTTCAATATACTTACATGGCATATATTCCCAACCCAAAGCCCAACTGTGATGGGCTACTGAAAATCTTACGAAGCCCAAATATATGATGCGAAACGCTGCAGGAATAAAGTAGGGTTCCCCCTCTCGTGGCTTCTGAATTATGCGTTGAACGCAGAAGTGTGATTTGAAGCTTCAATCTTCAACTCTGCGACCTTTATATCGTTGTTTGAATGCGATGCTTTGGTGTGATTGAAGTTGAGAGTAGAGTATGGGCAGTGCTAAAACTCCAAAGAAGGATGGAAACAACTCAAACTCAAAATCAAACTCAAACTTTGCTTCCCTACAAAATAAGTATGCAGTCACCTCCCCTTTTTCTATATATCAAATTCTATTCAATGTTTTGTTATTATTTAATCTCTGTTACTATCTGCAGTTGCTATGAGGGAGAACGTCTAACTAATATGCTACAATCAATCCGTAGGTAAAATGCGTTTTAAACTTTTGTTTTAATTAATCTTCCAACATCATTTGATGATCTCGTAATGCTGTTTATTGAAAATCTCAAGTGGGGGTTTGAATCAAGGTTTTAACTGTGTAAAGAGTGAAATTCTCAACTACCTTGTTTTCAGTTGTGGGTGTAATCAATGATGGTGCAATATCTCACCCCATCTTACTATTACTAACGCTTGTTCTGATGAACAGGGAGATCAAATCTACAAGACAGTTAGATGGAACTTCCTTGCCAGAAAAGATATGGTTAAAGGTTTAACTTCTTGGTTTATGAAACTATAAAACAATTGTTTAAATTTATTAGGAAACATATATACTCATTCATGTAACTGTTCTGTGGATCCTCGCAGCAACAGTTCGCTATTGGGGTCAATGATGTAACTCGTGTCCTCGAGCATATGAAACCATGCAGTGAGTGGGAAAAATCTACTCAACTTGTTCCTTTAATCAAAAGTAATAATAAGGCATCCTCAGTTAAGCTTCAGGTTGAATTTCTCTGTTCTGCTATGTTAAATATGTAAATCTTTAGTCAATATCTTATTTAGTATCTGCACCTTTTCTTATTAGTTCATTACTTTTAGGTAAATCCTCCAACATGCACTTCTGATTTTTTAACATTTACATTATTTATGCTTTACGTTATGCAGGCTGTGCTTGTAGCTTCTGACTGTAACCCACGATGGCTGACAAAGCATCTGCTAAGTTTGGCTTCATCAAGGAGTGTGCCCCTGATCTTTGTTAGAGATAATAAAGAAGGTTCTTTGAGATTAGGTGAACTTGTTCAATTGAAAACAGCCATTGCTATTGGAATTAAGGTGAGGTCCTGGCCTCGCACTGAAGTATCATGTTTGTTTCTGTTATTTTTAGAATAAACAATAATTCTTTAAAAATTTCTCATTTGTCAAAAAATTAGAAAAAAAGAGAATATTTCTTTCAATAAGTTAATATAAACATGCACTCACTATTTCTAGTTTTACAATTTTTATTTTTTGGGAAAACTATAACAGCCTCGCACGAGGAATGACCAAGTTTTATGTGGACTTTGCTCCTAATTTTCAAGATCACAATAAACCCCCTTATTGCTCAGTCCTTCCTTACAAGTTTCTTGTTATAAAACAATCAACCTTAAAAGAACATTTAACGCCATTTCACCGGGGTTCTTAATGTAGAAGTTATGTTAAGAGAACTTTTTGCATTGTTGGAAACAGGCAAATGCGACTTGACTATGCCTCAAAATATCACTTAATCTTCCCGAAGTTATTTTGTATTTTTTGGGATTTTGGGTTACCGAGTTATTCATTATATTACGATGAATGCAGGTTAAAGGAAGCGCCATAAATAAAATTGTTGAAGAAATTATTCAAGGCGATGAATTTAAGCTTTCACCAGACGGGGCAAATTCAGCAAAGAATATTTTATGTGCGAAGTGATTTTCAAGACCGTAACGAAAGTTTATTTGATATTGTCACAGATGTAAATCAATCATTATAGTTTGGGCTTATATCTATTTTTGGCCCCCTTATTTTAATGGTGTGGTTCTCTTTTTCCTTTAATTTTTTGGGGGGCGGAGATTGAAAATGGTGTAATTATTATTATTATTATTTTGTAAAGTTTTATAGCGTCTGGGCATTATAATTTATATTTTACAATAAATTACCACAGAAGATCTTTTGAAACTTTTTATAGCTTGCTGTGCATTTGGAAATTCTTTCGCTTAATTGCATTTTTGTCTTGATTTGGATTACGTATTATTGTGGTTTCAAATCCTTTAAAATAAGTTTTGTTTAATCATAGTCTTAAGTTATATTTAAATAAATTAAGTTACTACATTAAGTGACTTTATTTATTTATTTTTATCTATTTAAAACCCTAAAATGTTTACTTTTGATCGAAATGTTTTGAATATTTATGTTAAATTCATAGTGAAAAGTAATTTAAAAGACTTTTTAAGACGATGAGATTAAGATTTTAAAGATAAAATGAATTTATTTTTCTTTCATTTGATGAGTTTAAAGTAAAAGGAAGATTTAAAAATATTTAATCCTTTTAATTTGTGAAAAATTTTAGTAAATAAAAATGTAAAGAGTTATAGGTAGAAAAATTCACCAGAATCAAATTTGTTAAATATTAAAATATAGACTTCAGCTTAAATTTTTACGGTGTAAAAGTATAATTAAACCTAAATTTTTACAGCGCCTGATCATCACAAATTCTATATTACAAAAAATTCTTACATGCATGGAGGATCAACTGAAGCTTTCAAGTTGTTCCTTCTCGTTCAATTGTTTAGACTCGAGGGCTGGATTAGGAACTAGCACTTGATGTGGAAGGCTCAACAGTGCCAACTGGATCAGAGTTGGGATTAACCCGATTTCGTCCGCTACGTTTCCCTGATTCCCGATTCTGTGTTTTATCTTGATCTTGCTTTACCAGCACAGGTTGGAACTGCCAAAAGTTCAAATTCAACGGAGGGAAAAAGGGTCATCCAACTATCAAAATTATAATAACGGATAAGGTGGAAAACTCGGTACCCTAAGAAAAGCAAACCTGATATACAGAATAAATAACATTTCTTCTTATTTGTGCCATCATCTCCAAGAAAAGGTTATAGCCTTCAAGCTTATACTCAATAAGTGGATCCCGCTGTGCATATCCCCGTAAACCCACAGCTTGCTGAACAAATTTTAGGGCTTGCAGATGTTCTTTCCACAGGCGATCGATATTACTCAAGATCAAAAACCGCTCTGCTTCTTTCATCAAGCCTGGTGCTTGTTGCTCCACAATATCCTACAGCAAAATTTATAGAAATGAAGAGGGAAACCAAAAGAAATGGAAAAGAAATTATGTGAAGAGCCACACGGCCACCAAACCAATTCACCTAGGAGTTTTTTTTAAATATGACACTAGTGATGGTAATTGCTTTAAGTCCAAGCATTAGATTGCAGAACAGTCAGTATGAGGTTTGATAACCTCTTCTCTCCCTCCCAAAAAAATAACTAAAAGAAAACTGTTTTGACTAAAATCACTTGTCACCATTTTTGTCCCTTTAATTGACAAACAACTAAAAGAAAACTCTCCCTTTTAAATAGGGACATTCTTTCTCAGTTGTTACTTGTTAGTTTTTTTATATCGTGTTATTTTTAAATTGAAGGGTAACCCACAAATCAGCCGCTCAAATTATATGGGCCAAGCATTTTAATCATTGAGATTTTAAAAATCTTTCGTTAATCCCTGAGTATTCACTTTCGTCTTTTTTAGTGCAAAATGACAATGAAAATCAAGTGGAAAAATACTAAAATGAATGACTTTTTACAAAGTCAAGAAATATTATCGATTTTTTAAAATCTCTGGTTAAAATGCTGACCCATAACCAATAGGAAAGAGAACATAAAAAAGGTCTCTTCTTTTTTTTAACAATATGAAAGGATCGGTTGATTTGATCCTGCATGATAACTGTTAAACTGACCCTTTTCTGCAGGTAGGCTTCTCGACCACGAAGACGGAGATAATTCTTCAATTCCTCATAATCTGAACACTTGTCCCTCAGCAAATCAAGGGTTAGATCATTCAATAAGCAGCAATATCTGAAGAAAAAATAAGACAACTTCTGTCAGCAAAATTGTTAGATCCAGATTAAACAAAACCATGCACCGGTTAATATCAAGTACACAAAAGCACAATAAAATAATCAGTCATCTAAATGTCCAGACCAAATATCCAAGAGATGCTTGCTTCTTATTTTGACTTCGCAGTTTGGACTATATGTGTAGGAAAATTAGTTTCCAAAATGGATCAGGATGATGTGAAAATGATATGCTTCACCATGTAACACCCAAAAAAAAAAATGTCGAATTACGTAATACAGTGAATTGGAAAGGCTGCCATATCATTGTTCGACCCCTTTCAACCAATTAAACCAATGGTCTAATTGGATTTTAAAAAAATAAAATAAATATGCAGAGCCTTCTTAATTTTTTACAACATATGTTTATTACATTTATATCAATAAAATAGAATTTTTTTATTTTAATAAATAATCTAGTATTTATAAATGTAGAAAATATATTTTTTAGTGAAGTATTCTGATGGACACTAACTGGTGCGAGAATAAAAATTGAATCGAATTTAGTTGAACTGATACGGAATTAAAAGTTACATAGGAAACTGAGCAAAACGGATTGAGTATAAAGGCTTCCTCCCAAGATGTTCGAGAGCCTAGTCTCTCCCTTCCCAAAACCACTCATATTAAAATAACTGCTAAAATAATTAATAACTGCTAAGATAATTCAATCCTATTAAAAAAACCTAAGTCTTGGCTCTCTTCTTATAATATTTACTTATAAGGGGCCTAACATATTCAATAACATTAAAACAGCAAAGTTGTTGGTTCTCTTGCTTGGCTTTTGCCACGCCATGTAACCAGAAAGTATCACAGTGGACTACTGTCTCACAGAAGTGACCAATCAGCCCCAGTTTAGCCAGTTCAGGGAAAACCCTAGTTTTTAACAATTCAGAGGCAGCTTAGCATGTCTTGCAATAAGGCCTTTAGATTAAGCTAACAAACATACCTCGAAATAAGATAGCAGGTCTAAGCCTATATATAGATTAACAGTCGCAAATCTTTGAATATAATAATATATCGAAACAATTTCAAGAAATAATAATAATAAAATAATAATAATTAATTAGGCTCACTAAGATTAAAAATCTCTTTGGACAGTCTAAAGCATGATCTTTTTAGCTAAATATGCTTTTAAAAAGCTGTGGCTTAATTTATTCAGTAAATAAGCCTAGGCTAGGTCATGACGTCCATCCCTAGCTCCAGCTTTTAAAAGTTTCTATAAAAAAGAATACAGAGTTTTGTGCCAGAAAGTACTATTGGAACAAAATCAAGGTTCTGCATATGACTAAACCAAACAAGGTATCAAGCACAAGGATCAAAAGATTCCACTTACTGCTGAATTTTCGCAATTAGTTTTTCAAGATCCCAATTGTCTTTCGGAGCATCAGAACCAATGTTGGCCTAATTCATCATAAGATTGCATTATTAAGTTACACAATGAAGCAAGTTTAAGAGAGTAGCATAATTTTAGTATGACTTACCTCTAATATGTCATCCATTGTCAATTCAGCATATTCAATAAGAAGAGACTGAAGATTGTCAGATTCAAGGGCTCGTCTTCTCTCTGTATAAACACGATCTCTTTGGCTGTTAAGTACTTCATCATACTCAAACAACTGCTTCCGAATGTCAAAGAAATAGTTCTCCACTTTCCTTTGGGCTTCATCTAATGCTTTGGTCAGCATCTTGGACTCAATAGGTAGGTCTTCAACTCTGAAAGCTCGCATTAAGCCCTACACATCACAATATTAATCATGTTTTGGTATTCAAATTCCCAGTGTAGCAGCGACACAACAGACATTACCTGAATTCGGTCTCCACCAAAAATCCGAAAAATGTTATCTTCAAGACTTAAAAAGAAGCGCGAGCTTCCCGGATCCCCTTGCCTGCCACTTCGACCACGCAGCTTTATGGATAAAAATCAAACTTTCAGTTTCAAATCTTTAATTCACAGTACTATTTATTTATTTATTTTATTATAATATTTTTAGGGAAAAGGAGTGGTGGCCCATTCCAAGATAGGGAAAGTCACGGGGCTCAAAGAGTGCTTATATAGGATTTACATTTATCTCACCCCAAGGAGACAAGTGAGAAATATGCAGCTGTCAAGGCCACAAATTATTCCATGCCCCTCCCCTCATTCTTGCAACCCAATAATGAAAAGGAGGGATGAAAAGAAAACCTGATTATCAATTCGCCTTGACTCATGACGCTCTGTGCCCACTACATGTAGTCCACCAGCTTCCACAACCTGCAGTCATAATGATTATTAATAATGCATCACATGCAATGCATCAAGGAAAATATTAGTCAAGAAACAAATTGACCTTCTTTCTCTCTTCCTCTGTGAAGACTTTATATTCCTTGCCAATTTCCATAAATGCATTTCTCAGCTTGGAAATGACTTCATCTTGAGCAGGGCCCTGCATAAAAATATATAATGACCATATGATAATACAGGATGAAAAATTCGGAAAAGTAATACATCAAAGAAGAAAGCTTTATTTGTCTTTCAAAATAGAAAAAGTAATTAATTATTCTAATTTCTAGTATCAATTACACTAAAAGAATCATCATCATCAGATTGTCACCTTTTCACAGGCATAGGATAGGCGCTCCTCTGCTTCAAGCTCAGTTAATGATCGCTTGCCCCATGTTTCAACAGCTAATTGTGCAGCCTTCTCAGCCACGTCAGCATTTTTATTTGATAATAGGCACGGGAATAATTTCTCATCCACCTGAATGACATATGTGGAGTTCCAAAACAGTAATTGTGAATAGTATGCACACGCACGCAGGGAGAGAGAGAGATAAACACACATGCACACACTTATTAAAGCATACAAACATAAAGCAACATAGATTATGGGTATTTTAGTAATATGTTAGAATAAAAACAAAAAGAATCAGTCCAAATTCTTTCTTTCCCCTCTAGTTTTGGTGCAAACGTGATTATTTAGTTTATTTTTGCATAAGCACATGCTGCGTAACTGGAGGGCATTAGTAGTGAAAGTGTAATTTTGTTTAAGAGAAACTGCAGCATGTTGGGATTTATACAGCATCAACCTCACACACACGAGCTGGATACATCCTGTGAAAGTCCTCATTGAAAACATATACAAGATCACATAACCCAACACACTCCAAGCTTGCAAATTTATCATCCTCATCATCACCATCAAACAAGCTAGAAAGCAAATCATGAGGCATCACTGCAATCTCACTGAACTCCATGCTCCTCTCATCCACCTTCCACAACACAAAGGAAGATCTACACATTCCAGCAAGAAAAAGCTGTTCCTTACACCCAATCAAGAAGGAGAAAACCACCTCAGAAGGCCTAAGGATCTGAACCTCACTCCAATCTCTTAGGTTCAAATCAAAGGATGACACAAAGCAAGAGTATATCCCAAACACTTGGAACCTACCTTTGAACAAAGCAGAAGAAAGAGAAAAGGAGTTTCAATTATCTGAAATCAGAAGGGAGAGGAGGAGCAAGTTCCCAAGAACCTAAAAGAGGATCATAAATTTCAACATCCAAACAGTCCTGTGTCAACCAAGTTACCAATGAACTTGATGCCACCACCAACAACGAACTTGGGAGCTGTTTTCCATGATCATTGAAGACACCCAAAAGAGGGTTGATTCTAGGGAAGTGAAGGGGTGGAGTGTTATGAAAATGTTGAAAAGGTAGAAAGCGAGAAGAAAAAGAACGAGTGAAAAAGGTAAGTAATTAATAAATTTAAATTTTTAAAAGATTATCAGAGTAAATGTCTCATAGGACAGAACAGGAGGCAATATTAGTTAGAGACGGTTAGTGAGGAGACATTAGAGCGGTTTGGTTAGTTAGCTAGAGAGGACCAGTTATAACGATGGAGGGATTCATTTAGAGAATAAGTAACTTTGTATAAAAGGGGAAACCCTTGGAGGAGAATTCTTTCTCCTAGTTTCAGTTCAATTGAATCCAATTAAAAAAAAACATTTCTTCTTCTGCCAATTCCTTAAGAGGTTCCTACAATGTCTTAAATATCCATATTTACTTTTGTTGTTTTAGAAATAATAAGTAGGACATTATAGTCTAAAAGAAGAAGGAATTGGTTGCCAACATCCTTCTTCTATAAAGTATTTGATAGAGTGGGATGTGTTAGCAAGCCCACACACACACACACACACACCCATAACTGTATATACATGAAGAAATATTTTAAAAAAGGAAAACTCCATACCTTCCATGTCTTGAAGGGAGGAGGTTTCTTTACTGACACAAAGACTCCTTCATCTGGCTTAACAACTCTGCAATCATAGGTTCCCAAAAATATTGTAATGCATGTTTGATAATCATAGGCTCTATCAGTAGCAATTTAAGCATAGGAGTAGCCAGAAGATGCTTTCCCATTAAGGTTATATCGGTGACAAATGAATTGTGGAAGAAGTACGATAGTGCCAGCAAGGAATATGTATATGCAATTACAGAAGGTTAGCAAGGAGTTATTTAGCACACAAATTATTCTTCCAAGAAACCATGTGATTAAGGCTCCACTATCATCTATTGGAAGATAAGTTACACTAGACAGGTAGGCAAAGTACATCGTCTCGTCTCTCTCTCTTGTTAACTGGGGACCATAAAAACCCTAGCCCACTCACTACCTCACCCTTCCAAGCCACTACTTGACCTCTAGAGAAACCCAGATAAAACACCATCATCTCAAATAATACTCAAAAGGCAACTAGTACATGGAAGGGAAAATTCTCCATGATAAAACATCGTCAAAAGTTCCATAATACCTTGGCATCAGTATCTCACGAAGCTTCAACCGTGCCATAAATTCAGCATTACCACCAAGGATTATATCTGTCCCACGACCAGCCATATTGGTAGCAATTGTCACTGCCCCAAGACGACCACTCTGTGCTACAATCTCTGCTTCCCTCTCAACATTTTCTGGTTTTGCATTAAGAACCTTGAAACAATAAACAATTCATCATATTTATACCCCAAAAATTTAAAACAAGAGTGTTGCAAGGTTAAGCTTTATTCTCATTCTTCCGAATGGAACAGCAGTTGGTCAGTAGGCCTAGGGAATGAATAGGCTATCCTTTTTAGAAACAAAATTATTTGAAAAAGGTATCATTAAGAAAATATTGTACTCTCATTCTGTCTATGAAGCATGAACACTCCTCTTGCTTAAGGTATTGGAGTGTAAGACGTTTCCAATGCCAATACCTACAGACTTATTGAAAACTTCTCGTTGGAAATCCAGTTAAAAAATTATATTTTGACAGCTTGAACATTTGAACCAATACCTCTATATGGACGGATTCTTCAAGGACACTAGCATTATTTAAAAAATCAATCCTTTTAAACATTTAGAGAAGCCATCTTAAAATATAATATAAAACATTACAAAATAACTTCTCTTAATTGCTTGGTAAGGCTTACTAGTCATTATAAAAAAAAAATCCAAAACTTAACAAGTTGTTCTAAGAAGGTGAATCTGTCTTGCAAGATATGATTCATCTTCTTGCTTTGGGATATTTTTCATAAAGAGACAGAGTGCTGAATTATAAATGATGCCTCAATATTTTGTGTAAGGTATAGAAAGACGACAGACTTTACCTCATGTGGAATTCCAGCTTCTTTCAATTGCACTGACAAGGAATCGCTCTGCTCAACACTAGTGGTGCCAACAAGCACTGGGCGACCAGTTTTGTGCATTCTAGAGATTTCCACTACAACTGCACGCCATTTCCCTGAAGTTGCCCTAAAAACTACATCAGATTCATCCTGAGAAAGAAATTAAAGACACCATTAGGAACTAGATAAACATCAAATAATTTATAAAAACTGTTTTAAAGTACAAAGTAAATCTACTAAGATAGACAATAATAAGACTTCCAAGCTAAACTTTTAGGGGAAATAATCCACCAGCACTATAATAATTTACACATATATTGCACACATAAATGTAGTAAATATATAATCATTCCTCCCATTTGGGAATATATTCCACATGGCACAGTAAACATCAGTTTATTAAAGTGCTGCATATGAATGAAAAGCAAGAAGAAACCTTTCTTATCATAGGTTTGTTTGTTGGCACAACTGTAACTTTAAGCTTGTAAATGCTCTCAAATTCTGTGCTTTCTGTTGCTGCAGTACCAGTCATACCACAAAGTTTGGGGAACTGTAGAAGTACATATTCAAAAGCATCCAGGTAATTTTGAAGGCAAATTAAATTTTTAAATCATGATTCACTTAATCAGCCCAGATATAACATTTCCAACCTGCAGAAAGAAATTCTGGTAACTAATAGAAGCCAGTGTTACAGTTTCATTTTGAATTGGCAAACCTTCCTTTGCCTCAACTGCTTGGTGAAGTCCATCACTCCACCTTCTCCCCTATCAGTAAAGAAAATATAACTAAAATTACTTGTGCCTTGAGATATCAACTGAATTTACTTCTCAGAAATTTGAACGACATTCTTCCTTCACCTAAGTTTTACTCTTTTTTCCTCTATAGATAGATATGGTAGTGAGCTGGGGGGGGGGGGGGGGGGGGCAAACTATTATCCAGATGTAGACTAATATAAATAGTTTCTGAATTTAAATTTTGACCCAAATCTAGTGAATATAAATTACAATACAACTATTCTTATATATGACACTTTAATTTAATACATTCATCAGCCATATTCTGAAGCAAAGTTTTGCCATAATCTTAAACTTAATAGAGTTCCAGAAATAAAAATCAGTACATGCAAAGGCCTGAGATTATAATTATTATCAAAATTAAATCAAATATAGCACAAGAAACTGCTATAGCTGGTGCACTACCATACTTATTGCCATGAAGTCAAGTAGAATCTCTAAATACCTGCATGACTCGACCAGTAAACTCATCAACAATCAGAACCTCTTTGCCACGAATTATGTAGTTTACATCTCGAAGAAATAGTTCTTTTGCTTTTATTGCATTTAGGACATATGAAGCCCACTGTTCTCGTGGATCATATAAATCTTTGACAGCTAAAATTTCTTCAGCATCTTCATAACCCTGTTCAGAAAGTAGAACCGTTTTTTGTTTTTCATCCACCTGCATTGACAATTTCAGGAAGAATAATAAAATTCAAAGATCCACTTTTGTTTTAATAAATTAAGCATCCACTCCTGTCAGCACAGATAAAAAATGAATGCTAGAAGTTCATTATCATTGCCAAGCAGACTACAAAATAGATGCTAATTCTATATCACATTTACTGTCAGCACCATATAAGCATTCCACTCTATAATATTTATAAAGCATCTTTCTAAAACTTCTTCATTTTCATTTACCTAGGGCTAGTCTAATCATAATCGATTTTTCTATTTTTCTTTAAAAAATCTCCCCCTTAGATAGGAAGATGTTTGAAATAACAGTCCATAAACTCTTAAAAAAACAGGGATAAATATGCCTTCACCTAAAGTTTAGGTTTTGCTGTTCTAAGAATAGTATGAACATATTGTCCATGTAACACAAACCAGACAAATGAAGATATCCTCATGTTCACATCAACGGACAAAAATATTAATCAATGACAACACAGTCCCAGTTGACAAAAATATTAATCAATGACAGCACAGTCCCAGTTTATAATTTTTTTACCATATTCTGATTAAGAATTATAGGTTTGATGGCAAAGTCCTGAAAGGAGATAAACTTACATCTGACAAAATTTCTTCTCAAATATACACAAAAATGGCTGAATTTAAGTATGTGATACAACCAGATTAATACACATGGTTTTCTAACCCATGCAAACCTAAACTAGAAAACAGACTCCTTTTATGATGCTAATATAGTAATATTTCTCATCACAACTTAAAAAGTGATCTGAGCATGTACAGAAAGAGCAACAGAGAGTAAATCTTCAGATAAACTTAACACTACATTAAATTTCAAAATGTAAACATAGTTTAGCAGACTTACAGTGTAATGTATGTCTCGCTCAAAGGCTTCTGCTATCTTTGCAGCCTTATAATATCGATCACTGGGTTTCTCTGCAGGTCCTGATATAATAAGTGGAGTTCTAGCTTCATCAATAAGGATTGAATCAACCTCATCAATGATACAATAATTGAAACCCCTTATGACAAGCTCCTCGACACTCTGTACATTCCACAGTTTGGAGTTCAGTATGATACTAAAGGATAGAAATTAACTATTCAAAAAATATATTAAATGAAAGAAATGTGTAAAGGAAGAATTACTTTCCGTGGCAAGATTGTCTCTCAAGTAATCAAAACCAAGCTCACTATTAGTGACATACGTTATGTCACATGAATAATTTTCCTTTCTTTGCTGACTTGTCATATTCTCTGCCAACAAATACATTATTTGTTAGACAGCAGCAAAGGAATGTGTATAAAATGTTTTGTGTATTAATGAAGCTCACTTGATAATGAGAGAAAAAGAAACATAAAACCCTAAACATAAACCAAGAACAGATTACATCAAGGATGAATTGGCTTTTATTGAGAAATAAAAAATAGAATGGACAACAATGGAGGGAGCCAGGAAGAAGCTTGAAATACAACACGCCCCCAACTGACTAACAATGGATGAATATAGATTTGAAAAGATTTAGAAAGAGAATTCAAAAATAAAGGGAGGGGGGGGAGGGAAGGAATGAAGCATGAGACATACGCTGAATGAGGCCAACCTTCAATCCAAGAAAGCGAGGAACTTGACCAACCCACTCGCAATCCCGCCGAGCCAGATAATCATTGACGGTAACAACATGAACTCCCTTCCCACTTAATGCATTTAAATAAGCTGGCAAAACAGCAACCAGTGTCTTCCCTTCTCCTGTCCTCATTTCCGCTATCTCTCCCTTATGAAGAACCATGCCCCCTACAAGACCCGAACTAACAGAATTAACAAATCCACCTCTTACGCACACGAATATAAACAGAGCCAAACACCAAATAGCACGAGCCAGAGATATGTATAAGTATAACATAATTAAGTAACAAATTCCATTTCCATTTTCCATCAACAACAAAATACAAGCGAAGGATTTACCTATCAGCTGTACGTCGAATGGACGAAGGCCCAAAACTCTCTTGGACGCTTCTCTTACAACAGCAAACGCCTCCTGCAACACACACACACACACACTTCCTTAGTCACAAACAAGAGCAACGGCATTCGAATCACCATCTATAACAAACATTCACATTTTCAGACTCACAGGCAAGAGAGACTCCAAAGACTGGCCCTGTTGCGCGCGTTCTCGCAGTGCAAAAGTCTTCGCCCTCAGTTCCGAATCCGACAATGCAGAAATCTCCGATTCCAATCCATTGATTATGTTAACGGTTGCAGCATACTGCTGCCTCGTGGCTTCGCCGGTATCGGTTCCTTTGAAGATACCGCCAAGCAATCCTCCGAGGGACGCTACCGCACCCGATCGGGTCCTCCTGCTTCGCCGTGTTTTAGAAACCGACGGCGGATGGAGGTGGAAGCCTCCGCGAAGAAAAGCGGAATCCGGTAGAGTTAGGGTTTTGTGGCAGTAACAACGCGTGTGCGAGTTCCAAGTTTTGGAGGTAAAAGAGGAACAGAATGATGACGCTGCCATGGTTTGAACTTAGAATTGCGAAGGGAAATTGAAAAAATGATATATAGTGAGGAAATTGGATTGGATTGGAAAGGTAGGTTTCATTGGCTTGGGCTGTGTAGGGGTGGGTGGTAATGGTGCGTGCAAACGGAGACTCTCAGTTCTCTGCGTCTGAATTGTTGTGATAGGAAGGACGAGAGATAAGATAAGGAGAATCTATTGTGTAGGCGCGCGTAAGTAGAATTCTAGGAGTAACTAGTAACTAACCATTTTAAATAAATATCCCTTTAAAAAATGTTTTTCTAAAATGCTAATATTCCATTTATATTAATTTATTTGGAGAAAAAATCGTTTGGTTTTACTTAAAATAAAATGATTGGTTGTTATATTTAATTATTCATCAAACAATTTTTTTAAGTGTTATTTGTTTTTAATTCACCAGTTATATGAATTAGTTGGATACTGTATGTTTAATAATTTTACATTTTTATTATGAATCAAATCAAATGCATATTTATAATAGCTAATATCATTTGGTCCTAGCAAAATTTAGGATTGACAATTAAAACAATGAGGATGATTTAACTGGTGGCTTTTTTTTACCCATTAAATAAGTTTAAATTTAGATATTAGATTATCAAATTCTATTCATATTCATCTTATATATTTTAAGATTTTATTGGTTTATTTTTTAAGATTGAATTAAGTATTTTAAAATAATATTTTTTTTATGAAAAAATATTTATTACATATGTCTGCCATTTATTTTTATAAGTGAAAATATTCTAATTATGTTATATTTATGTGTGTGTAATCTTACACAAAACATTTTCTCTAAATCATCAAATTTAAGGAAAAGAATATAATTTTAATAAAAAGAATCTTATAGTTTTCTCTAATTATTAATTAAATTACATTTGAAAATAGATATTTTAATGTATTAGAACGTATGAAAATGCAGAAGAGTTTTCATATTTGGCAATAAACTAACAAGAATTACTCAATAATTTTTTGTACAATATCTGATTGTGTAATGAATTTTTCTGTTTATCTTACATAATGTTCTTTTCTTCTCTATTTTCTTTCACAATAAAAAAAATAGCGAAAAAGGGGATATTTTTGTTCATTTTTTCATCACTTAATTTTACTTTTTTCTTCAATTTCATTTAAAACAGTGCGTAAGTGTAACAATTGAGAATCCTGTTGTCAATGGAAAAAAGATGTATTTCTTTTGGAAAGTACTGGACTGTGTAAAGGAAACATTTGCGACAACAATTTAAATGAACATACAGTAAATATTTAGAATCTTGCCAAAATTCATGAAACTATGTACAAGATCTCTATTCACATGATATTGTCCCATAAAACTTACACATCATCCCGTTATAAATACACTGTAGTTTCAAAGTGTAGTACTGTCAGCTGAACTTGCAGTTCTTGTATTTAATCTGGCATAAAAGAAAAATCATTAGCAATCAATAAGTATTATAAATACGATACGAGAGAATCCTTTATTGCTCTATCCTCTATGATAACATCTTAGCAGCCGTCCTGTAAATTGTGACACATTCTTTTCAATTTGTGTCAGTCATCCTTTATAAAAAAGAAAAACAGAAAAAAAGAACACTAAAATCCGTCTGTTACAATTATAACATATTCCTCAGAAGTTAAAAGAAATCAATGGAAAGCACATAAGCGAGAGTTTAGAGGACATGGGCAAGATCATGGTATTACACAAATGATCATATAAATAAAGAATACGAAACGAGCCCCCTGGGAGGGTAAATCGGCGACCAAAGACATAAACCAGAATGATCAGCTTGGTTGTGGCGGTACCACTTTCAAACTTCGCAGCCACTCACAGAAGCTAGGATCATCGAAGTGAAGGAAACTGCTTTTTAGCTTTGTCCGCTGTTCCGTTGTCAATGACCTAAGTTGCGGGAATCTTGCCTCCTGCCAAAGTTTTTAAGTTCAATATGTAAGCAGGAACCCTCTACAAATATTCATGATACACAGGGAACTTGTTGGCAGTGCAGTAATTGAAAAAAAAAAGATGTTTTCAGTTTCACAAGAGAAAACATGAAGCATTCCTCACCTGTTCATAAGGAGGATCCCTGTGTGCAGGTATTACTCGAGAGACAAAATATCGAGCCTGTGAGCTACCCTCCTGTCACAAATGTGCATTGTTGAAATTTAACTTCTAATCAGGAGATGGAACTAAAAACATGTGAAGATCTAGGTCTAAAGTGCAGTGCCGTTGATTACAAAATTAAAAAAGTAGATTTTAATGAACTCATAGTTTGTTATACATGTATATATTTCGTCACTATATCAACAGTTGATTGGTTATATCTTCACACTTCAACATATAAAGTGCATCCTTCACTTTAGAGGAACCAAACATAGTGAGTGAATAATAAAGAACACAAACCTTAAATGCTAGGATGCGAGGAGCTGGAAAACGGAATTCAGTAAGCTCTTCAGCCAATGTCCGACAAGCTGCTAAAGCAGTAGAACTTCTTGCTTCATCAGCTGCAAGTTCAGCACCCTAAGAACAACAGTCAATATTGAAAAGTTTTGAAACAATTAGACATAAAAGAAAAAAGGTAAGAAAATGATATTCTAAAGAGAGAAAGAAACCAGAAACATACAGAACAATATCTAATTTATTGTGGTCTCAAACATCATGGTTCTAAATGTCAAATATGTACAACTTAGAAGTAAATGAATATTATGTTGATCAATGCAAAGTATACGCTGAATTATGCTTATCAACAGCAAATTCATCGGAGGACTAGATTGCATCAATTTGGAAAATACAGGAGTAATATTATTATAACTGGAAAGAGGTGCCAATCAAATTCTGGTAAAACTTATAAGAGGACAAAAGGTGCACTTAAGCCTGAAGTATTAATTAGAAACTTGTACTCGGACCTCAAAATATAAGGTCAAACATAACAAAGATGACTCAAACCTTCCATTCTGCTAAGGTAAAAAGTCATCACACCAGACCAAATATGATTTCTACATTTAAAATTCAATACATCGAATCCATTACCATTCAAATTTCTTTTTTATTCTATTAATTGTACATGGCCATAAAATATCATGTATGATTATTTGCTATAGTAACTTCAAAAAGGCTTATGTACCTCCGCCCCCCAAGAAAAAACCTCAAAAAAGCTTGAGGGAAGGAGTGTAGTAACTAAAATTAGTTTCATTTAGCACCATGATCTGCCAAAAGGAGATATAAAACAGTAAAGAAAAAATAATTTATTTACAACACCATAGTTCATAGTTCAACTAAGATGTCATGCTAGAAGCCTAGAACAGAAAGAGGATACCAAGTGCCTACCAACCAAATGAAGACATCAGTGCCATGGTCAAGAATAACAGCAGCATCAGACTGCATAGCAAGATCATAAGCTGGTAGCTCCTCAAAAGTCCCCCCCTCCCTGTGCATTAGACAACGAGGAGCCACCATTCGCAGTGACAGATCGAAGGATGCATTCAGAAACAGGTTCCGCAGCACAGACCTCTCATCTTCATGGCCAACAATGCTCCCCAATAGGGGTCCTCTTTTGAGATGGAAAAGAAGCTCTGGTAAGAGAGAAAGCTCCTTTGGAAAACAGTGAAGTTTTGATTTGGGTAATTGGGAGCCAAATTTTAGAGCTATATCCTTGATTCTTTCATCTATCGATGCTCGCATGTCAATTACATCAGAATGGTTTTTGGCTCGTAACAGAGTCCTCTTCGCAATGAGGACAGCAGCTACATCATCCTGAATACTCTCAAGATATGCTGAAATACTATCTACAGTTGGCAGTCTAACAGTAATGACCCTTGACACATTGGCTTGATATACATTTGAATATTGAATTGCAAACTGGAAAAAAACAAAGTCATTTTTGATATCTCCTTTAGTTTCCATGGAGAGAGAGAAGCTTTGTGTCTCTTCAACACTCAACATTTGAATATAAAGCGCTGTATCATTTCTAAAAGTCTCGTGGGTGTCTACATGAGCCTCTTCACCAGGACCCACAACTTGAGTTACCAGAATACTACTGGACATGCGTAATTCTAACAGCCCATGAGAGCCTGCTGATCTGGTGGCTGCCCTCTGCAAGTTAACACCAAAGGCTTCCCCGAAATCATCATGGAGAACCAAAACTCCACCCGATGCTTTTGCAAGAGGCTGTAAAATAGGAACTCTTACAGGGCAGGTTCCAGCACATAAAATGTCAACTACAGTATTATGATGATGAGCCTCACGACCTAGATTCTCCATCCATTTTAATGCCGTCTTTTCCATATAAGGATAATTAGGGTGACTAAGAGAATGAGGAACAGACCCAGGTCCATAAGTGTTTGGTCCACCAGCACAGACAATAATTCTGTTATTACCACCTGACCTTTTGACCACCCCTCGGGACAGATCTGCAGATGGGCCCTGAATTATAGCAAGAGCAACCTCAACAGCAGTTCCTAGACACCGATCTCTGGAAGCTTCTGGTATTTTCATTTTGTAGGGCCGCAGAGATGAAAATATGGTATGTGCTACAGGCAATGAAGCATGCATTGGTGCCAAGTATAAGCCAGTACCATAAATCAATCCTTTCAAAGATTCCAGATTTTGTGGCTTGTCCCCGGGAAGCACATCAGCATATGCAATTGACTCCTCTGAAAAATCATAAACTGAGACAGTACGGCCATATACTACAATTCCTACACGCGTTGTTGGAGGGAGAGAATCAACAAAAGCATGCAAAGAACTCTGTAAATGCTGCAGATGAGATTCATCTAAACATTCATCTATCACAAGAACAATTGGTGCAGACATTCTCGAATCTGAAACTGGCACAAAACCAGGTCTCTTGTTCCCAGTTTGAACATAGTCAACCATGGATGATGACAGTTCTGGAAATATGCGAAGATCTTCCTTCTTGGGAGCAATGTACTCACCATCACTTATATTCAGTTTCGAACATATTACACACTGCCACTGGCCTGATCCAAGCAATATGTTGCAATAGATATTTGCAAAAGCTCCACAGCTTTTGCAGCGATGTGGATCGCGCTGAATTACTTGCGGACCTGCTAAGACCTCCCTCCCTGGAGAGAGCAACGCCCCGAAACCCAAACTGGGTACATTAGCCTGTTTCTTCTGCTTCAACACCTATTTATTAAAGGGAAAGTAAAAAGTCGAAACATGAAGGATCATTTAAAAAAAAAAGTGGCGTCTAAAAAGAAAAGAAAATTAAAAGACGCATGAGAATGATGTCCCAATTACAGGAGAAATAAAAGCCTAGGCATGATTGCAAGTTCAGATAATCAAATCATTAGCAAAACAAAATAAATTTCACTGGTGACAAAATTCAGGTACTTAATGAAAAAAAAAAATCAACAGGAGCGTTAATTAGAAGAAAGAATATAGTACCTTGCTAGCTGAGAAGCGAACAAAGTTTGATTCTTCAGCAGCTGCGGGAACATGAGCCTCTATAGCATGAGAAACTTGGGGCTGCAACTGAAAAGATCCATTGGAGAAATGTGGCGGGGATGGCGTTGGGAAAGCGGAGTGGGAAGAAAAAGCAGGCGGCTGAGGCGAGACAGGTGAGGTGCGGAAAGGAACAGCAGCAGGACGAACAGGAGAAGTAAAAACAGGTGGTCCAGGAGGGGTGCTCAAGTGAGGAACGGGGCCTCCATTCCTAACGGAAGGGGATGATGAAGATGAATGGTCTTGTTGCAACATTGAATTAGACATTGATTCAAGAACACAAATGCCAAATTCCTCTAATGGTCATTGGACTGAGTTTGAGCGGGTAGAGAAGGAACATAAACATGCCTTCCACTTTCACCCTTTCACATGTTCTGTTCCTCCACTTCTTCTTCAGACATTTGCTGGACTAGGAAGCCTCACGGGTCAGGCCCAACCAGGATCCAGCTAAAGACAAACGAGACCGAAGCGTAAACGTCGTCGTCTCTATTTCTTCTTAAAAATTTATATAAAATCTAATAAGTCAAAAAAATATTTTAAAAAATGAAATCACGAGTAACGACACTCTCACCGTTCTTCTAACATGCCATCGCCAACCACTGAACCCTAGACACCACAAATTCCCACGAATGATCACGTTTCCACAAAACCCTAACATTCCACCCCATCCGAACCCAACCATGGACAACGACGACCCTCGAAACGGCACCGTCGAGGACAACGACCACGACCACCGGGCCGCGAAGAAACCGAAGCTCACGCGCCCTATTTCCGAACCTGAGATTCGCCAGGAATTTTCCCATCACCAACCTGGCATAGCTAGAATCAACAACGGCAGCTTCGGAAGCTGTCCACGCTCCGTCCTCACCGCTCAGAACGCCTGGCAGCTCCGCTTCCTCCAGCAACCTGATGATTTCTTCTTCAACACGCTCCGAAAGGGAATTCTCGACTCACGCGCCGTCGTCAAAGACATCATCAATGCCGACCACGTCGATGACGTCTCGCTCGTCGACAACGCCACCACGGCTGCCGCCATCGTTCTCCAGCAGATCGGTCGGCGTTTTGCCGGCGGCAACTTCAAGAAAAACGATACTGTCATAATGTTCCATTGCGCCTACCAAGCCGTCAAAAAATCCATCGAAGCCTACGTCACTCCGGTCGGCGGCTCCGTCGTGGAAGTTCAGCTACCGTTTCCGGTTCGCTCCGACGAAGAAATCATAGCAGAGTTCAAGAAAGGACTCGAGCGAGGTAAACTTAACGGGGGAAGAGTTAGGTTAGCGATGATCGATCACATAACATCGATGCCTTCTGTTGTTCTCCCCGTTCGCGAATTGATCAGAGTTTGCAGAGAGGAAGGAGTGGACCAGGTTTTCGTCGACGGAGCTCACGCCATTGGAAGCTTGCGCGTCGATGTTAAGGAAATTGGGGCTGATTTTTACGTCAGCAACTTGTACAAGTGGTTCTTTTCTCCGCCTTCGGTGGCGTTTTTGTACAGTAAGAACTCGAACGACGTGCACCATCCGGTCGTTTCGCATGAATACGGGAAGGGGTTACCGGTTGAGAGTGCGTGGGTTGGGATGCGAGACTATAGTCCCCAGCTTGTGGTGCCATCGATTTTGGAGTTCGTGGATCGGTTTGAAGGTGGGATTGAGGGTATTATGAAGAGGAACCATGATGGGGTTGTTAAAATGGGGAACATGTTGGCAGAGTCTTGGGGAACGATTCTAGGGTCGCCTCCTGGAATGTGTGCTAGCATGATTATGGTGGGGTTACCTTCTACACTCTGTGTGATGAGTGATGATGATGCCTTGAGGTTAAGGTCATACCTCAGGGTCTATCATGGTATTGAAGTTCCTATATATTACCAGGCTTTGAGGATTTGTGACAGGGATCCCAGGGACAAGGATGGGTTTATAACTGGTTATGTCCGCATATCTCATCAAATTTATAACACTGTTGACGACTATCATAGGCTTAAGAATGCAATTAATCAGCTTTTGGAAGACGGAAAAATTTGCAGTGAGCTTCCAAAGGAGTGATTTCAAATAAGAAGATAAAGAAAGCGGTATGGGTTTTACTCACTTGTAGTCTGCATTTTGTTTTGTGTTAGCTTTATCTTTAGCAGCTTGTTTTATATGGCACATTGTTGTTGTCTTGCATCCTCTAGTTTTTGCAAAACAAAATAAGCATTGTCAGAATTTCTCGGAAATTCTTAAAAACTGAATAAGAATTTTTATTCGAAGCTACTAATCAATCTAACTTCATATTACAATTCAACAACTTTGATCTCAGTATTGTCTATGATTGATTCTACTTGTATTGCGGAAGGGTATGCTTTATAAGTATATTTGCTTAAGATTTGATAGTAGGAACTGAGATATTAATTGCGATAGATGTGTCACAAAATGCCAAATGATTGGTCAGGTTTGATAGTGAGTGGATATATTTACTACCATAATTGATACTTATACGAAATTTTTTTTTTTCTTAAATCTCGAGGGTGTACTGGCTGACTTCTGACCTCACAGTTGGTATTTCCTCTTGTTTCTTTATTTCCTGTATATATTTTTTGCTCTGTTCAACCCTGCTTACAGATTATGATCACTTAAATGTATGTAGTCACTTTTAATGGAACTTTTGGTTCCTTTAAGTGTCAGACTGTCTTTGGGCAATTCTAAAGAATTTCCCATAGTTGCTAACATTTACAGGGAGGGCCATTTGTGCTGCTTCAGTAAATTGATTATTTTGTTAAACCAGTATTTAACATTGTGAGTGTTGGGCATGTCCCAAGTCCCTGGACCAGTTCTTGATGACAAGCTTTCATAGTTTTCATAGAAGTGATTGAAGAAGGTAAATTTTTGTGGCACTGTGCACACTATGGTGCATTTAGTTGGAACGAAATCCCATATATTTAATTTGATTTTAGGTCAACCCTGTGGTTTGATTTAATAGTAGGCTCCTGACATCCATTCAGTGTAAAGCACATGGCATTTTTAATAGGATTTCATTATAAGTTATGTTAAGGGACCTCACTTAGTGGGATAAGGCTTGGTTGTTGTTGTGATATAAGTTATGCTAATGGATTGGGTTTAAAGAATGTTTGTAGAATAGTTGGATTTTCTTGCCAGGACCTAAACAATGTAGAACTGTGGCCTGAGTCTGTAAAGCTATTGTTAACTAAACAGTCAAAGTTTAGCATATATCAGTCAGAAACTGTAGGTATCCTTGTTGACCTTTTTAATTTATTTTGTGATATATTCGGGTAATAAAGTGGAAATTTTTTCCGTTTGCCGTTAATTTGGTTTTCAATTTTTCAGTTCGAGTTTTGCTGTTTACATTGGATTAGATTGGTTTGGGAACGCCCTTACATATTATCTTTGATACTCTGTAATTACAGCTTTGTGCAATATTTTTTTGTCTTTCATTTTTTGAAGGGAGGGGTTAATTCATGCCAATATTAATGCTAAAAGGTGAGTTTTGTTCTTTGCAACTGTGTGCTACCTATGTGGCAGTGTATCTTTGAATCCTTGAATTAGCTTTATCAGTACAGTAGCTTAACTTGTACGAATTTAAGTACTTGAAGCCTTTGCTCTTGATTATTTGTGCTATGATTACTGAAAGATTTTGTGCTATTGATATGACAGGTAATGGAAAATGTTAAGAGCCCTCATGGAAGAACCTATACAAGGTTAAATATGTTTGCTGGGTTGCGTAATTATTGTAGAATAAAGGGGATCTTCTGCATGCCACTACAGAGCTCAGTAGGGATTCTGACAGTTACATATTGAAATTAAGCAAGCTGATATTTGCGAGGCGTTTTTTTTCTAGTTCTGGTTTTTGGGGCCGTGAGAAGATGTATATCAGCAGCATTCTTTAGTTCTTGACTAAGTTTCATTCATGAGCTAATTGCCTCTCAATCCTTGGCTACTGGTTTGTATGTATAGGTTTGCTTCTTGGTAATTGGGGCAAAGCATGTTTGAATCCTGCCTTGACACTAAAAACCAAAACTGGATAACTCTTCTATACGATGGACTAAGGCACGGTAGTAGCCATTTTGTTTACTGATCAACGTAGTGAATTCAGAAATGAGTATTGCAAATATATGTTACTGCATGTAAAATTAAATTATGCCTTTTGATGTTGTAGTGTATTTTATAACTCGTTAACCTATAATCCCTAGAGATGGCAGCGGCTGTATTTAGCTTACACCATCTTTCAGCTGGGGGTAGCAATACCTGAGCGGAACAAATATTTTCAGCATCAGATCTTAACTAATGGCTACTATCTACAAAGCCTTATTACTAACAGTCTGGTTGGAAGCGTATAAGTTGGATTTGGAGCAATTAGATTTATGAAAAGTTGGTTGACTTCTCTTGTGTAACAACAATTTAACCTTGTGAGACAATGCAAGCATTAATCGCAAAGAACACGCGCACGCTTCTTACATCTTTGTGAGGCATTGGTATTCTTGAAAGGAACACATTCTACTGGTTAGTGCGTCTTTAATTTTCCAATGAAATAAGTTATTATGCATCCTCCCAATTGTCATTTAAATGGCATATATTGATTTTTATTTCACTTACACTTACACTCACGTACGGCAACCAATGAGTTTGGAATTGGGTCATTTTAGACTGAAGATTGAAGTGCCCTTCGCTGGCCCAGTTATAGCTTTAAATGTAGGTCTCATTTCTGCATCATCTTCATCGCTATCATAATAACTATTATATATTGATATTTCTAAAATACCGATTAACATGAACCTGATGATAAAACTCCTTCTCATCAGTCAACTGTTATTTGTTAATAAGTCGACTATTAAGCATAATGATTAATGTGAATTTGTGATTTGGAATGGATCAGTCAAATATTATGGCTGAAAAGGCTATCCATTAACGTTACATCTGAATCTCAGACAAATGCATTTAAGCGCAAATTTCAAATTTTCAATGCAGTTTTTATTTTGCCGATGAGATTGTGTGATGTTTCTAGACGTGTGATAACTGGGATAAATTTGAAATTCTTTTATAAATTACAAATAATTTATTTCTTTTAGAGGCTTTCTTATTTAACATCTTTAAAATTTAAAAAGATAAATTATTTTTAATTTACAAAAAAAATTATTTATTTTTTATATTATATTGTTATTTTCATGCATGCTTGTTTAACCTACCTAAACTCGGTTGTTAGAATTTCTATACTTACCAATAGAGATTTAAAAAATAAATGAAATATAATTATCTATTAATTAATAATAACAATTTAAATTATTAACCTAATATTATTTTAATAATTCTTATAAGTTTTTATATTTTAAATTTTTAAAATTATTTTTAGATGGACCTACATGTCAGCCCATTTTATGTTTTTGTTTTAGGTTTTTAATGTTTCTAATAAGTAGGCTTGTTAGTCCATTAATCCATTCCTGAAGGAGTAAGACTAAACAGAAGCAACACAGGTTAATCCATTTTGTCACTTCTTGAAGCAGTTATTAACTCAACCCACTATACAGAGGTTGTAATTGATTACACAGCTGATGGCGTCATTGTCTTCTAGAATGAACATTTGGATATGTTATTGTTAGGTTAATTTGCACCTTTTTTTAGTTTTAATAATTACTACAATTTCGTCATTGATGACGTTCACACTTGCATTGTGTCGCTATCAGGTAATAGGGAAGATGCCGTCCCATTTTCACGTTACTTTTGAACCTTTTACCAAATGTCTCTTTAGTCTCTATTTAGTTCATCGTTCAAAAATAATGTTATTTCACTTTTTATTAAAAAAATCCTCCAATTAAAAATCAAAGTCAATTCTATTTAGTTGTAAAATAAAAAATATAATTATATTAATATTTTTCATATAAAAAAATAAATATTTTTAGATATATTAATTATTAATATCTTTTATATTATTATTTATCATAAAAAATATATCAACAAAATATTCAGTTTTCACTTATATAAGTAAATACATTCATTCTTTTAATTTATATTATATTGATTTAAAAATGAAATGCTTTAGTTATTTCTAAAATATAATATAATATAAATTCTCTAACGATTTTAATAAATTAAATACTTGTTTATATCGCTGGAATCCATTTTCATTTCAAGTGGCTTTAACAGCAAACTTTGCTTTGGTAACAGCTTTAATAGTAAACTGATTGATTAGAGAGAGAAAATTGTGACTGGCAGAATTGAAAATATATATTAAAAGAACAGACACAAAAATTACAGAGAGGTCCACTTGATTGGGTGGGTGGAAAATAGTCTCATAGAATTGAAATTATAGACGCGCCGTTAATCTTTATAGAAAAACTGTGATGCTCTCTCTACTGTGCTTTGAATATAAATATTTACTTGAATGTTAGTTACATATCGTCCTTTCCGTATCATCTCTTCACATGTAATTTAAGTGACAACATCTAAGCATTGGTTAAGAAAAATAATTGCAGGACTGATGCCAATAATAGGATTGAAGAAAAATAGGACTCTATTCGGAAAATACTATAATAAAGTTGGAAAAAAAAAAAAAACAGATACCTGAAACGGTAGTGTTGGTAAAAATTTGCTATATTGCTATCAAACTGTTGTAGGAAGTTCAATCATTGTACACATTTTTTTGGTCGGCTATTGTGAAGTACACGCTACCATTAATGATAGCACGAATCGATTTTCTTACATGAAAATTGAAACAAAGATTAGGTATTGATCTTTTGTTGAACTTCTCAAATTTTAGCAGAAAGAATAGAGAAAAGAAGGGAGTAAGGGAAAAGCCGCAAAACTCATACTGTTGAAGCACTTGTGTGGAGTTGGACTAAGGAAGCATAAAATCCACCATTGACGTTGATGAGTGTTTCGTGCCTTCCTTTCTCCACTATAACTCCATTTTTCACAACAGCAATCAAATCTGCATTTTTTATTGTAGATAGACGATGGGCCACAACCACAGTGGTTCTGTTCACCATGACTTTGTCCAGTGCATCTTGAACAACCCTCTCTGACTCAGCGTCTAATGCACTAGTGGCCTCATCCAGAAGCAATATCTTTGGACTTTTAATAATCGCTCGTGCAATGGCTACCCGTTGCTTTTGCCCACCAGATAATTGTGTTCCCCTCTCCCCCACTACAGTATCATAACCCTGTCATACGACCAAACACGTAAAGTCAAACACATTTGTCAATGTGCACAATTCACCCAATAAGATAAAAGTCCACTTCAAATATTGCGAAAACATATAATAACAAAACGAAAATATTTTCTGTAGCATTATTTAAGATGCATTTTTGGAGATATATATATGCCGCAAAAAAATGAAATAAGTGAGATATTTTGCAGTATTTTTATTTATTCATTAATAAAATTTATTAAGCTCAGCCTTTAAGATTGAAAATAAGTAATGAAATTAGTACATTTTTATTAAAAACTAGTATTTATTTCATTAAGAATATAAAAATATAATTTTTAAGATGTTTAAATTCAACCAAATGGGATTATTTATCTTACCTGGTGTAAGCTACTAACGAACTTGTGGGCATTGGCCAATTCTGCTGCAGCTATGATTTCTGCTTCAGTTGCATTGCCTCCTTTACCATAGGCAATGTTAGCACGGATGGTGTCATTGAACAATACTGGCTCTTGGCTTACAAGACCCATTTGCTGCCTTAACCACTTGAGCTTTAACTCCCGAATTTCTATCCCATCAAGGGTGATTTGCCCTGAATCAGGATCATAAAATCTTTGCAACAAGGCAATCACAGTGGATTTGCCACTTCCGCTTTCACCAACAAGGGCCACCGTCTGAAACAACAATTTTGTATGCACTTTTCAGTTAACATTTGAAATGAAATGGAGATTAAAAATAAAAGCAAAAAATTTTACCTTGCCAGAATGAATAACCAAGCTGAGGTCTCGGAAAATCGGTATATCAGGCCTAGATGGATACTTGAAACTCACATGACGAAGCTCAATTTCTCCCTGAACACTATCCAATGTGGTGCCAGACTCATCACTTGGGTCTATCTTTGACTTCTTATCAATCATTCCAAATATAGAAGCAGTAGCTGACTTGGCTTTGCTTGAGTCAGGAGCAAAGGAGCTTGATTGGGAAACTCCAATAGCTGCCATAGTTAACGCAAAGAAAACCTGCAAAACATGAAAACTGTTGGAATGCAATACTCTTCACACTTATTTTCCAACAAAAGTCTATATAATAAAATTTTGACAAGTATGAAGGATTTTGTACCCGGAAAACATCTGAGAATGTTGCCTTCCCAGCGTCCACTAGTCTAGCTCCTGCATAGAAACTAGTTGCGTAGACACTAAACAGTAAGAAAAATGAAACCCCAAATCCTGATCCACTAATTAACCCTTGTCGTATCCCTGTTTTCATAGGGCCTTCACATTTTTTCCTGTATAGTTCCATAACCTTATCTTCAGCACAGAAAGAAGCTACTGTTCTTATACTTCCAACTGCATCATTAGCAACTTGGCTTGCTTCCTCGTACATCATCTGCAGCCGCAAACAACCATTACTATATTAAGAATTTGCCTCAAACTAAATAATGCAGCTACTTGGTACCTATATATAACTTGGTATATCAATGGAAAATAAACTAACCTTTGCATCTGCACTGAATCCTTTCATGAATTTCATTTGAACATACCCATTTACTCCAATGAGGGGAATTAAGACAAGAATAATAAATGCTAGCTCCCAACTTGCAACGAAAGCAATAATCAAACCTGCCAATGCAGATGCTAAATTTTGAACTAATAGTCCCAGTGCATCACCAACAAGAGCACGCACAGAAGCAGCATCAGCTGAGAGCCTTGCACCAACAGCGCCACTTGAGTTTTCAGGTTCATCAAACCAACCAACCTCCATGTTGACCACCTTCTCAAAACATATTAGCCTGATACGTTGGATTAACTTGCATCCAGCCACAGAAAAAAAGTATGCTCGTGCTGGAATTATCAAGAACGATGCAAGACCAAGGGTCATAAACATCAATGCCCAAAACTTGGAGTCCTTTTTCATCTCATCAAACGGTTCATAAAATGTTTTGATCACACTGGAAATCAAAACACCAAATATTGGAAGTATAACACCATTTCCTATTGCAGCCACACATCCAATAAGAAGAACTGGAATCTCTGGCTTGTTGAGGGAAGCAAGGCGGCTGAGTGGAACCTCTGGTGCTTGTTCTTTGGATTGTAAGTTTTCATGTTCATGATCAGGGACATTAACTCCAGTGGGTAAACCAAAGGAAACTGAAAATGAGTGGCGGCTACTATTTCCTATGGATGATCCCCTACTAATAGATCTTTGAAGTGACCTCCTTTGACTAGATTGTCTAAAGGATTCTGCAGAATGTTCACTCTTATGATTGTCTGCAATTTCTTCTGCTTCCTTGTTTACTTCTTGTAGGCGTATAAGTTGAGTGTAAGCTCCCTCAGGATCCTTAAGTAATTCTGAGTGTGTTCCTGATTAATAAACACACAAAGTTACAGTAAGATATATATGCAAACAAAATTATGATATTTGAATTATACTCTGCATAAATTGCATCACAATCAGAAATAATTAATCATCCAGATATGGCCAACATTGAGTCAATGAAAATTGATAAGGAACTTTTTCAATGAACTTGTGTGGTACCTTTCTCAACCATCTTCCCTTTATGGATTACAGCAATCATATCAGCATTCCTCACTGTGCTCAAGCGATGTGCCACAATAACAGTAGTTCTGTTGACCATGATTCTATCTAGAGCTTCTTGCACTATCCTTTCAGACTCTGCATCAAGTGCACTTGTAGCTTCATCAAGAAGTAAAATTCTAGGATCCTTCAGGATTGCTCTTGCAATGGCAATGCGCTGCTTCTGTCCACCAGACAACTGAGTACCGTGCTCACCAACCATTGTGTTCAATCCCTGCATGCAGAAGTAAAAGGCCCAAGGTTACTTAAACAAGTTCCAATATTACAAATTCTGAAATGGCCTTGAAATTGAAGTACTCTGGCTAGAAAATAGGACCTGTGGAAGTTTATCAATGAATTTAGCAGCATTTGCAAGTTCAGATGCAGATCTTATCTCTTCAATTGTTGCTCCCTCCTTTCCATATGCAATATTATCCTTAATGCTAGATGCAAACAACACTGGCTCCTGGCTCACAAGGCCAATTTTTCCTCTAATCCACCTAAGCTGAAACTCTTTCAAGTTAACACCATCAATAAGAACTTCACCTGCCTGTGGATCATAGAATCTCTCTACCAAGCTGATAACTGTAGACTTTCCACTTCCACTTTGTCCAACTAATGCTGCAGTGGTACCACTGGGTATATGAAGAGAGAATCCATTGAATATCAATTCCTCAGGTCTGGCTGGATAACTGAAATAAACATCCCTTAACTGTATTTCACCCTGTATATCTTCTAATATTTTTCCATTTGGATCATAAGCATCTATCTCTGGCTTCCTTTCAATTGTCTCAAACATTTTGTAAGCTGCAGCCTGACCAGCCGCAAAAGCACTCATGCTAGGGGATGCTTGGCCGAGAGACCTAAGATATGAAAAAAAATTTATGTGTAAACAAGTTGAGGTATAAATCTGTTTAACTCTAAAGTCGTGTGTGGTTGTGTTGATTTTGATAAAGAATCAAGGAACTTTGAAACTTCCTTGCTAGAGGAAATACATAATAAAAAAACTACTTACATTGAAGCGGTTAACACAGCAATAATCACATTAATTACAGTGCCACCATTGTATCCTTTCTCCATTATCATCTTTGCTCCAAACCATACAGCCAAAGCATAACCACAAAAAATAACAAACATAACTGTGCCTAGACCCAATCCAGCTATGGAACCTTCATGAATTCCTGATCTGTAAGCATCTACAAGAAATTTGCTATAACTAGATACTGCTTGCTTTTCACCGGTGAAGGATGCAACCTGAAAATATATACAAGGATAGAATATATGATCATCATAGCACTGTCAAGTGCACTGCAAGCACTAAGAAATAAGCACGTTCAACCAAGAAACCATAAAATTTCATAGATATCAAATTCTTAAGTTTTAACGAACAACATACAGTCCTTATTGAGCCAATTGTCTGTTCAACTACATGAGCAGCTTTCGCATAAGCAGTTTGACCTCGAGTAGCCATCTTGCTAATGATGAAAGCCATAGCAGCACCTGAAATAGCAAGAAGTGGAAGAGTGGACAACATGACAACTGTAAGAAGCCACCCTTTAACAAATGCTATCACAAATCCCCCAAAGAATGTTGAAATTAGCTGCAAAAATTTCCCAACCTGTTCAAAAGAAACCAAATTTTCAGCATATTTAAGAGTGGCTTTGTGCTCATAATTTACAGTCAAATCTACAATTTAGTTCATGCAGCATACCATACCTTCTCACCCATGGCATCTTGTATAAGAACCGTATCACCAGACATCCTCCCTACAACCTCTCCTGTGTTTGTTTCCTTATCAAAGAAAGCAACATCTTGTCTTAGAATAGTTTTCAAATACAATCCCCTTATTCGTGCAGCCTGTCTTTCTCCTGTGACCATCCAGCTAGTCACCTCTGAAACATGAAATGGTTCACCCAAGTTCAGTGTTTTGTCTTCAAACTCGAATGAGTCAACACAAACCGCAATGATCTTAACAATCATACATAAATTATACTTACGTAGGAATGCTGCCACCCCACATCCTACAGCCAAGTATACAAATTTCAAGGAAACCTGTAATTTTATCATAATACAAATGAACCATGTCAGTTACACAAACAAAGATTATTATAACTAAATTATTCTAAAATATTTACAAACTCTGTTATTTGTGGTTTTACCTTGGACACTTGTTTCACTACATCCGGGTTTCGTTGGTTACTACCGAAGCTATCAATCATTTGACCGAACAGTAACGTCATGAGAGGCAAACCCAAACCATTTCCAATGGCACCAATGGTCCCAACTGTCATCAACAGAATGTCAGTGGAGTCTGCAAAGGTGAACAGCTTGTGAAATGGAACTGTCTCAGGTTTTTCTTTCTGTTTGCTCTTTTCTGCCTTTTCCCCATTTGTGCTGCTTTCTGCATGATTCTCTGACACAGTTCCCTCGTCATGTTTGTCACCTTCCTCCTTCTCCACACCCATATCAGATCAGTGCCTTCTAAGCTCCAACTATGCCAAAAAAATGAAACACAATTATCAACTCAGAAAACATTAGCACCTCAAAAGATCACAAACTTGGTAGCTTAGAATTGACATAAACAATAAAAAATTAAAAAATTACAGAATCAGGTCTGGCCTAAGCAGTGCTAAACAACGTTTGGTGAAATTAAATTGAGTATAAAATAAGATATCGGTGTGAGTTTGTTTCAAGGCTAATCAAGTTGCATGAGCCAGGTGACATTTTAATGATTTTTTTTGGATTCACAAAACGTGTAACCGAATGTGAAACCAAAATCTCGGAAACTTGAAGCAAGAGAAGCCAGATTTGGAGATAAACAGCAACGTGAGCTTTCAAGTAATTCCAAAAGTGAAATAACTTCACAACCATCGTAAGAGCTTGGATTTATCATAAACAGAGTAACGAATGTAAACCAAAAGGTGTTACGTTGATAACTCGTACAACTTTGTAGCCAAACATTTGACTTCCTGAAATGTGCGGTTCGGTGCAGAAACAAAAAGAAAAGAAAAAGAAAGCAAACAGTTGAATTAGCGGATCCGGACAAGAAACGAAGAACGGCAAACATGCTTCGTTTTGTCTCGTTCCGCACCACACCGCAGAAAGAAAGAATGAAAGAGGAACGGCCCATCCTCTTCTTTTGAAGGAAAACGAAGAAGGAAGAAAAATGTTGCACTTCTTAAAAGTCAAAGTTTCAAAGCAGCTGTTTTTTGATAAAAGAAAAAGAAAAACACCCAGGACAAAAAAAAATGCTACGGACAAGGTGAAATCCATCACAGAATAAAAAGAAAAAAGAAGTGGCACCTATTTCAACGCATGGAAATGAGGAGCAATGTGTAGCGAAACAGGGAAGAAGAAGAAAGAGAGAGAAAAGGAGAGGTATTGATACTACCTTGAGAATGAAAAGTGAAAGAGATAAGAGAGTATAGAAATTTTGAGAATAGGAGTTTGTGGGATCTCCGTGGGTGGGTGAAGGCGATGGTGGCTCTGTTCTGTACAAAGTATTGTTCACACTTATAACTTGTTGCTTCGAGTGCAAGCATCTTCGTCCGTGATGGGGAACTACCCCTCCATTAATTATTCTAGAGTCGTGATAGTCTTTAGTACACTCTTTTTTAAATCATTTTTTAATGATTCTTTTTTTTTATTCTATTTTAAATGAATAAATATATTAATTTTTATGGAAAAGGAGCAGTAAACTTAATGCATGTAATAAATACCTTTATTTCTTATATTTAAAGCTTTGACTACTATTAAAGGTCGTTCAATTTTTTACTAAAAATTTAATTTTTAATGTATTGAATTTAATGATATTTTTTTTTTTTAAAGTCAAAGTTTAGTATATCTCTAAGAGTGTGTTAAAAAAGAAATTAAAAATAAATATAACTACAACATTGGTGAGTATATTCGATATTATTTTATAGATGACTTGTGTAGCTCCTTCCTATAGATCATGTGAATTGCTTACCTGATTTTGGATATAATAATATTAAAATGAGAAAAAAAAACTATGGTCCACAAATTTGAGGTGATAAAAAAGGAGACAGTGAGAAAATCAGTATTTAAATATTTCTCTATTTTAGGGTTAAAAAATTATAATGGTTGCATGTGGTGTCATAGCTGTTGGTTTGGTTTGGTGTTTCCATTAGGAAATTTTGGTCAAAGCAATGGCCATTTTTTTATTGACGATTTTCTTCTCAAAACACGTAGATTTCTTCTTGGTAAGAGTAACGGCGATTCATTTTTTTATGGATTGAATGGAAGAAAATACAAAAAACAACTTCGAGATTGATTCTCTGAACCTAACATTTTTTCTGTTTGATCCAGATATTTTTTTAAAAATCTATTTATTAAAATCATATTATTTTTAAATTTTTTATTAAAGTAATTATATTTAACAGTATTCAAAAATATTTTAAAAATTTTGCACTACAATATCACACATGTTAACTGAAGTGACTTATATTTTACACGTTTTTCACACTAATTAAAGTTATGGGACACTCTTTTCATACGTGTCATATACTAAAATTTAACATGTATTATATTTTAAATGTTATTTTTCTTTTTAAATATTAAAAATTAACACGTAACATGTTTTGAGTGTTGTCTCTTAATTCTAATTTTTTATATTAGTTTCTTTAATTTAAATTGTTTGTATCTACTTTTTTTTAATTTAATTATTTAAATTAAGTTTTTTATCTCAAAATTATATTTAATAACTAATAAATGTTGATATTTATTATACACATTTATTAAAAAAATTATAAATTAATTGAATAACAACGAAAGTTTACTATATTTTGTAACTTTCATTTAATATTTTTATTTAAATACTATATACCCTATTTTCCTACTTTATATAAATAAATACTATGTCACATCTATTTTTGTTATGATTAATTAAAAATTAATAAAATTAAATGTGCGTGATTAAAATTTTAAATAATAAAATCATACATGAATTCCATAATAAAATTAAGAGTACAATTAAATTGAAATTTTTTTTTTGTTATTGGATAAAATAATTTTATTTCACATAAGATGAAAACAATCTTAATATTTTAAAATTTTTAAATTATATCTTATAAATTTTTTTATTTTTTTTTATTTTTCAGTTTTCAATATATATATATATATATATATATATAGTAAAGTCAACGATAAACAAATGTGAACAACTATTATGACTTTGTTAAGGTTACCTCCGTCTCGATAGAAGTGCCGTATCAATACAAGTGTCGCTCCTTTTTGTATGTCGCGTGACTCCAACCAAAACTCTCCTCCTTTTTATAATTTTTCATTTTTTTAACGTTAATTTTTACGATTGAATTTAAAGATTAAAAAAATATTTTATGATGTTAAAAATGTATACTATTTACTGTAAATATTTTTTAAATAAACATTTATTATTTTAAACGCTTTTGAAAGTAATATTTTTAAAATTTTCATTATAATTGAGTTTATGCTAATGAAATGTTATTCAATATTTTATATTATCTTCTATCATTTAGTTCATTTTTTCTACCTTTTCTTTCTATTTCTTCTTCTACGTCTTTCCAATCTTTTGTTATCCATTCATTCCACTTTTCGAACATCTTCATGGCCATTTTATCTGTGCTACCTTCACTTTTTAAAAAATAAAATTATTACTTAGTAGCTGAAAGTCATTGATTAGTAAGACTTTTCTATATTTATTAAGCTTTTAATGAAGATCATTAATCTTTATATTTATCTTTTTCATAATGATGGAAACAATATTAAATACAAGAGTAAAAAATTACTCAAAACCATAAATTTCATTCCAACAAGAATAAAAATAATAAGTTAGTGTTGATAAATATTAATAACACTATTTGGTATGTATATTTTTTCTCTAAACAAATAAACAAAAAAATATATGATATTACCATCTTCTTTTAATAGAAAAAAAGTGCTTGTGTGGGAAGAGAAGTTAATTTAATTAAGTAGGGAAGTGATGCAATGGAATATGTAAGATCGGTAAATGACGTGGGAGAAGGATCACGAAAGAGGCCAACCGATCCTCTTCCAAACATAAACATCTATTTTTTGTTGGGCGTGTCAATTTGAAAATCTGTGTTTTTCAGTATCGCACGTTTTCGCATAAATTAATGTATGCTTTCTGCTTCATTGCAACTTCAAAGCAAAGGAAACATTACAAAATAAGTGGTGGGTAACGAAAAAACAGATTATTGAAGATATTATAAAGAAGAATAATTAAAGTTTTGAGAGGTGATAGTAAACTTTGGCGTTGGCTAGTTCCCAACTTTAATCATTCATGTATTAAAGTTGGGAACTAAAAGGACACAGGTTAAAAATACAAAAAATAATACGTTTTTATTAAAAACATTATTTATATACCAAATTGTGTAATATCATATTATTTTAATAAAAATTATTATTCCGTATCTTCCCACCTCTAGAATTAGAAGGAGTGATATAATATGTGCCGATATGGCAATTTTGGATGTGATCATGATAATGCTTGGTAAACACTAAGTGGCACTATTGCAATAGTTTCTGAAGGAAAAATTAAAAATAAGAATAATTGGAGTGAGCAAGGTCAAACGCACCAAACCGGTCATGCATGCCTCGCACTCTAAACAAGGAATGTTAAAGAACAATTTTTTTATATTCAAAATTACATTATATATGACTTTTTATGGTATATGGATCGAAAAAATAAATTTGAATTACTTGACTTTTTCACTATTGTTAGCATCGTGCAAGCGAATTTAAAGTGATGAGAGAAGGGATTAATGCATTGCAAGCGGAAGCGGCTGTGTAGGATTATTACAAGAGTTGGCCAAACCCTACGACGCCTAGTGTTCATGTTTGTATTGTATGCAAAAGTCAATAGCAAAAAGAAATGACAATTCACTTTTTCATAGTGAACTCAAGGTTGGTTGGTACATGTTAGGCATGTTGACTCAAGGTTCGCAAAAACAAATTAAATGCTTCTATGTTTTTTAAGTTTTGATCTGGTCCATGTAACAAGTGTGTTTATTTTGGTTCTGAAGGCCCAGAAAGAATGATTCACTGACAAGACTGGCCATTGTGGGCCAACAATCATAGTCCAATGTCTCTCTCGTCTGTTGGTATTATAGCTTCTTCTTTTTTGTTTATTATAACTCCCACGAAAGCATTTTCATGTCTGATGATGAAATGAAAAAGGTTTCAGATAATACTTTCTAGTTTGTAGAGATTACCAATTGCGGGTTCAGGAGATTGCAGACCATAGTACAAAAATGAAGTTTCATGGGCAGAAATAATTGCAACCAATGTGAAATTTTATTTCACCCCATAAAAGCCTCTCCAACGTTAAGTTTCAAAATTTTAATTATTTTCAATTTAAATTGAGTTTCAACTTTTGAATCTTAATACACCGTATTAAATTTAGCAATTAATGTATTTAAAAAACAGTTTTATTTTTTATATTTAAAAAATATAAATAATTATTTCTTTATACCGAAGAAGAATGAAAGTCGAAAACTCAAAAAGGACAAAAAAAATAATGTTTTCCAGCTAAAGGGCAGAGACATTAGAATCAATGACACCACTACCACTTTTCTTGAGAAAAGCAAGTGAGGAATCCAGGTAAGCATCCATGGCAACACTGTTTTTTGGTGAGAGGCAACCACAAAACAAAGGGTCAAAGCCCATGGGAGGTATACAGAAGCCCATAGAAAACAAAACGAAAGGAGCAGGATCACCTCAGAAAACAAGGTAATCCAAAAGCCCAAGAGAGGAGAAAATTGTTTTGCTGTCATAAATTACAACCGTAGAATCCAAATATCCATCGGGGCTCCACAAGACCCGTCCTATTTCTGCAAATATTAATAATTTTAAATTATATATTCTAAAGACGAATTAAAATTAAAATATTTTTTTAATCTATACTTTTAAAAACAATTATACACAACGTTAAAGGTGATATATTTTATCTGTAAATCGAGTTGGTCCAATCCTGTTCAATATTATCACGTTTTTATGAGTTAAAAAATGATTCAAGGAAAGTTTTGGGTTGAGTAAAAACAGAACTAAACACTCTTGATAAATCTCGAGTTGATAGATCACAGGAAAAAGAAAAAGAAAAGCGAGAATGATTGCATGCTTAAACCGGGGAATTTGATCCATGTTGGACGGTGTTGAAGGGGGAATCAAAAGGTGCTTCTTTGTTAGGCCTAAAATCGATTTATACGGATTCAATTCTCGAGGCCTTCTTCTACAACATTTACAAATTCATCAAAATATTTATTTAGTGACAGAGAAGTCAAGATTTTGGAATGTAATAAAAAAGTCAAGATTCGTATTATGGTGATGTTAGTTAGCTCTCTCTCATATGACGACATCCTCTTGTCTTGGCACCTAAATCAAGCATTGTGGTCCCATGTCACCCCATCAACTAGCTATGTTATCTCTTCTTGCCATATCTATGCGTAACATGCAAATAATTCCCATCTTTCTATCTAAATAATGCCCTTTTCTGACTTTACACTACACGTTGGTACTTACAGTTTCACTGCTGTTTTATCTTTGAGCAACATTCAAGAT